TCAAATTATTAAAATAAGAAGAGAATAAATTTTAATTAATTTATACATTTATGTATTATATAAAATAAATTTATATAAATACATAAATGTTAATAAATATCTTTTCTCTCATATTTTCACTCTTAAAACATGATTATGATCATAAATATAATTAGGATTAAAGATTGTAATGTGTAATTATTCATAATAATCCATAATTTGGTGTATTTTAAGATCATAACATGAATTTACACAAAATGATAGAAATATACTTAAAATATGATAACATGCATATATTTGTAATGATTAATGCCTTAATTTGCATTAATAATTATATAATTACATGCATAAATAGCATGTTATCAGCACACACGTGCCCCTATCGGTCCAAGTCGCTCGAGCCCCTGCTCACAGCTACTCCCTGACTGTGCTTCCGACCCACTTGCGGGCCTGGTTGGCTGGCGGGTCCCCCCCATTTTGCTATATTTTTATTTTAATTTATTTTTCTTCATTTATCTCAAAAGTAAGACTGTAAAAATCATATAAATTCGTATAAAATCACATAATTACCTAAAAAATTACGTTAATCAATTGAAAACCACTTTTCACACTTTAACACAAATATAAGTTTATTTATCATGAGTTAAGGCTAAAATTATATTATTTATTAATTATTAACTCATAATAATGAAGACTTATCAGCCACCTTCTTATTAATAGTAGAATGTGACAATTTATTCACCAAGTAAACCACCATACTCACAGCTTCTTATTAATAGTAGAATGTAAACATCATGCTCTCTCAATAATTATATGGTTCATCTACTCAATAACACTATTTTTTTATAAAGTCTTGTTCATCATATAATGATGTTGAATGTTATGTTCATCACAAAATTGATTAAATTCAGAATTCTTAAATTCTATACTAGTGTCAATCTATAAAACTTTGATTTTTCCTCCCCATTTGGTTCTCTACCTTCATATACTGTCTTGAACTTTATAAATACTTATGACTTGTGTTTCAAGAAAAATACTTAAACTTTTTTGAAAAAATCATCAACAAAAGTCAAAAAATAATGAGTAACTCCCATCAACATCATATCAACTAGACCACACACACATGAATGAATATAATCCAACGCACCACCTATCTCATATTTTGTTGTCTTGAATGCCACCATATATTATTTTTTCATGACATTGTACTCACAAAAAATTAATTTGTAAATTTTCACATTTAGTAATCCTCATGCATATAGCTTCTACATACTTGTTTCACTCATATGACCCAATCGCAAGTGTCATAAAAAAGTATCATTAGTCATAGAATTATCTAGTGTTGTAACATAAGCTCCACCTATATTAGTACTCTCCTCAAGTTTGTAGAAATCTACTTGTTGAAATCTTACTTTCATCACAACAAGTATTTTCTTGATAATTTTGAAGATCACATTCTCACCTTTAAAGTAACATTCATTCGCTTTTAAAATTTCAAGTGAAATTAAATTCTAGTGAAATGTTGAAACATAATAAACATTTTCAAACTCTTTGACCACTCTGTCAAATATCTAAACCTTCGTCAAACTAATGCAGACAACTTCACAAGCCATATTATTTTTTATGAAAATAACTCCTATTAAACTTCTATACAAATCAAATCAGTCAACATTATGACACATACGATAAGAGCAACTAATATCACGAATTCATGTGTTTAACTCTTCAACTACAATAAGGTCTGAATAAACTTCATCATCTTTTCTATCTACAACCTTCACAATATTAGCTGAACTAGATTCACCTCTCACTATCTTATTATTTTAATTTTTTAAACAAATATCTCTACAAGTGTGATTTCACATGACACTTGTGGCAAGCTTGATTTTTTAATTAATTTGTCCATAACTTGAACTGACTCTCCTAATAATCCTTTCTCATTCTACTTTCCACATTCTCTTCCATCCTTCACATATAAATTTTCACCACAAGCCTCAACAATATTTTTCTTTTGATGATAATACTCCATTAATAAATCAATAACTTCAAAATTGAGTATTGTACTACCATACAACAAAGTCATAACAAGATGATCATATGAATTAGGAAGAAAAACAAATAGAATAATAACTTTTTTCTCATTAAAAAAATTGATTCTATAAGAAATAAATCATTCAACAATTAATTAAAATAATCAATATGAGATGTCAAATCATCTCCTTCTCACATAGCTATAACCTAAATAATTTTTTCTTTAACATCAATTTTTTCATCATAGTCTTTGATATATATTGGTTCTCCAACTTCTTCTAGAGTTTATTAAGATTATATTCATCTATGACTTATTGAAGAATTCAATCAAACAAACATGTACGAAAAAAATCTCTAGTCTTCTTCTCCATTATCTTCTAATAATTAACATCAATTTTGTCTCTCTTTGGTCCATCTAAAGTTTTATACAAGTTTGTCTACAACAACACATCATACACATAATGTTTCAAAAGATTGAAGTTAGATGACTTCTAAATATTAGTATACACCTTAGAAGCCATAGTAAGTATTAAAATAGTCAAACTTAGCTTTGATATCAATTGTATAAGAATAAATATCTAAGTACATGATTAAAATAATAACAAAAACTTAATTTCTAGATATCAGTGAGAGCAAATAGAAAAGAAATCACTAAATTATCAGAATTCTGATGATAACAAAACTTCTACCAAACACTTTCAATCCACATCTCAACACCCTCAAGACGACCCACTCATTAGAGAGTCAACAATGAACTCTTATCTCTTTCTATAAAGACTTAACTTGTAATTAAAAAAAAAGGAGAAATCAAGAAAGAGGAAGAGAGTTGATGGAGAGAAAGAATGAAATCAAATGAGAAAAATAGATCCCATCATCCATCAGGGAAAATATATGCCCTATTTATAGAAAAAGAGAAAAGGTAGCTACCTCTCCAAAAGGAATTAATCTCTACCTACATGCAAGCATGCCCACACATATCGAAAGTGATGATTTCAACTACCCTTGTTTCCCGCTCTCTCTACCTACATGACCCCCAATGGGTCAATAGGGATGAGACGAAAATCATGACACTGCCTCTCACTCCTTACACGTCTACTGAATGGGTCAAACATGATGTGCTGACACTACCAACATGCCTCGACCACCAAAATACAAGTTGACACTTCAACGAGTATTTACATAGACCTAAAATGCCTAAATATTTGAAGTTTCTTAGCTCGTCAAATATTATTGATTATAAGGATAGGGACTCACACAAGAGTAATCTCTTTTGTCACACCCTACTACACAAAGAGGAAAGTATTATCATCTTGGCATTCACAACTCAAGGGATGAAATCTAGAAGTGTGTTGACACCTGAAAAGATAGCATGGAGAGTAATGCACATAATTAGAAGGATGTTCATACATGCACCAGGTGAGATAATAGTTATGTATGATCATGATCTAAACAATTTTAGTCCTAACATATTGAAATGACTTGGATATTGCTTAAAAGATTAAAGTCATAATTTGGGTTGAAAAACTCCGTATTAATCCTTTTTTTGAAGTCACTAAAACATGCTTCACCCTAATGTGAGTATAGCTCCTCAGTAATCGTGGCCCATATTGTCTACTTCTAGTGAGTCTGCTCAAGAATCATTTAAGCAAGTGAAGTTAAGACTTGCATGATTAATTGAACTCATCTTATCAAACTTATATTACTTGATTAGCTGGAAACAATCTTATAGCAGAGATCAAAGATAGTTTTTGCAGCCATTCTTACACTTTCCTGGGATGAATGTAGATACCCACTCATTTGTCATGAAGTTTGTTGATTAAGCCTTTGTCGATACATTTGGGTTTTATATTGTCAATGTTTGGATACTTTGGTACATTGATTTCTGTTGGTGCCATTATTATTGTGTTACTATCAATCACTAACTGTAGGCTGACATTATTGTGTTAGGGCCAACAATGTCAACATCAGAAGACCTAGTCAAGCAATATAGAAATGGAGTGGGTTACTAGAAATGTCTACTTGTGCCAACTAGAAAAAGAGAGAAATGGAGGATTACTAGAAGTGTCTACTAAAATTCTATTAGAGTAAAGCATATCCACTTCACTTTAAGTACTACTAGAAGGTTAGTAGAAGAAAAGAATAAGGCAAACAAGACAAACCCAAGAAAGCAAAAAAAACTATGAATCTTCTAATAATGGATGGGAGAACCCTTTACCATGTCTACTTGAAGGATCCATGAAAAAAAAACAATTGGCTTCATTGGTCTTTCACCTCTAAAACCATTCTTCTCATGGTTTCAAAAGTGCTCAAAGACCAAGATCCAAGTTGAACGACCACAGTTCAACAAATTAAGTACTTGAATTTTAGAGCAGGGATAAATATGATGAGAATTTGGTTTCCCAAAAATAGACAATGAGTCAAAAATATGACAAGACGAATGAATGTGATTAAAATCATGTTTTCAAAGTCTTAGCTTCCTCATGTTGCCAAGGAATGTTCTGATATAATGGTAGATCATTTTTACTCTTTACTTGGTGCATATGATCCATATCTCAATAATGACTTAATTATTGATCTAAATACAACGTACAAGATGAAATGCAGTTGGATAATTTATCTGTGTCCAAAGAAACATGAAGAAAAATTGATTTGCACAAGTGACGTGCCATTTAACTACATTAAAACAGGGAAAGACAACATTCATCCCACTAAGAAGAATGGGTGTCGTACAAACAAGAAAGATGGGCAAACAGAGAAGTAGACTATGGAGAAGATGTTGCCTTCTACAGAAGCATTGGTTTCAATACGGAGGATGACATTTAGCATGAAAAAAGTTGATTCGCACAAGTGACGAGCCATTTAATTACACTTAAACGGGCTAAGACAGCATTCATCCCACTAAAACGAAATGGCGCCGTACAAACAGGAGGGATGGGCACACGAAGAAGCACACTATGGAAAAGCTGCTACACTCTCCAGAAGCATTGGTTTTAATACGGAGGATGCGGTCGGTAATAAGGGGGTGCACCTGCACAGAGACCAACGTGGGTGATAAATACGAAACAGTCGATGATAACAAATGGAACTGCGTAAACGAAGGGAGGGAGGCGAGAAAATCGGGACCAGAAGACCAACCTTGTACGTAGTAGCCCTCAGCAGGAGGATAAGCTTGAGGATAGGGAGGATTGTTATACATTTGTGGAGGATACGGAGGATTGTTGTACGTTTGTGGAGCATACGGATGGTAACGATACGTCTGAGTAGGGTATGGAGGATGATGACAGTACTGGTGAGAAGGAAATGGCGGAGGATAGTGATGGCTGTGATGAGAATGCGGAGGATAATGATACGTTTGAGGAACAGAATAAGTATCTCCGTTCTTCTGCAATAGAATCGCGTCGGATCTCTCAGAAATTGGCGTTGTGAAAGAGGAATAGAACAGAGAGTAGGAGAAGAAACGATGCATCATTACCTGTGATTTGGAGTACTTCATGCGGAGATTCACCGTCCCAGCGGCCCTTCCACTATCCGACTGGATCGTCCATGAGGAATCGTCGTTACCCTCCGAGAGTACTTTTTGCAGTAGGACCCTGAAACAGGTGTACAACGGGGTCAAGTTACAAGCGATCTAATTCTAGAAAGGCCAAGTTGTTAGCTCCCGGAGGAAACAGCACACCTGCCCCTTCCGATGAGCTTGTCCCTGGACAAAGTATTGCTGTTCCAGACCTCTATCTTGATCTCCCGGCATCCTTCAAACAGCTGAAATATAAAGTTCTCCCAGAAGATCGGGTCCTTGTCTCCGTCTGAAGGCCAGATAAACAGATACGTATGAAGGCGAGAAGAAAAGAAAACTGCCTTTTTCATACAAACAGATATTTTCCGCATCTAGGGGACTTCTTGATTGCTCACCTGTGTGAGTGCGAGTGCGGAACCTTGTGCCTGCGTAGTCGAGACATACGTAAGGATCTTGCCGAGAGAACCACTCTGTGTCCTTGAGACGGGTGCAACCGACCACTGCCAATGTCGACAGAAAAACCAAGCAAGATGAGAGCAGCTTCAAAAGCAGAATCGTAAGAAGCAGAAGAGCCTGGTCTGTACCTTCCACCTGTAAGGAGTCTCCTTGGATCGACATCAAGACTTCGGTGAGAGGTATGGGTGTTTCGGACCGACGCCTGGAACGGGCTGGAAATGATGACCGGAGAGAAGGCGAGGATAACAACGAATTACAATAGCGCTCTTGATAAAGCGTCACTAGACAGGACGGAACTCGGGGGGAAGGAAGGAAAGAGCTTCGAAGCAGTTCCGTGGGTCAGTCGAGCGACGACTTCGCGCCAGGTATAAATAAATAATAAGAGAAACGCGTGTGGATGTGGTACCGTTGGATGTTGGATACCGAAATATCCAACGGTTGCGTTTTGTTATCAATGGGGGAAAGAAGGAAAGATCTGCGAAGCAATTCTGTAGACCAGTCTCACGACGACATCGCGCCACTGAGAAGTAAATAGAAAGATAAAGGCGTGCCAGCGTGATACCGTTGGACCGGAGTGTATCTTGTAGTCAAGGGGGTACTTACCATGAAGCTTCTGGAGGGGCAATCGGGAAAATACGATATCTCCAATTTTGATCCCCCATTAAGAAATATGGTGGGGGCGTAAACATCCTCCGCCGCGGATCGGGCATGGCCATGTTAGTGCTGTGGTGAATGAACGCAGCCTGAATTAGAGAAGGGATGATGTTACTGGAGGAATATTGGCTTGTTTGGGATCCTTTGCTCGTAATCTTTGTAATCCCATTACCTTCTGGGAACACAGCTTTCCAAATTCATAATTTGACGCTCAACATGTCTTCTATATCTGGCCCCGAACCATTAAATCTATTTGCTCAGATCTTGATTTTCAGATGAAAACTAAGTGATTTGGTCAAGGCAGAGCCAGTTGGCGACCTCATCCTTGTCAAGGTGGAACTCTGGAAAACTATGTCTAATGCGATCAACTTATTTTCTAGTGGATATCTCAGCTGTGTGACTGCTCCACATGATTATTCATTTTTAGAACCATTCATACATTAAACTGAATGTGTAGTGTTTCTACTTCTCCATGTTCTTCTCAAGAATCGGAAATATTTATTCTCAAATGAAAATATATAATAACACTATTTAGCAATTATCATGATGATTGAGGGATCTGAATAGTGAAAGAGGGTGAGAGGGTAGGAGGGGAACCAAGAAAGGAAATCCATACAAGAGAATTGCGACCTATTCTCTAACATTTTCTAATAGATTGAAAATGGTTAGCAAAATCATCAGTAGATTGGGCTGAACATGCCAGCCATATGTATGGAGAAATGAGGCATGCTCTAGTCCATTCTTAAGCAGCAAACAACCAAATTTGTCCCTCATAGCTCAGTCAAAGTCAACGTATTAAGTTGGATGTTTGATTAACGATTTACTCATTGACTCCATTTTTTATTTCAGAAATGTTCAATGATTTAGTGATTTGACAACAATAACGCTTCAAATCTCAAGTTGATGTCTTCAACTATAGCATAGTGTACTATTTTAATTTCTTAAAAATATCTTTTACTAGTTTTTTTTTCGATTTAAAGATATATGTCAAAAGTATCTTTAAATAGTTTTCATAATATATTTTTCAAAAATGTTCATATGTTGTTATCATAATTAGACTTAGTTATTTGTGTTGCATATATAAAGTACTAATGCCAGTGTTATACCTTATTATTGGTGTACATATGGACTATTCGTTGTCATATTGTGTTTACTATTATAATATACTATCTAGAATGATATTCTATGGTATATGAATTGACGTGTTTCCTCAATTAGTGCTGTTGTGTACAAACATATGATGTGTTTCATATTTTCATATGTTGCGTTCATTGATAACTTGCAATATTTATTGTAATAACTTATTTTCTAGACCCGTATACCTTGTGTTTAGTTTTATCCCATCTTATCTGCATTTGTATACTATCGTATTAGAAAATTGCATGACGGTCACCATATACTTATCTGTCATTGTATCCTCCTATACCTTGCCCACTTTACTATGTTGTCCACCCTTGGTTCTAATGATATACTACATTGTCAAAAGTACACATCTATATTGTCTATAGTTTAGTCTGAATATGGAATTTGACTGTAACAACTTTAGGCCTAGACTGCTATCACATCTCTGATCATGCAAATATTCATTGGAAAGTTAGTTTTATGGCCAACATGTTGGAAATTCTGAAATTCAATTACACCTGAAATTTAACTTATTGGATTAGTATGTTCTTTCTTCTAGTCCTCTTTTGAGAGGGAGGGAAGAGAGCCATATTGGTCAATATATCAATTTTAAGACATTTGTGAAGTCAAGAGGGAGAAAGGATAAAGACCAGTTTCTTCCCAACACAATCAAGTTCTAGTAAATTTATAAAGCTTTAGAGTTGCCTAATAAATTGACCAAAATGGTTCAAACACCCCTGAAATAGAAAAATTCTTCAGCTAAATCTACAAGAGGGTAGTATAAGGAAGATTATGAACTCCAAAATAGTGTATGTTGTCTTTTATCAATTTAACCTTTGGCATGAACTAGTCATCTTAATCCCACAGGATTACAGGGAAGGTTTCTTTACCCTGTAAATGCAGATAACATATTATTTGAGCATTGTTAACATAATATATGAATGTCATTGATACAATGTGAGATATTGATTCTCTTTCAAGGACAATATGTCATTGGGGAAAGACCTCAGCTTAAAATTGAGTGGTAAAGAACGTAGCTAAGATAGTCCTGAAATCATCCATCAATAGTACTACGAAGTATTACAATATCATCTCATGTTTTTAGCATCAAGTGGATTCCATACAAAATACTAGTCAAGATATGTGCTTCTGAATTGATGGCCTTGAGCTAGCTATGTTCTCATGATAATGTCAAGTCCAAGTGGTGTACTATTTTGTCAAAAAAAAAAAGTTGTTGATCACCCCACTATCAAATCTCATGATAATTGGTAAAATATTGATGTTAGTTTCTAAGTAGATGAGTTTAGCCTCAGTCACCTTCCTGGTTGGTCTCTACACATTGTTGTGGAGTGTATAGTAGATGAAGGGGTTGAGTGTAGGGTGGTTGCACCCCACTAGCACCTCTTGTGAAGTTATGACCCAATGCACCCCTACCCATGAGTGTTAGTTAGTTTTTCATGCACTCCCCCATGGTTCTTGTGTGGTGCAATCAGCAAAGTACTCCCACACTGTTCGTACATTGTTTGTCAGAACAAATTGCTCTTTTAGTCCGTTCACAAACTCTTTTAGTTACTTCAACTCTTGAAACCCTAAAGGATGTCACACAAAACCCTAAAAGTTGTTAGGCACGAGTCCAACCTAAGACTATAGCTGATGATTAATGCCCTAAAAGGGTTGCCCAGAGCCAGAATTCTTGCGAGTATAATCTTTACAAAGATTACTAATACCTAAGTAAGTGGATTTCTTCTTGCACAGGGTAAATGATAAATCCAAGAAAGACAAGAAGGAACCTGTAAAGCAATTATCCTTGTCTTGTTTTCAAAGACCAACTTGGGGGCAGAGTGCGTATGAAACCAATGTCCATGAGAAAATGGGAAGGCCAAGTCCCCATCCCTCGGTATTATGTCAAAGTTGCTACAATGCTATGAGAAAAAATAATGTTACAAAAGCGTAGGTGCATCGTCTTTAAAACGCCAAACAGATGAAGAGAATAAGAACACCTAAAAGGACTCAATTACGTGGAGGCCCCCTTGCATGTAAACTGAACTTCTATCGAGATCTCATATAACTCGCCGGCCACAGCATTCCTCGACAGAGGCAAATGAGAGTTATCCACCAAGATCCACACTCTTCCACCCATCCACTTGCAATTCAAGACACATTCAATCCTTTGGAAGGGTAGTAAGATCATCTGCTGAAGACCCCTTTTTCCCTGTGTAACGCTGAAGAGAGAGAGAGAGAGAGAGAGAGAGAGAGAGACACACACACACACACAGCCATCAGCAAGACAGGTCCATGCCCCCCTCCCCCCCTCCCCCCCCTAACAAAATCAGGCTATATCTGAAAGATGGAAGGTGTAAAGATACCTGCTTGCCAAAAGAAAATGGCACATATTTGTATTTAATCATATGAAGTATCTGCCGCTTCATTGTAACAGTGAACAAAACCACCCAATAGAAGAGTAGAATTGGCCAAAAGACAGGAACATCGAACATGCTAAAAAATGTCATAACGAAGGCAATGCAGAGCGCTTTTAGTAAGGAATACCTGCAAGAGATGAATGAGCACCATGGTTCAGGAACATTTCAAAATCCAAGTTGATTCAAGGTAAAATTAGCTTTGACCTCTCCCAAATGACCCACAAGATGCTATTTTTAGCAAGCGTCTTTGTAAGGACATAAAGCAACAGAAATATGCGGTACAGGCATTATCAAGAAGGCAATCCTGGAAAATAAAACCAGAAATCCTCGTAGCCCAATTGGGGAGGACCAACACCATCCATCCAGAAAACATCCCATCAAAAATCTGGTTAGATTTACAGCTTGCGGCTGAGAAAATTACTGAAACATATTATTTTTCCAAAACAGAAAAGGACTTGCATAATCAACTAAATCCAATAGTTTATCCACTACAGTGAGACAGTTATCTTTCTGATTCTGATTAATAAAAGGTACGTCACGGCTATATAATAATTAGTTATATTAAAATCCCAAAACGACTGTTGACAAGGAAGATGGCATATCTAAAATCTCATAAAAGACATCATGTGATATACACATGCGCATCACATCAACCTGAATCAACACATGGATATCACATAAGAGGTAAAAGCAAGATTCCATTCACCATTCAACTAGATCACCAAACGCAAATCTGACACTAGAAAATTGCATCATCATCAGTGTGCAACACATGATGATCCATCTGGATATCAATCTTTAGTTTTTGAGAACTCTTCACCCCAGCACAAGCATCAGATGCAACCCCAATCTTTCCACACCCTGAGCCAACTGATACTAAATCCACATGCTTAGCTGCGACACATTAGAGACATTAGTCACTCCTAGCTGAGAGTAAAAGAAACACCTTTAATTGTAACAGGGGGTGGTATTTATCTGCAACTGGTAATAACACCAAGTTCCGGCCGGATCACAACAAACAAAGCAGGGAAGGAAGAAGATCGAAATATCCAGAAAAGAAAAGGACTTGTTTATCTGAAAGAAAACAGCAACAACAATTTCATACGTGTTTCGTGAAGAAGGCGAAAGAGGAATGGATTTGTAGCAGATGGTGAAGGATTTGACAAACATCACAAAGGATTCGTAGATATTAGTACAAAATGGATAACTAATACCCAAAAATTAAGCAACATATTACAAAGGAAACATTAGAACACAGACAGATAAAAAGGAAGAGCATCTAGCATCTAACAGATAATAGGGGCACCCTATCTCCGGGTCTTTATATCAGCCATTCACATTTCACAATCTGCGTCTATGTCTCCTGATCTAATAAATATCTGCCATGAGTCTCAATGTACTGCTCGATCAGGCAAATGAGATCTATACTTGATTCCTGGTGGGAGAGACCCAGCTATGTTTCAAGTTATGCCCTGGGATCTCATTGGTATGGAAGGTGACAGTGATGGTCAGGGTGTTGGGAAACACAGAAGAGAAGTCAACCATGGGAAGAATATTGACGTATGCATATTCTCTAACTTCCTAGTTACATCCACAACAGATGCCTGTAATTCTCCAACGCTCTAAGCATGCCTTTCAATACAAACGGCCTAAGAGAGACAGACAAGACTCTCCCAAGAGTTATGACACACAACACCCTCTAACTTCCTAGTTACATCCTATGAGAAAAGGGAGTCCGAGAGACAGATTTCCAACACACGTTTACCACAGAGACTTATTTTATGATTGATTTCCTCAAGCAACTGAGCATCAGCACTCACATCTCACTCAGGCAAGGAAATCCGGGCAATGATGAAAGTATTGGTATGAAGACCTTTTTGTATCATTCATTGGCTATTACATGAGACCTGCCTTTATCTCCCTTTCCTTTTGGTCACAACTGTAAATTATGAAGTAAAATTGACGATTATCACTTGAAATTTGGCCGAACGAAGCTGATTAAAAGAAGGGGATAGATTGAAAAATTTAAAGGGAAAAAATAACAAACAGTTTAGTGAAATGAAATGACAGAAAAATACAAGGCTAAAGAATATTTTCAGAGAAAAAAGTATGAAACCACAGCACTCTTCCGTACTCGAATCCATGTGAATCATAAGGGAACAAAACGTTCTTTTTCAAAGCAAATGACATCATAAAAGAACGTTAAATTCCTTTGAAAAAGAACGTTTTCTTTGTGACAAAAGAACCGATGAGTTAAATTCACGAAGTTTGAAATTAAACTCCAGATAACAAGAACAATGTAGTCAATGATTTTTTAGGATGCAATAAACTATCGTTCTACCTCAAGTAATTTGGCATACTTTTATCTGATTGCCCAACAAGAAGTGAGGCAGAGATTGGCATCATAAAGTAATTTGGCAATAGATTTCCAGAATGGAAGATCAGACCATCAACTGGAAAAAACAATGGATTCTCTTCAAACCAGCACTTTCCAGCTTACATAAACTAATGTACAAACGAATTGAATAGATAAGGAGTGCCTTTTAGAAAAGGTAAAGAGCGCTATGAAAGGGATGACGGCATAAGTCAGGAAAGGGAAGGATGAGGAAGAAGATGTATGGTTCATGGTATCTAAACGATCTAAGCGTTCCTAAAACCATTTTCATGAAGTATTGCTTTCTCTATTTGCTGACCAGGGAGAGAAATATCTACGTCCCTTCCAGTATGCAACCTTTGATGTGAAATGAACAAATACCAAATGAAAAACGCGAGTGTATATGGATTCTCAAGGAGAGTTATGTCAAGACTGTATCTAGGGAGACCGGAGAATTCTAGTGAGAACTCTCATTTACCTATCCAGAAATATCTCCTTAATAATGAAGACTTCATGCACAGGTCAACAAGATCTCGTGAGAAAAATAGGCCAAAAAACTGTGATTCCAGGAAAATGAATGATGTTCAACCCAATCTGGCAAGAGTTTCCAACGACTTTTGTTTTTCTTCTTCGAATCCACGGATCAAAAAATTGAAGGGCCATGACAAAGCCAAAGACTCTTCAGAGAAAATTCTGCAGTATAGGTAATCCATCTTTTGTATTTAAAAAATGCAGTGTAATCAAAACGTTGACGACATCTAAAGAATGGAGATGGGCAGCCAATTGGTCAATCAGAAGATTTCTCATGAAAAATGAAAATTACCATTTAATGAGTTGCCAGGGAAAGTATATGCACTGGGGACAAGACGAAGCTTCACAGGCCTGAGGTGGGCGTCTTTACTGTGAGTGAGAAAAATATTTTTTGCTACACCAAAGTTTGAAATCTTCATGCAAAACCCTATCCGTGTTTATGTGAGGAAGACACTTGCTTAAGCCTACAACTTTCAGACGGAAAAATGATCGTATAGTTCTATTGCAGTCACAAAATGGCGTAGACTTGAATTCATCTTACAGATCATACATTTTTTAAAATCATGTAATCGCATTTGTTTTCCAGTTACAATAATGCAACGAGGCAATCCAAAATTGCGATTACCCGTGAGGATTCCACAGAGGTTCGCAATGACGTTCTACGAAATTGCCACAGCCGTGAATCACAACACAGATCAGAGTAGAATTCACCGGTGCGTACCAAAACTTGAACTCGGGGAGCCGTCGTACAAAAGGGCGAAACTCGTCGGACGACTTGGTGGGCAGGAGTGGGGCGTCATCGCTCCCACCGTCGACGAGCTCCTGGATCTCGGGATCGACCTGGGGCGACAGGAAGGCGATAAACAGGTTGAGGATGTAGATGCCGAGCCCGTAGGAGACGACGTAGAAGCCCTGCACGAAGAACCCGACCCGGAGGACATAGACGAGAGCCACAACGCACAAGGCCCCCCACCGCCGCAGCACAAATGGCGTCGCCTTGTCAAGGAAGTGCTGGTACCGCTGCCCTGCAGCAGCACTCCATTCCGACACGAACGGGATCCCCCCTCCTCCTCCCAGTGACCCGTCGCCGCCACCCAGCCGATCCATGGACCTGCGATCTTCCTCCTCTTCTTCCTCCCTTCCTCTGTTCCGCCCCTCTTTCTCTTTTGTCACCACCCTCCCCCCCTGCACCCCCTCTCGGCCAGGTATTATTTTATTTTTCATCTCTGTAACTCCACTGTAGATTTATATCTACCATCAAAGCATCAGGCACTACTACTACGATGAACTAGTCACTATCAGACACTGATCTGCCCGACAAAATACGATCATAAAAAATCGAAAAGCTCCTAATTTTATGGTTTATACAGATGGGTGTGACGATCAGTATTATAATGGGGACGAGATAGACTATGTTCTTCCATGTGGAGATGTATCTACTTGAAAATCTACCAGAATGTGAGTGATTATTAGGGCAAGAGGCGACGAGGTTGGAAGCCCAAGAATATTTCTCATTTGCACAAGCAGGGAAGCTCTTAGATAAGTAGGAATTCAGTCACGAAGATAAGCCTGTCTGGGGGAGTCAGGTCAGAGGAGGTGAGAAATAAAGAGATTAATTGGTCAAGAATGAATAACAAGCTTAGGAGAGTTGGCTGTATACGTTTCGAGATCAATGATTCTAGTAAGAGAAAGTCGATTTTAATGACTTTGAGAAAGATATAGGTAGCAAAACTAGAAGGGGTTGAGTCAACGTTTGAATAAAAATGGGCAAATGAGGATGGGATAAAATACCTAAAATAAGTGGAGACCAGCTTGGTCTAACCTATCAAATGAAACAAGAGAATTATAGAAATCTGGATCATCAAATCCATTTCAAAGAACCTTCCAATCAAAGTAAAATAAAATTCCTTGAAATGGGTTTTGGCATTTTGAAGATGGGAAATATGTTGATGAATGGGTTTTTGAGCATTTGGCAAGTTTATTGAGCTAGGCAGGGGAGGGGAATGCCATTGGGCCTTGGGTTGCTAGCAGGCCTCAGTGAGCTGTTATAGGTAGCTGCATTTGGCAAGAATGGTTGCCATTTGATAAACCTAGGCAACAAGGGGAAAGAGATGTGTTTCAATAGTGGGAATGTGGAGCCCAAAAAGGATTTGGAATGTTCAGGAGGTGCATTAAAGTCAATAGAGTGGAAAAAGATGGCACCAAAGCACCAATGGTGCAAGCTAGAGCTTTGGATTTTTGTGGGGACTCTAGAGGAAAATTTTGAGCAATGGGAAGAAAATGGTATGAGATGATTCAAGCATCTTAGACGTATTGGGGGAATAGATTTGGGGAGCTTGTGGACGTGAAAATTTGTAGTTAGGGCTCTCTAATTAGTCATTGGGAGTGAAAGAACAAAGGGGAAATTAAGAAATGTTACCTTGAACCAAAGTTTTTTATGCTAGATCACTTCAAGACTCATTGTTGATCACTCACAATCAACTGGTAGGTGGAGGAAGCATGATTTAGTGTGGGTTCAAGGCTGTAAGGGGTAAAAATTGTTAGAGGGTCTGTACAGAGGGTTTTCAAGTATTTTAGAAGAAAAAAATGATATTTTTATTATGTAAGGGTCTAAGGACTATTAGCAAATGAAATAAAGCATTGTACGAGATATAGGAATTTATTTTCAACCTATATAATATCCACTTAATGATTAACATTCATGATCAAAACAAAGAAGTTGACTCATGGGGCAAAGGTTCCACCATTTAAGTTGATCTAGCATGTTGCAAGTTGACTCAACTAAAAGTAAGTTAACACACAATAAAGGAAATTCACTTGAAAATTCTTATAAATTATATAAAAATATTTTCAAAATTCATAAAATAGCCTCACATTCATTTAAGCAGAAAAAGTGACAATAGATAGATTATGAGGTGCATACCTCATTGTAGGAGCAAATTCAAAGATCTCTTCTAGTAGTAGATTATCCATTGACTAATAAATACTTGAAAAAGATATTAACCAATCCATAGTGCTTGCAAAGAAATGTTTGATGATATCTTTTTGATATACATGATCTCCAATAAAATAAAATTTATTTATTTGTTTAGGTTTTCAATGAATAATTAGATTTTTTAAACTATATTTACCACATAAAATTTGAATTTTATCAATCTTGATTATGCACTCTTCAAGTTAAGATTTTATCTATATAATCTGAACAAAGTAGTTATCACATCATTAATAGTGGCTAAAATAATTCAATTATGCTTCTTGGAAAACCACTACTTACTAGCCGTTGTTCTAATTAACACTCATATCTTATTATTTTTTTGAGAAAATATCCAAGGAGAAGAACATTTTCTATATCATTCCCCTTGAAGATAATCAATGAATACCTGCATATCCCTTTTAGCCTACTCCCCTTAATTCTCAACCATTCATGTCTAAGTCCCCTATTACATCCTCTGTGATTCTTATTTCTCAAGCCTTTGCATCTGAGGTGATTTTCAAAGTTTTTGCAAACATTGAAGATGAAATGAAGGAGATTGGTGAAATGATTGTTATACTTGAAGGAAAATCTATTCTCATTATATCACATTCATCTATATCATTTTTGTTAGTTCAAAGGGAGGCTAAATATAGTGCCCAACAATGAGATGAGTTTATTATTTGAATTATCATGTTTCTCTATGGCTTTTAACTATTTTCCTTAGACTATGGTAAATGGGTTGACACATGGGTCAACATAGTTTGGGTTTTACTAATCAGGGTTGACACATTATTTTATGATCAATAGAAAACACAATATTTTCCTAGTGGTTCAGCCTTCCCGAACATACATCACTTACAAAGGGATTTTACCTTTGGCGTTCACTATTCTCTCCCATGAAACAATAGCTCAAATTTATGAGATTAAAAAAATTCTCCTTAATAATAGATTTCACTAATCTATCTCTCCACATTAGACACTAGTCCACTAATTTGCCTTTTTCTCTGAATATCATCACTCCCCTAAGAAACTTCACAAATGGCATTAGGAAATGATTCACTTATTGATGATTCTTGTGCTTCATGTTGGAACTTATATGACAACTCATGGTACTAAGAGGGGTGAGAATTAATTTTGGCTCTAATTTCATTGACTATTCAACATACAAGGTAATTAAAAAATTCACTAGGTCACCCTACTTGATTTAGACCTCTCTAGGACCACATCCTTAATTTCCATTAAATTCTTTATTAAACACACTTAATTAAGGCTTTGGCCACCATCACTAGATTTCTGTGTAGGTCAGAAATTTCAACCAAAAATCCTCTTTAAAATTCATGACTCTAGGGAATCAAATAGAGGAGACCAACTCATCTCTTCTAGACAAATGGCTATAGGAGATCCAAATATTAGAGAGCTAGTGCTCTACTCAACAAAATGATTACCATTCAAAACAAATTCAGTGGTGTGGGCAGTTTATTGTTCATATTGCATTTTTCTCCAAGCTTCTTAGGGGCTTGATTCCTCTTATTTCTCATTGCAGAAGTTTCTCTACAAGGATCAGCCTTTTAACTTTAATGTTCTTCGATTCTTCACTTTGGATGTTGATTTCTTCATTCCCTACTTTCTAGTTGATTATTTCTTATATAGCCATTAATTTTTATTATTATTTATTTTTCAAGAAAAATCAATCTTTTTGCAAAGGTGACATGCCCCAAGAATTACTTTCATTTTTTTCATTTGATCCAATGAGTAACATTCATCTCCTCTCTCTCTCTCTCTCTCTCTCTCTCTCTCTCTCTCTCTCTCTCTCTCTCTCTCTCTCTCGCTACAATGATGTGTTCACATAGGTCGACACACTAATTAGAGTATAAACATATCTGCAAATAAAATTACAATAAAATTCTCACAACTAATTTGAACATTTTTGAGAGTCAACAAAATATTCAGTTTATATTTTAATGTAAAATAATGATTTTACCCCTGACCTTGAGCTTTCAATTTTTAGGCTTTCTTTAAAAACAACTATTAAGACCAACCAAATAATTAATAAAATATTTATCAATTTATTTTTCCATATACTTTATTCACCATCAAAATGACATGAGCTCCTAAAACCAACCTTTTCTTTGATATGGTGAGCATTTGAATGTTTTGGGAAGCTTAGGTGTTGTAACACTTGAGTAAAAACTAGATACAAAATTATAGCACAACTAGAACAATTTGATGCATCTTTGAATCATACCTTTTAAAGTATTGGTATTAGATTATTTTTTAAAAAAGGTTACAAAAATGGCCATTGAAACTCAAATATTTTATATTTAATTGGTCAAAAATTATTTAGATAGAAACTATGTGACTTTGATTTTACTTTTATACATGTATGCATTTTTTGGATGCTCATAACATGAGTAGGTAGGCAAATAGTATCTTAAGGAGTAGCATGGGCAGATAGACCTGTATCCATTTAGATTATGTTCTTCTAACAAAACATTAAGCCAAGAGCATTGTAGTTGATAAAATAATAAATGATATAGATGTAATTTATGAAAGTGTGGGGATTCAATAGCTATGAGACAATAGTAGAAAAGAAGAAATAAAATTTTTTTGAAGTAGGGGATTCAATTATGATAAAAAATTTAAAAGAAATGTTTATTTTCAGTAAATAAAGTTAAAATAAAATAAAAATGGGCTATTTTAATTTTTTCTAGGAGATTAATGACAATTCTTATGCCATTGATTTATCACTAAAATTGTTCACATCGTTAATCTTTAATATGACTGATTTTCATGACTAGAAGCTAAAATCACAAAGATTTGGGGGTGAATTATTTTCATGTAGAATAAAGAAATGCAGAACAAACTAAAAAAATGAGGAAGAATACAACATATATTAGAAAACTTTGAAGTCTTATAACCTATTGAAGACCCAAATTTAACCACATAGGCCTAAAGGCATTTAAATAAGGCTAAGTTTCATAAGACCTTATTTATTGTTTTATTATCCGATCTTATTTTTTTCAAAGGGTAATACTTAATTTTATTGTATTTACCAAGTCTTACACTATAAATAGAATATATTTTATAATAGCGAAAAAAATTAGTTTTTTTTCTTGGGATTTTTCGTGACTTGTAGGTTTAAGAGGCGCAGATCTGATGATTGTGAACTTAAAGAACATATAAATCAATTATTGCAAGCTAAAAGTTTTTACATATAGTGGGCACATAATTATCATTCTTCATGGACTTGTGCTGCATCAGAGAGGCATTAGGGTTTGAGTAGAAGTCTAGAGATGTGGCCTCTTGTGATGGCCTCATAGTTGTCTCTACCTTCATAAAACGTCATTTATCAAAACCTGAGATGCACGGAACGTAGAGCGAGCGTTTATTCATCTGGCAACTGGCAGATGGTCCTTCGAGTCAAATGTACGGCGGGAGCCTTGACCGCCACATATCGGTTTATGTTAACCGTGGGCGAACCCGCGAACCTAACGGCCAACAGCCGAGCCACTCCCATTCATGGGATTCTGTAGATCGCCTACGTATCACCGCGCATACGCGTCGCAGGGATACTGATGCATTAAATGCTATCTTGTCGTTTTGCCCTCAGCCTCTGCCACCAGCTGTGGGCCCCTTCTCGGTCATTTAATCCCGTCAAAGCGGCAGTCCACGTTTTCCACAGAAAGGACGCGGCGCTGAAAGCCGTCCGATAGGTGAGCGGGAATGTGGGCCCCATCCGGGCACCCCCGACACGTGGCGAAAGAATCGAGGCCGCGCCTGGGAAGTGAACTCGCGTCCGTATCGAAGAGAATTCCGAGGAATCGGACGGCGGCGATCCTATCGCGCGCGGAACCTACGGCCCGGATTCTCTACGTACAAAAATGTTGGGAAAAAAAAAGAGGAGAAAAAAGCAATTATCCGCATTTAATTTCGGTCTTTAAAATACGTAAAATAATGAGCATATTTCCGTGTTTAAATAACGGGCGAAATGTTTATAAATAGCCTGAGTACGGAGCTTCGAAGAGATTAATGGGAAAGGGGACTCGGTTTTTCTCGTGTTCCGTTTTGGGGAGAAGACGACCCACCGGAGAGGAGGACGACGATGGGGGTGGTTGATTGTTGATTTGGTTCTTTCTGCCACGGAAATTTAAGTACTGGTGTGCGACAGTGGATTCGGGAGCAGAGGAGCGTGGGGAGGATCTCTCTCTGGCGCTGCACCTCGCCGCATGAGGGAGGCTGCGGGATTGCTTCTGCTGGGATCGGTTGACCCGGAAGTGTCGATTAGGCGGCGTTGTTCTTGAGTGTCTTCGTCTGATTCCGGCGGTTGATCTTGCTCGGGTTGTGTGTTGAAGCCTGGATGCCTGGTGTGTGGTAAAGTGGGGGCCTTGCGGGCGGGGGCCGTGGTGGGATTCCGTTTCTGATCGGGGACGGCAGAAGGGCAGAAGATCGTCCTAATTTTCTCCTCTTCTAAGGAGGGAGGATGTTGGACGACGGGCGGTCGCAGAATCCGGGCAATGCTGTCGCCCCGTCTTTCACTGCGTCGTCAGAGAACCTGGAAGGTAGTCTCGACGCTTGGTCTTCCAGATCCCGTTTCTCGTGGGCCCTCCCTATCTCCTCTTTATCTGTTCCTTCTTTCATCGGTGGATTAGTCCGTGCAGTTGAATACCACGTCACTCTAATTCGTGTGCTTACGTTTGATGCACTATTATTTTGTTGCTCGCTGATCGCTGCATGGAATCTTGTGTTGCCTGTTGTTCGTGGGGAAAGTGGTTCCCCTTTAGTTTCGCTTTACGTGTCCTTGCGTGATGTATACGTGAAGTATATCAGTGAATTTACAGAGTATGATCGTCGCTCCTTTTGTTGTTCGTGGGGAAAGTGGTTCGCGTTGACGAACTAAAAAGAGTATGATCGTCACCCCTTTTGCAGAGTCAATGTGGCGGTTGAATATTAAGGATAATCCGGGAGAACAGGATACCAACGTCAATCCTTACCCTGATCGCCCAGATGAACCTAATTGCAGTTACTACATGAGAACGGGGCAGTGTGGCTATGGAAATAACTGTCGCTTCAATCATCCTGCTCCTGTTGGCAAGGTGATGACATTCTGAAACTGGTTGATCGTCATCTATCTTTTTTATTATGTTTGCAAATTCACAGTCCATCATCAGATCGCACTTGGCTGACATCTGTGGCACTGCAGTCGGCTGTTTGGTTCAATTGAATCCATTTGATTTTTCATCTGAGGCGTGGCTGCAAAGTAGCATCATAGAAATATCATGCCTTTTTTTTTCTCGAGAAGTTTGTGCTAACATGCTCTGGCTCTACAGGGGACACATTACAGAGGGAGACTCCCAGAGAGAGAAGGGCAGCCTGATTGCCAGGTATGTGCTAACCATCTTTCGTTCTTCATCTGGATAATTATCAATTTTGATACCATTTTCTCCAGAAGAGCCCCCAGGAGCTTCATGATGAGTATTCTTACAGACAATTGTGTTTAGAGTCCGTTAATAAAAGAAATAGATATATTTATGTATATTAACACAAGAAATCACCATTGGTGAATCCACGCAGACATGGGACGTCGGATCCAAAAGAATAGTGTGCATTCATTTTCTCTAAAATTAATTTTTCAGCATTAGAAACAGATATTTTTCTCTGATTGAATAAATAATGATTCCAGTTAATGATGTATAGTCTTTATCATACCATCTTTCCTATCAATTTACTTGAAATTTTGTTAGTTACATCTTCATACTGCCAAACGAAATAGTGCTTGTATCCTGTATTTAGAGGTCTTCCCAAACGAAAAGTACACATTCTTGCCAGTTGAATTAATAGACGATTATTAATAGACGCTTGAGATTGTTCCTCTACCAATGTATCTCGACTTGTTCCTTGTTGTATCTTAATCCTATCAATCAGCATTCGAGTACTTTCCCTGCACGTGTTGGGGATGCTCAGGTTGATCGGTACTCTAGCTGTTCCTTTTCATAAGTTGAGGGGAGGGTTGAAGGCATCATTTGGCCAATCTGGAATCATCATTCTGCTATCTGCGTCATCACCATGGAACTGTAAGCATGCGGGAGTTTTAGGTGACAGGTGTTGCCATCTCTATTCCTCACTAGTTGCTTGGGTTATAGATAAGATAGTCAGTTTCGCAGGTCAACAATAGAAAAAACCACAACATCTATGGCACCAGACACAGGCATCCTATATCCCCTGTCAGACTTAATTGGTCACTTGCACGTTCACCAGGGGACGACAAGCCTTTCTTAGATATGTGATGGTGCCGCTAGAAATAAATAGGTAAATTAAGAGTCTGATGTCTCATTGGCAATTATTATGGGAATTTATTTTTTTCTCTAGGTTTCATGGATTTAATATTTTAAAAGTGTGGCACAGAGGGAATGATTTTTTTCTAGAAAAATCCCTGCGAGGAGGGGCCCAAGCTCTATTGTTGCCCTATTTCGTAGAATGGTAACCGAATGCTTATTGCCATTTCCATTGTATCACCTTCCATTCTTTCTTGGGATGTGAGATCTGAGGTTTGTTGGGCAGGTTTGTTTACTTCTGGCTTCCATCTCGTACATGCTATTAGAATGAATATATATCTGCACTCTTTATAAATTCACATCTGTATTAAAAGTAATTGAAAACGTTCCCAAACAACTCAATCTGATGCGAAGTTGTGAAATACGAATCATAAAATCAATGTTCTTCTCGTGGAGGAAATGTAGGACTACAACCCGTTGTATAATGGAAATGAGAGGAGAATACCCAAGAAATGAGAAATAAGATGCCCCAAAGTAGAATTTCCCAGAATCTTTGATGGAATTCAATAATAAATAGAGAACATATGAGCTCAAGATTAGTATTATCTTCATAAAACTTACTCAAATAAGCTTTATAAATTTCGGAAGTAATGTTAAAAAGGCATGCACAGATGAAGACATATAGATAAACTCAAATTGATGGGCAAGAACACTACTGCACCCAAAGCAAACAATGCAATTTCTGGCCATCTACTGCTGCCATTCTTCCTTAAACAGAAGCCCATGGAGGAACAGTCATCTATTTCCTTGCAAAGTGTCTCAGCAACTAACTGTGTCATCTTCTATGGAATTGTGCAATTATTTCGTACCACTTTTGAACTGTTTTTAATTTTCTTTGGGAACCTGTGTTAGTTTTTGTGACTGGAAAATTTCTCTGCTTATTTTGTACACTATTAGCATGATTCTTACGTTACAAAGAAATTTCCTTATTCGACTTTCTTTGAATGGACAATTCTCAGCACGAACTGTCACAGCGGTCAATGCCTTTCTGACCATTAAAGATAGAGAAGATGAGGAAAGGAAATTGGATCCAATTTCTGCAGTCCTGCCCGAGAATTTGAAGTTTTCACTTGAATAGGCATAGTTGTCAGCGAACATAATATGAATCTACAAACATACCCGAAGGATCAGAACCAAGTTAAAACATTCTAAGATTAACTAATCCCATCTTTTATGCACCCTCCCATGATTGAATTCAACAGAAGCTTTGGATAAAAAGGTTTAAAGTGTTCTTCACCTGTGAGGAAGCAACACTGATTGTGGGTGCCTATAGGCAATGGTGGTAGGTTTCCTGTTCCATAATTTTCTATTCTTCTCACCTTTTGATAATTTCCTCCCCCAGTATCATCATCCTCTGGCAGCTGAATTGTCCTTTTCTTTTTGTCAATCTTACAATATATAGGAGAATGTGGATTTTTCCCTTGAAATAGAAGCGGCTATTGCTGACATTGTAAACAATAGAATGACTCCTACGATTTATGCTACATCCGTCGACATTAGCCAGTCCACCATTGCATCCACTATCTGTGATCCCCCTAAAGTTGTTGTTCATCTTTGATCATTCATGTCACTTGACAGCCTCTTGCATCTGTCTTTCTTTTCTCTTTCTGGCATGTCAGTAATTTTTTATGGCTATTGGTACAAATTTTTGCCTCATCCTGGAGCACGCTCTATTCCACTGCTAGGCAGTAAAATTTTGGGGCAAAGGAGGGGATATATTTTTGCATCTGGGTCATCTCATATCCTGGGCCAGAAGCATACGAAGTTGGGAGGAACAAGCCCACTGGTTTACTGTAGTGTAGTAACGCTATCTTGACATCTGAATAATTTTGGTTTTTTTTTTTGGAACTAGTGATCTTTTGTCCTTCTGAAGGACTGGACATAATATTTTTTATTGGACCTATGAATGGTCTCTTTGCGTTTATTTAAATTTGAACCTTCCAGACTAATTTAAGCCTTCCATCCAAAACAAGACCCATCCTTGTGATATAATGAAAAGACCAAAAGAAATGCTATTTCACAAGGTCTTGATAGAAATTTGAGTCCCAATCTAGATCTTTAAGAATGCATGGGATCAGGTTCCTTTATGGGATGAACCCCATTTATAAAATCTAGCTCTGGAAAGAGAAGGTGAGAAAGATTGTTCGAGGAATGAGGTTTTTTGAGGATTATGATGGTGAGGAGAAGCAGATGATGACTGTTGGTTCTAGACGATTATGCATTGTGCAGCTCTATGTGCCCTCATCAAATACTGTTGACTTTTGGTGCTATCAAGAAGCAGTGTAGCTGTCCTTTTAATATTCCAACTCAAGTTGAGCTGCAAACGTTTCTTTTCAGTTTTTTGGTGTTCACCTCAGCTTGATGAGGATGCAATCCCCCCTTAAATGATGGTGAAAATTTCTTAACAACTTTACTATTCATTTGATTGAAAAATCAAAATCAAAATATGTAAGAGGCACTATCTCTTATCTCCTTTCAGTTATTTGACTGTGTTATGAGAGAAATGCATTTAAATGATATTCTTTTTGACACGTGTGAAACTTGTGTTTAGAAAACACTATGACTAACCAAAAGGCTTGAATTATTCTATGTCCTTAGCCTTGAATTTTCTCTGCATAAACGGTCATTATGAATTCACATAATTATTATCCATGACAGACAGGTCTAAATGGCAGATTGTCGTACTTTATATAAATGTTTTCCGAAAGAGAGGAATCAGAATGATAAACGATATTCGAATTTTTTTATACCAAGTTTTCAATTGTTCTAAACTTTATATTGAATGATGCTGACCTTACTTAACTGTGATATTCCTTTTTGAGATAATAAAACAATAATTTTCTAGGTATTTTTAAATTTTAGGTTTTAATCATGTATTTTCTTCCTTATATGTACTCTCTGTGGTCGAATTCTGTGGCACTTTCTTCTTCCTACCTGTTCATCATAATGAAATAAAGATTGATGTTGTATTATTTAGTTCAACCTTATTGGATATCTCCAGACTATGCATGACCTTGACTGAACAACAGCCCACAGAAGACTGCAGTTCTCTTCATGTCTTTCTCATGATTTCCAACAGACAACACATACCTTCATTTTCACTACTTATTACTGCCTACCATTGCTCTCTTCATGTTTTATTGCATACGTACTTAGGGATGATTTTTTTCATTTGTTTGGAAGAATTAGGAATGATCAAAAGTCCTCTGTTAAAAGCAATAATGATCCAACCGAAGACAGAACTGAGATGCCTTGTATCCCGTGGTGTATGACATTATGCTTTTTAGATACATACATCACATAACAACCGCCTGACATATTTATAGAATCTTTTGTCCTCACTGGTCGTTTGCTTGGATTGTTGTATTAGAACTGCGAGCTAATCAGAACCGCTTAGAGATTAGTCAGATATTTGCGATTGAGACAAGAAAAATATATTCCAAATACTTCGAAAAATTAAATTAATTGAACAATGATCCAACATTGGAGCTTATTGGTTGAACACCTCGTTGGCTGCTATATGTAATGGGACCTAACCGTTTGGAATGTTTAGAATTTTTTCATGGGCCATTGCTTGCTTAGGTGCCTTTGAAAATAAATCCACTTATGTGTACTTGGTTCTTCATGGAGAAATACTGGACAAGGACATCTGCAAGTTGCCAAGTGTTTTATTCACTTTGTTAGGAGTATATAAACCCCATGTTTCATTTTAATGTCATACAAAGACCAAAATTGATTTCCGTTTTGACCATTTCTCAAGAAATGATGCTGGATCCTATTGAGAGCTGGGAAAGCTGTTTAGTATTCACGGGTTATTCTTATTCAGTAGAAAAGCTTAACCTGATTCCCCTTGCATTATTGTGTAGCATAATATCTCATTGATGTCCACTTGTTAGCCCTTATTTGTAGAAGCAACTTACTCGATTATAAGTTGATTACTTGATCTCTCAAATACCATGGGATTAGCTCATGTGCTGCAGTAGGGTTCTCACCTTCAGAAACATTCAATAGAATCTGATTGGGCTAGGGGGCGAGTAGCACTGGGGTTGAATGCAACTGTTTTGGCTTTATATCACCAGAAAGATAGGAAAATGTGAAAGGACAACAGCATCCGTTATTATAGTTGAGATAAGAGGTATTTTCTTGAAAAAATCATTATAAAATAATATAGATCGAAGAAAAATGATAGGAGGGTCGTATCACGCAGCCACTTCATGTCTGTTACTTATTTAATGAACCAGTCAGGAATCATAAATATTGTAACATTGATTCTCCATAGTCTAGCATTTTTGTGTTGGTCCTTCACTTAAAATTCGACATAAGCACGAATTCTTATTTATACCATGAAGGGGCGTATGTTTTCCTATAAAATATAGAATAACCCTGCCAGATTTTGGATTTTACTTTCTAAAGCAGTTCAGGAAAAAGATAGTAAAAGTTATTTTAGATCCATAAATTGTAAAAATAATTTTTGAAAAGAATAGCCTCTTGAGGAAAAAGATACACATTCTAATCGCCTTTCTTTGCAATTTTCGTCCATTCTATAAATGAGAAAAACATATTCAAGTATTTATTTCTATTTATGTTATTTTATTTTTATGTTTTATCTTGCAGTTTTTTCTCAAAACCGGAACTTGCAAATACGGTATCACATGTAAATATCATCATCCACGTGACCGGCTCGTGGCATTACATGTGCCATTGAACATGCTGGGTCTACCTATGCGTCAGGTATGCATTTTTTTTTTGGGTCAAGTGTCCACACCTATTTTACTGTCTCCCTATTTGTGTTGTGCTGAATCATTGAGCTGTGGTTGTATTCATAAAAATTATAGATTCTATTTGCCTATGATCCCTTTTACAATTTTTACTCTTTTGTTGTTTCAGGAAGAAAAGTCATGTCCTTATTACATGAGAAATGGGTCCTGCAAATTTGGATTTGCTTGCAAGTTCCATCACCCTGAACCTACTATGGGAGCAGTCTTTCATGATGCAGCACCCTCAGTCTATGAGTCGTCAGGATCAGCTATGGCATCTCAATCTGTATCACCATTTGTGGGAAGAATTTCATCATGGACCCAATTACCACAATCTCCCTATGTGACAACTCCAAATTTGCATGGCCTTCCAGCTTTTCTCCCTGTGATTATTTCGCCATCTCATAATGTTGTGCCAACCCAACCAGCTTGGAACACCTATGCGGTAGTGGCTAACCTTTGAACTTACAAGAATCCATGTTTGTGTTATGTTCTTCTGGGTTTGTATCATTTACTTTTCACGTCTTGATCGTGGTCCTTATGGTGTCTTTACCACATTCATGGTGTTTCGATATTTTATTGTGCATTAGGGATATGTTTGCCATCCAAAATCCTGCATGATCTTGAATCATATTATGCATATTATGGCATGAAACTTTTTCTATATGCCCTCCTCTATTGTGATTGACGTACAAAAATGCTTCCCTAAGGGTAAAGTATGTCTAGATCTTGTGAACTAACAACATTTCTAACGCACTCATTTTCCTTTTGCATCACGATCAAATACCAATCATCGTAGAGCATTTGAAGATGTAGTGATTATTAACAATCAATGATTTATTCTACTGTCAAGAACAAAAAATTTGTACGGTTATAAAAAAGAATTTTTGTTAACTATTTTTTTTGACGTCTAGGAAATCTAGGGAATTTTCAATTTATACGAAATACTATGGTTACAATAATTGGAGTCTAAACGAAGTTCCATTGTGAAATAGCAAAGAAAATCTGCGATTACTGACTGCCCTTGATCTCGAATAATTTCAATCTTGATCTTTACCAGGTGTTCTGAATTCTTGATATGTATGGCTTTTTGCCAGGTATCAGACCTAGTTTTCTTTATTATGTAGAATAGTGTTATCAGACAGCAATCATTTTTAGAAGGTTTCTTGACATGGGTTTATACTAAAAGCCAGATGGATCCTACAGTTGGAGGCGCATTTACAGTTTGGCGAAATCTCACGGAAGTTGTTGTTGAATCATTAAGAAAAAGTAAGGACTAATTGTAGAGAACGGCAATAGATAGTGATCAATCATCCCCAAACGAAACAGTTATTCAACTTTACTGTCTTAGTGATAAGGCAAGGCCTTTGTTGGAGACAAGTTGCAACCTTCAATTTTGAGGATTGTTAGAATGGAAAATTTTCGCCTAAGTTTGTGTATGGTCAGAGAAAGGAAATAAAACACCTTGGAGATAGAAATGAAGGTAGCATTATCATGACAAATCCTTCTGCATTTTTTTCCTTGCAGCTGCACAGTTCGGTGGCACTGGCTAGATTGATAGACATTCGTCCTCATTTAAGACAGAATATTTGTATAGAAAATAATCTGCAAATGACTATTGAAGTATTATCGACTTTTAAATGCAAAAACTGCCGGAAATGAGTTGCTGATTGAGTCCCATCCACACAGGAAAACTGATCGTTGGGATGATTGTGGGATTATGTAGCCGATAGAAAGGCAGAAACAGATTGTTGTTGCGGTATAACTTTGGGCGAGTGAGTAGTCCTTCTAGAGTGAATAGAGGTTGTGGGCGCTATTACTGGGTCTTCTTCTTTACATGGTGCGCTTATTTACTTCTACCAGTGTATTCCCAAAATAATAAGCATAATCTCTGATCACAAGCAATAAATTTTGAAGGAAACAAGCCCTCGTTGTATTTTTGAAAGGTTCTTTTTTGTACAATGTTATGAGTTAATTGGGAGTAAAGAGCCAGAGTTCTATGAAAAAATAAGCCAATAAAGCTTATGTGGAGGATTGGAAACAGCCCAATTTGGCAATCCTATTGGGATTTCCACTGCCTTTTGATCATCATACTTAAAACTATATTATTTTTGTTTAAAATCCTTTTTTTCGATGAAGTCATTCCATTTTGCCAGAGGTTATTTCTTAGAGGCTTGGAGACTTTTCGCCTCTTTTTTTTTTAACCATGAATTCAAAATAAAAAAGGAACTGGAGCTGTCGACGATATTCCAACCCATGACAGAGGCATATTCTGTTGCCTATGTCATTTTGTTTTTAAGCAAATGCGTGACTTCTGAATTTCTGCTCTTTTAGCAGGTGCTGCTTCAAAAGTTTTTACTCCTGTTCTGGCTGTATTTACATTATCAGTGGTATCTCATTTTTTCTGTTGAACTCAATACTAGTTCACAACCGCTTTGGATTCATGATATGAATTATAAGATGCGTGGCTGTTGACGGATAAATTTTAGACCTCTCCATTGCTTTTGTAATTTGTCTCACTTTTCGATGGCCAACTGAAAATTTCTCATTTCGAAGCTCACCTCTATTATGCTGCACAAAATTGCAATATTTTCACAAATAATGCATGAGTTTAATAAAGTTTCTGGCCATTGATTTTATCATCATCGATTTGACATATGATCGCCTACCTGGTTCTAAAATTACTTGAGATTCGCAGTTCATGCTCCTTGGCTATGCCGTTACTTGATTGGATTTGTGTTTCTGACTGTATGGCTTACCTTAAAGACTGAATCCTAATATCAACTAAAAAGGGACTAAATTCATATCTATCGTACATTGCTTGAGTTAAAGATTGGTTTAAGTTTGGAACAAAAGGTTCCCTCCTGTTCTTGTGTTTGTGGAAGCACACCATGACCTGTGTTATTTGCCTGAATCAGGGTGCTGTGAACCCCGGTGATGTGCCTGGACAAGATCACCTCCCAAACTCCAACCCCCAAATGCAGTTAAGTTCAATCCCGCAAGCTGTTCTCCCAGAGAGACCTGACCAGCCCGAGTGTCAATACTTCCTGAAAACTGGGAGATGCAAATATGGACCAGCTTGCAAGTACCATCATCCGAGAGAGAAGATTCCTTCATCGAATCCAGGCCCCATCGGCCCACACATGCTTCCCTTAAGACCAGTAAATCTGACATATTTGGATTGCTTTTCTGATTAAAACTCTTCAAGCTGCCCCGAATTACTCATCTGGGTTCTTCTTGCTTGTCATTTTTGTGGTTTTGTTATGAAGGGTCAGGCCGTGTGCACGTTTTACAGGACATATGGAAGCTGCAAATATGGCTCAGCATGCAAATTTGACCATCCATATGCATGGCCCGGATACTATGGTTACACTGCGTACCACCCTCCTTTCTCAACGTGGAGCCCATCATCCCTCATCCCATTTGAGAGAAGCTCACCGATGAACAGGACATCATCCGGCACCACAGCTCCAGAGGCTTTCAAGGTGGCTGATGGGTTCCCAAATCCGGGGATGACGAGCAATGAGCAGACGGGGGCTGATCTAGACTCACTAGAGGATCAACCCGCTCAAGCTATTTCTCCGTCGCAGACTGCCCCTTCATCAGGATCCACACAGGATCATTCTGACTGAATAATTATTCTCTCTTCCCCTTCCCCTTCTCCTTCTCTTCAGATTGACAACTGAAGATCTCCTCATGCATGACTCTGGTCTCCCCCCCTTCCACCTGCTTTCATGTAAATTAGGATCCATGAGGTCCATATGGTGGGTGTGAAGGCATGAGGCATGGAAGGTCCCCTTTTTGTGGTGAATAAAATGCAGGTGGAAGACTTTGTTCCCCTACTAGACTCAACAAAGCTTATCTGAAAACTTCTGAGTTCAACTGCGCGTTCCAGGCAAGGATCTTCTTTGTAACAGGTACTGTGTAACATCCCCTGTGCCTGCCTTCTCATAATATTTGATCAATGAATTAGCAACTCGTTCATGGGGTACTTATGTATATGCCTATGCATACATATATTTATGTGTTTCGCATGTCTCATGCATAAGAACTTCTAGGGTTTTGTATGAATATTATTTGCATTCCTTAGTCTGTGCATGGTCCGTCAATGTTTTGCTAAAATAAATCTTTGTTTTCGAGTGTTTTTTCGTTGCTTATAGTAGGCATAGCAATTGGCAGCCCTGTGGAAACTAGTCTCTACCTTCAAGGTTGAGTAGTGCTCTAACTTAAAAACTGAGTGGCACGTTTCTCTTTCATGATAGTGTGTGACAACCCTCTCTCTCTCTCTCTCTCTCTCTCTCTCTCTCTCTCTCTCTCTCTCTCTCTCTCTCTCTCTCTCTCTCCCTCTCTCTCTCTCCCTCCCTCTCTCTCTCCCTCCCTCTCTCTCTCACTTACTCTTTTCGTTAGAACTAAAGATGTTTTATAATCACTTAATAATTTGATGCTCATGTCATATGGTAATAGGCTAGACTAAGGTTTTAGTGTGGTAAGCAAGGCTCTTCACTTACTAGTTAACTAGTGACGGCCTTCATTTAGAGACCTCAATTTGTTACTCATTGATTTTGGGGTCTTTTGTCTTTCAAAGGTGAAAAAAATAAATAATGAATCAAAAGGGCCATTTTATATTTTGCATAGTGAATTCTAGTCTTTATAAAGTTACACAAAATAAGTGATTAAATATATTTTTGAGTTAGTTTAGATTCTTAAGGAAAAGAGGCAACATACTTGTGAGTGAAAAAAAGAAAAAAGTGAAAAGTTAAGGAAAGAAAATTCAACTTACACGCTTATTATCAGTACTTTAAACCATATATTTGTCATTTCTTAGGACTCTTAATCATTACTTCAATTCCATGTGTCAAGAATATGTAGTCCAAAAGTGAAGAATGATGTCAAGTACAATTCAACATTTATTTTCATTATCATATTCTCATCATGATATATAATGTTCATATCTTCATCCCAACACTTTAAACTACATGTATGAGTATTTTCTTTACTCAAAAATATTATCTCTAACTCAAGGGTATAAATTGTAATTTGATTAGAAATATATGTAATAATATAAAAGAATGATTCTGATCTGATAAAGAAAACTTTTTTGACAATTTCAAATCATAAGTATTCTCATCTGAATACTTTAAAGTGATAAAGATATTTCTTAATATTTCATGATCATTACATTTCAGATGACGGTCCAAATGAGTAGTCATTAAATTTCATCAATTGATTATAAGTGGATTGGTCATCATTGAGGCATTTTAGGAAAGTTAAGGCTCTTGAATTCAGCATCTTCATATAGTGCTAGACATAACATTGACTATATATAAGCACTTGTTTAGCTACCAAGGGTTATCACTTTCTAATCGTTGAGATCATGGCGAAAAACTCCATTCCTTTCACACATGTTGAGCTTCATGTAATCTGCACCACTATACTAACAATAACTCACACTCGATTTTTGTCTCCTATTTGACTCATGTTGAACTGGTAAAACTATAGAAGCTTCACATTAACATGTAATGTGTGTGTGTACCTAAAATAAAGTATGACTTTTCTGCCCTTGTGATTAGGATTTTGTTATAGGGTGAGGAGTGATTATTACCTTCACATTGAGAAAAAATCATTCCAAAGCCACTCTTGAAGTCAACTATAAAGAGGATTATAAAATCACAATCACATTGAGTTGTAATCTTTACCACCATAATGTAACGTCTTTTATAAAAATCATGCTGAACCAAACTCTTGGTAAAAACATAAAATTATATAGAACCTTCACGTTTAGCTACATGTGTTATTCATGTAAATTTACTATTATGCCAACAGCTTTCACCATAGGCTGTCTATGAATTGAAAAGGGCTTAAGTATTATACTTAATTAGTTGGTTATTTAATGAGAATAGTTTTAATCTTCCTATATTTCTTGTAGTCCTTACCTTATAGGGTTCCTATAGATGAAGCAATTGCCATTCACTCTCATAGGTTAGTTATATAGCATGATATGAGTTTCTCCCCCCTTTCATCACCCCTATACTAGCCTTCATTCATCATCTCTATCATTCTCTTTCTATTTGTCTTTGAGTCCATTGAATTATAATTTTTGACTAAAATATCCTTGATTTACTTCAAAGTTGCCAATAGTATTTTCTTGATTCAAAGTTTATAGGCACTCTACATACTCTTATGTGTGTGCCCAATGAAGAAACGAGGATACATTCACACATGCGTTTATGTCAAATAAACGTCTAAAGTGACAATCAAAATTAATGCAATGAGGAAAACTATATATATTTGCAATCCTCTTAAGAGCTATAAAGGGAACTCGGTTGAAAATTCAATACAAACCTTTGTATTCCAATGAGAATGCATTGAATGTTCATAGATAATGGTGGCATGTGGGAATATTAGTCTTAGGTTTACGCCACAGAGTAGGAATGTTGAACATGGAGTTATGACACATGAGATAAATGTACCAAAATAGAATCAACTGTATGTAGGCTGCAAGAGTCAACCGACGTAAGTAGCCCATGTAAGTCGGATTTTCACAATTTATTGATAGAAATCCAAATTACTTTACTGTTGGAAACATATTAAATGAACGACGCAGTATAATGAATGCCAATTTGTTCGGGTACGTTGGTCAACACACAGCGAAAGGCGTCACCACTTATTCAGCCTTGAACTATCTAAGGCAGGCGACCCACCGCAAGCTTTTCATACCCGTCCCTGCGCCATGGAAGCTCAGACTCTCTGCTGGTTCTTCATTGACCTCTGTAGTAGGAGTAGACGCCGTAGAAGGTCTGCAGGAAGGTGAGAATGAGGAGCAGGACGGCGGCGACGAAGGAGATGATGGCCCAGGGGCTGCTGAAGTAGTGGTGCCAGAGAGTGGCCCTCCACACGTTCCACCGGCGGCCGCAGTGCCGGTTCAGCTCCGCCGAGAGCGCCGCCAGGTAGCCGCCGTCGACGGTGACCCCCCGGCAGAGCCGGTTGACGAGTCCGGCGACCTCCTCGTCGCTCCCCAGCGAATGCTCCAGCACTCCCCGCTGGTGCAGGAACCCCACGTCCTCGCCGGAGTTTATCAGGTTGTCCATGAAGACGACGTAGGCGGTGATGTGCCCCCTGGCTTCTTGCAGGTGGCACTGCTCGAAAGCGATGAGGTTGAGGAAGAGTGACCTCGTGCAGTCGTGCACCAGCAGGCGAGGGATCTGCAGCACCCCGTTGCTGAATCTGATGTCCCAGAAGCGGCCCTTCCTCCGCCGGACGCTCACGCCGGCCTTCTTCAGCTCGGTGACGCAGGGCACCATCTGCTGCTTCCGCCCGTCGCCGGAGGCGCCGCCACCCGTCCGCAGCAAGCTCCGCCGGAGGAAGTCCAGGCAGTGCAGCCCCCGGTGGGGAAGAGGGTCGAAGGCGATGTCGCCGCTGCCGCCGCCGGTGGGGGAGAGGAGGGAGAAGAAGCGGGCTGCTAGGAGCGCCGCCATGCCACGCTGCGCTGGTTCCCCGAGCTGCAGGCCGAGCAGGCGGTCGAGGACGAACATGGGGATCTGGTTCTCGAGCAGGAGCATGTCGCGCTGAGCCGCGCGCATGGTAGCGTTCATGGCGAAGACGGGGTCGTGCGGGGAGTAGCCCAGCGCCTCGAAGCCCCCCGCGGCGGCAACGCCGCGGAATAGCTCGAGCATGAAGAGCCCGTCGAGCACCATTGCTTCCGCGAACTGCTCTGCCGAGAGGGGCGCACCGCCACCCTCGTAGCAGGCGCGCGCGCGGCGCTCCAGGGCCCGCGCGGCGTCGAAGTACAGGCCGGCGTGGTGCCCGCTGCGGCGGAGGACCATCTGCAGGGCCCGCCATTTGTGGAGCTCCATGGCCCGCAGCTGCTGCTTCGCCCCACGGTGGAAGGGCCCGATGGAGACGGTCATGGGGGTGTAGTGGCACTCGTCTTCGCTCCCCCTGAGCGAGATGGGCACGCGGTAGATGGAGATCTTGGCCCAGGGGCGGGAGGACTCGACCTTCCTCGCCTGTTCAAGGTTTCCGATTATGGTAACGGCCCACTGCAACTCCGCCTTCTTTTGCCAGGGGGGTCTGGGTAGGCCGGCTTCCATGGCCTGCCTGAGCCTGAGGGTGATGAGGTACCAGCCCAAGAGCTCCTCGTTGAAGGAGGCGACCATCTGAAACACAGATGAAGCTCTACAAGGAGAAGGAGATGGAGCAAGGAGATGAAGCGGAGGGCCTCAAGCGTTTCTGTGGGGAGGAAGACGAGGAGGTGGTACCCTCCAGAGGAGGGAGAGTATCAAGAGAAGACACGCAGAGCAGGTACGGGAGGGGTCTGCTCCTAGCTGGCTGCCTGCTTCCTTTCCGACCTTACGGTCAATCGTGACTGCCCGACAGGGCTAGTAAGTCTCAAGACGTTGGAGATCACCACCCACCCCCTCTCCTTTTGATCGAACAGCAGCTTTGACCCTTCGGTCATTCAATCGCAAAAGGCCCCAGTTTGTTAACCGGTTAGTTTCGCATCGAATCCCCAATTCTAATTCCGCTAGCGACGTTGACAAAGGAGCTGACTTCCACCGTCCAGCTACCCTCCTGATCTAATAAGTCAACAAATTCATCCATGCTCAATCATTGGCAACTGGACCGGCCTCTCGTGAGTTGCTCAATCATCCGTAACCCAGCCTATTCCAGTTCCAACCAATTATCAAACTGCAGCTAAAAAGACCTCGAACCCTCAAGTCAAATCGATGAATAACAGCCAAAACACCTGCTCCTCTGGAAGTTGAATCGCCATGACATGAGGTGCTAAAGTCAACCCTGCGTGGTTAAAAGGGAAACAAAAGGAGAGGAGCACACAGACGCCGAGCCCGAAAAGCCTCAAAAATTTAATAGAGAACGGACGGACAAGCTGATCACTTATCCACAAAATCCCAACCCGTCTGAAGTTGCAAAGCCCGACGGTGGGGGCAGAATCTTTTAAGCCACTAATTTTAAATAATAAACTCAGAAAAATGCAGGAAGAGAAAAAAAAAAAACAGGGTAAGGCGCAGATCAAATGAGGTCAGCAACATTGGAAGGAAGCTCCTCAATGACGACATTGTAGAACCTCTGGATGTCGGACAACATCCGCTCATCGTCCTGGGTGACAAAGTTGATCGAGACACCCTTCCTGCCGAACCGGCCACTCCGCCCAATTCGATGGAGGTAATTCTCCGGCTGGGTCGGCAGATCATAGTTTATGACCAGAGAAACCTGCTGGACATCGATCCCACGGGCAAGGAGATCGGTGGTGATGAGCACCCGAGACGACCCGGATCGGAATTCCCTCATGATAATGTCCCTTGTGTTCTGATCCATGTCGCCGTGTGTTGCCGACACAGTGTGATCACTGCTCCTCATCTGATCGGTGAGCCAGTCAACCTTGCGGCGGGTGTTCACGAAGATGACGCTCTGGGTGATGGCCAGTGTCTCGTAGAGATCGCACAGGGTCTCGAGCTTCCACTCCTCCTTGTTGACATTCACGTAGAATTGCTTGATACCCTCCAGAGTGAGCTCATCTCTCTTGACCAGGATCCTCACCGGCTTGTTCATGAACTTGCGGGTGATCTCAAGAGCCTCTGGAGGCATAGTGGCAGAGAAGACCCCGATCTGAATCTTCGAAGGGAGAAGCTGGAAGATATCGTAGATCTGGTAGAAGAAAAAAATAATGTGAACATGAGATGAAGGGACAAGAAAGCGATTAACTGTTTGCAATTTCCAGACAGATTTCCACCGATTGTACCACAAAGAATCACAGGATTCTTCAACTTCATTCAGTATGTAATCAGATGCAAGAAACAAAAAAACACAAGGAATAGTCAGAGAACAAGATGCGATTGCACAAAGACACAGAAAGAAGCTTCTTATTCTTCATTAAGAAAAAATATCCAGTGAAATTACAAAGGAATTCAACACGTTCCAGAAGCAAAAAAAGGGGCAGTGACCCATTGAAGCGTCATTCCCCTCACCATTCAAATTGCTTTCTCCTAGGAATCCAAAAAAAAAAAAAAAAAGAGCACTGCAGCGTAGTAGCATGTCACTACATTATGATTTCTTGACTGTTCTCTAAAATCAATGATAACCGCCAGCAACAAATCAATTATTAATTTCTAAATCCGAAGTGAATCTAAAGTAACACTTGTTTAAAGTGCACAGAACCAAATACGTGCAAAATATAACAGGAGAAGAAATCAAAGGCAGACAATGAATTATTCTCCAAAAACCCCCCACACATCATTTTCACAGTAGCAATGCGAAAGAAAATAGTAATCACGAGTTATACAAAGAGAGACCTGATCTTTGAAGCCCCGAGAGAGCATTTCATCAGCCTCATCCAAAGAAAATATCTTAATGGAGTTGGGCCGCAGATACTGTCTCCGTAGCATGTCAAAAACGCGCCCTGGCGTACCAACAACGACGTGAACCCCACTTGACAGAATGCGCTGATCCTCACGAACACTCGTTCCTCCCACACATGCATGAACTTTCACACCGAGGTAGTCGCCGAGTGCCCGCATGACCTTCTCAATCTGTTGGGCCAGCTCACGAGTTGGTGCAAGGACCAATGCCTGGCACTCCACCAAGCTGTAGTCAATCTGATGCAGAATTCCAGCACAAAATGTTGCGGTTTTCCCAGTTCCTGACTGCGCCTGTTGAATAACATCCAATCCTTTGCAAAAAGGAACAATTCCTCTCTGCTGTATAGCAGAAGGTTTCTCAAAACCTGTGCAGAAGAAGATTTGGTGGATTAACCAGGAAGTAAATAGCGAATACACAATAAAAAAATGAACCAGGAGATTTTATTTTTATTTTTTTATCGTGTTACCATAGGCATAAATGCCTCTGAGCAGGTTCTCGTGCAGGCCCATAGAATCAAAGCTCTCATAAACCTCATCATAATAAGTAAAGAAATCTTGTCCTTCTTCTTGAAGCCTGTATTTAATAGCAGAAATGAGCTAGACGACATAAATGCCTCAAAAAAGGGGCTGAATTAAGATTCTGCAATCAAAAGATTCAAGATGGAAATTACTCCTTCATTTTGGCATCATAGTGACGCTCGTCAAACTGAGATGCTTCTGCTGCTAGCCCCGCCATGATCACGGACAGTAAAGAGGAAACCAACAAGCCCAAGACGACTGCATGGAAAAAAAACCAAGACAACCACAAACGATGAGTATTGGGATACACCTGCTAAACGGGACACCATAAAGCTGTCTCAAAGGCGTAACTCTCATACGCTAATATAAAGAAAGTGAACATAGTCGATCCCACCAGCCATTCATTCAGAAACCATATGATAGATAGGCACATAGAACGCCCAACAAGGCCATTGCGTCAAACGGAGAGCACATGAACCATGAATGCAATAGTACCAAACAACAGCACAATAAGGAGCATCATCCCCCAGAACGAGTTAAAAAGAAAAACAGAAAAACAACCAAACACTCGAAATTTCTCACGAACTCTGACCACGCCAAACGAGGAAAAAAAGGTCCAAAAAAGAGAGATCAAATGCAAAAAGAAACCCTCCACAACCCTTCTCGCTCCATGCACGCAAAGGTTCTGAAATACGACCCACTACCACCCTCCCTCCAAACCCATCAACAGCACAGCGCAAACCTACAGTTTCGATGGAAAATCCCCAAACAAACAGCATTCAGTGAACAGGAGGCAGAGGGGACGGAAGGCGGCACCAGACCTGCAGCAGCGGCGCAGAGAGAGAGAGAGAGAGAGAACGAAGTCGACGCCGATGAAACCGCACTGCCGCACGACGTCTTCCCTTATGCACGATGATAGGGTTCGAGAGACAAACACCGAAGCTATATAAAATCCTAACCGTCCGATTAAGGGGCTTCATATTGACGGCAAAGATGGAATCGAACGAAGACAGCGTGGGACTACCGGACAAAATAAAGGATCCGATTACCCAAGTCGCCCAACGGATTCGTAGGGTTCTCGGAGCCCTAAAAAGCAGTCTGACAGCGGATTAGCACCCAGCGTTCCTGGTTTCACGCGCTGAACCGGCGGAACAAGTTAAGTGAGTTTAGATTTGAGATCAAATTACTTAAATACCCTGATGGTCGGATAGTGAGACGGCAATCATATTATATTCTTAAGTCATATTATTTGGTTATATTTACTACCATATATTGGCATGGCCTATATGCTAACCAATACAAGAAGGTCATATAATTTGAAATATGTGCAACTTTATTATAGCATATATGGACATACAGCCTACCATGGCTATATAGCCATATCAAGTGATAGACATACTCCACTAGTTAAACATAAATACACAATAAAGAACACATGTCATTGTACGTATTTTGTATACTATCATATATCTATGATAGTGAAAGTATGATCACATTGGAATGTAATTTATGTGTCATTGTTGATAGTTATGTACTAACATATTTCATTATTCAGTCTTTATATATTTTTATATATACTAACATATTTATTAATCCAAATGTGATTTTAGGTATGATTTTCATAGTACACTAGTCCCAAATAAGTTAAATGGTACGCCAATAGGGAGGAGGGGTTGAATTATCTAATTGTAAATCTTTTTATTTAGTTAGGGTTTGAATAGTTCCTCGTAGACTATGTTAATGGGATTGGCTTAGTAGATTTACTTATTAATGCCCAACAAAAAGCATTCTCTTAAAATTACAATGATTAGGCCTCTGTAAGTTTGCATCTAGTTACTAAGGGTTAATGTCATAAAGTTATATTATTTACTCTCGGAGAACAAAAATCCTTATACTGAAGATTTTACAAGTATATCTATGCCATGTTGGACACAGAGATAAATAGCGTGTCTTCCTCTTGTTATCAAATTTTACTATAAATGCCTTCAGGTATGAGTACATGAAATAGCTAATGTACATCTGGTCCTCACAATTAGAAGAAGTGCTCTCCATTAAGTTGGTGTTTGGAAGCTTGTGGGAAGTTTGGGTGATGTAGCATGTAATAGAGTAATCAACTAGAAAGATATGTACAAATTAATTGAGTTGATAGTGTGAATGTCATTGTTGAAAAGCCAACAAAATGAGTAACTTATGGAGCCTTAGAACTTGATCATTAGAATTTAAACTGTTGACATTCAATTAGTCAAAGATTTATCGAGTTAATTTTAAGTTGACTCATAGAACAATCTACCTGGGCAACATACATGTCCTTTAAATTAATTTGGAAATGATTAGAGGCTCAATTGCTTTAGAAATGAGTTGTAGAGGCGAAAAGATTAAAAGAGGAACCAAGACTTTTGGTGGGCCCAAATAAAGTGCAAGGAGACTAAGACAAACCTAATTTGTTGGGAAGAGTTTTTTTGTTCTATTTCTATTTTCTTTTCTGTTTTTGTGTCTCTATTTTTTTGTGTTGTATATTTTTGAAACATTGGCTAAGTATCCATTTGGATTACTCTCTTTACTTTGAGGGCACCCCACTTCAATTTTACGATTATTTAAAGCCTCCCACCTTGTAACTATTGTTTTTAAGACCTCAAAATGTTTTCATGATATGAATAATTATCTAATAAAATCATGAAATTGACAACAACAACAACAACAACAACAACTTGAAGAAAAAAATTCAAGTGTCAAAAGATATATCTTGTTCTGATTTTATACAAATTAAGGAGGAATAAAGTAGCATATAGATACTCATTGGAAGCTGAAATAAGGAGAAAATCAATACATCAAAAAAATTATGAGTTTGATTTTATATGATTTTTTTAAAAAAAATGTAAAAGTAATTTCTTTGTATTGTTTTTCGAGCACAACCAATTAGAGGTTAAAGGAACGTCCTCAAATAATCGAAGAAGAAAAGAGCAGTTGAGGCCTAAATGCCAAAGCATCTTCAAACAAAAAAGTGCACTAAGGGCCAAATAGGAAAGTGATCTCAATAGAGGGCAGCCATTAAAGGAGGTGGTCCAACCCATTAAATCTAAATTAAAAAATGGGATATTCTGCCCAAATTAGGGCACATAAAACAGAACAAAAATTATGGGTGGATGATATTCATCACGAGCTCTCTCTTCCACCTCTTCCTTTTATGTATGAAGAACCTTGGATGAAATCACCATCTTGAAGCTTCATGTTTGAAGAAAAATCTCAAGCAGCTTGCTCCCTCTCCGAATTGGTATGCATCAACTCAGTCATTCGATGAAGTAGAAACTCTCTATCTTCTATTGAAGGCAGTGGCAAAAAATATCTTATATTGATTCTTTGTTTTTTTTGTTTCTTTGCTATGTTGGTCTTAAGAGTTTTGTATGTCGAGGCAACTATGGCATGACTACAATGAGGTCGACTTAGAATATCTATAGCCTAAGGTTCTTGTGAGTTAACATAGACATGCAAAGTTTAGATTGTATAAGGGGTTGTTGATCTCAAGAAAATCAATTGTATTATGGAGATTAAAATAGTGAAACCAATATTGTGATCTCATAAATAGAGGTAGATCAAAAGGGGTTTCGTTGAACGAATGTAAAATCCTTTTGTCACGAATGTTTTCTCTCCTTATATCAAGATTATATTAAAATTAAGAAAAATATTATAAAATATAAAAATATATAATCATATTATATACATATATTAAGAATCAATTAATCTCCTCCCCCTTTTAATTTTTCCTCTCATTTTTATCTCTTATGAGTGTTGATCTCTACTTTTAGACTCAAGTATCACTCTCTTGTATATTCTAGGGAACCATGTCAATTCTTGTGAATTCAAGACTGCCCCCAACAAGTCTTTATGGATTCAAAGGTTCAGATTTACATATTTGTGGATTTAAAATTGATTTCTTCGTAAACAAAAATTGCCATGTGGATTCAAGATTAGATTTTTGCTATTTCCTCCATCTAAGTTGTGTCATACAATAACAAAATGAGATAGTTAAGAAAGAGACTTTGGAATGATCTCACTAGGTGCACAAAGTAAAATGAAGCCAGTGGATTCTGAAGCATGTGGTGTAATCACACAAATATTTCTCCTTTCTCTGACTTTAGTAAGACCGACATTGCAACAATGTCGTGAGAAGGTCATTTAAAATGCCCTAATTTGAATAGATTTGTTCAAAAAAGGAAAAATATTGATGGCAATCATCAAGTACAAAAAGTGGCAAATATGCCATGGTCAGCTCTATTTGATATGCCCGAATTTAGGGCATATGAAGCCCTTCATGCCAAGTCCCAGCGTAATATATGAACAAAAATATCAGATAAAATCAGATCTTTTATTTTGCAGACTCTTTGGATGGCCCACTTTTTTGTCTCTAAAAACGTAATAAACTCTATGGGTTACTAATATTAATGAATGGGACAAAAGGGCCCTATGCTGGACCTGGGACTTGGGTTCGGTCAAGGGCTGGCCCGGTCTGTCCGAACCGGATGACGTGTCCCGGAAGGGATACCAGAGCTGCAACCGGTGATGGGACCGGGTGGGCGGCGAACGGAAGCGAAGGGTTTCTTCTTTTTTAATTGTGGAAGCAAAGTGGATGTGACAGCTCATCCGGATTTGACCCTCCAAGACTGGTTCAACCGGTCGTCGTAGTTGCACAGAAACCCTCTCGCCTTCAGACATCTAACAATTGGTCAAACTTCCCTTTTACGGATTACTCCTTGATGTTATGTAGATTGATAATCTAGGACTCTGGCAAGTCATATGTATCAGGTCAACGCAAGACCCGTGGAGAGAGAGAGAGAGTGGGGAGAAATCCGGCGGGGTATATATGCAAATAAAAGCGTGAAGAACAAGACCATCGGGTGGCGGTCTGGCCAACAGACGCGTAGCAGTCGCAGGCTAACAGAGACGCGCCAGCCTTCCTCTCCGCGTCCCCATTGCTTTGACTCTTTGTACGTCTCTCTCTCTCTCTCTCTCTCTCTCTCTCTGTCGCTATATTTCTCTCTCCTTCTTTCTCTCTCTTGCTGGACTTCCTCTGTATCGCCGCCAGAATCCCGTCCGTCTCCGGCGGCCTTTCGTTCTCGCTTTCGCTTTTCTTCTTTTTCCGCCACCTCGCCCGCAGCCCAAGTCGTCGTCTTTGCTCCCTCTCTCCCTCTCCTCTCTCCTCTCCCTTTCTCTCTCTTCTGGTTGATACTTGGCCTTTTCCGCGAAATCGATCTGTGGGTTCGGTCCGATTCGCCATTTTGACTCGAGGAGAGAGTGGGGCAGAAAGAAGGCGGAGACTTCGATGGCGGTGGAGCTGATGATGGGATGCGAGGGCGATGGAGGCGGCGAAGGTGGAATTCCAGAGGGCTCGGTGGAGGAGGCGGCGCAGGCGGGCTTGCGGAGCATGGAGAAGCTCCTCCGGCTGCTCTCGAGCCAGTCGCCGGAGAAGCCGCCGAAAGAGGAGGGGCCAGAGGTGGCGGTGGCGGCGGAATGCCGGGGGGCGGTGGCGATGTTTCAGAAGGTGATCTCCCTCCTCGACCACGCCCGCACCGGCCACGCCCGCTTCCGGCGAGCCCCCATCCTCCCACACCAGATGAAGAGGCTCGCCGGCAAGGAGGCGGCGCCGGCAACGGCGGAGGCGAAAAAGAGGAAGAAATACGACGAGGAGGGCTCCATACAGCGGTTGCCGCCGCTGCCTCACATCCATCAGAACCATCATCTTCTGCAGCGAACCAGATTCTCCGCCGAGGACCGGGCGGCGCCGAGGGCCGCCGGCGGCCAGCCTCCCGGGTCCTCTTCCTTCTCCCTCCCCCCGAAGAGGAGCTTCGGGACGTCGTCGGGGGGAGCCGGCGGTGCTTCAGGCAAATGCCACTGCCCCAGAAGAAGGTGAGTGAACGAACAATCTGATTATATCACAGTTTGTTCTTCGTCTTCGTCTTCACCGTCATCTGATGATATGGTAGCAGGAAGTTGAGGTTGAAGAGGACGGTGAGGGTGCCGGCGATTAGCTCGAAGATGGCCGATATCCCCCCGGACGACTACTCCTGGCGAAAGTATGGCCAGAAGCCCATTAAGGGCTCCCCTTACCCACGGTATTCTCCCTCTCCCTTCTCTCTCTCTCTCTCTCTCTCTCTCTCTCTCTCTCTCTCTCTCTCTCTCTCTAGCTAGCTCTTTCTGGAGCGATTACCATCCCTCTTTTCTTTATCTTGTAGGGGGTACTACAAGTGCAGCAGCTTGAGGGGGTGCCCAGCGAGGAAGCACGTCGAGAGGGCACTGGACGACCCCACCATGCTGATCGTCACCTACGAGGACGACCACCTCCACGACCCCTCAGATCCGGTGGCGCTTCCGTGTTAGCCGGCCGGAGGTGGGCATCCGGCGCCGCCGGTGCCTTGCTTAAGATCCTTCTCGTCGCAGCTGTTCACCGGACGATAAATCGTAGAGACCCCCATCCCTCCTCTCTCCTTAGAGATTACCTTCTTGACTACTACTACTGGTTTTTATACTCTTCTCTTGACCCACCGGTGCAACTGGCGGCGGCGGCGGTGGCGGCGGAGATAGCTTCCGGTGGGAGACCGGCGGCGTGGATCAGGATCAGGGCAAGGGGACTTGGTTCTTTTGTTGGGGACCCAGTCAACTTGTAACGTTTGGAGGGTGTCTAGAGAGAGATGGGGGTGGTGCAGTAGGGGTTTTAGAGTGAGGTGGTGGCCACCGATCGACTCTGCAATGAAGACCCAACATTATGTTCGTGAAGGGTCCCATAATGTCCGAACACCTTTTGTCAACGCGCGGCATGTTGGTCGGTAAGAATTGGGCTTCCTGTTACCCTTCTCCGAGGGAACCAGTTAGTATCCTTACAAAGTGTCAACTTGCACACAAATGAAAAGGAAAGACCATTTAGTGTCTATAATGGTTTTAAATTTCCTTTTGACTTGAATTCAAATTAGACAACTTTACCTCAATTTGAAACTAAGTAAAAATAGTTGTCAAGTTACTTGTAGTGAATTCATTTTAGTATATGTTTTGAAAAAGTCAACTCATATTAGTGATAAAGAGAGGACACTAATATTATAAATAATTGGTTGATATTTTAGATGGATTTGGAATAAAAATGTGCCACTTTTTGAAAAAATTCAAAAACTATTTTTTTAATCAAGGCCACATATTTCAATCAAATTTTTATTTTTATTTTTGAAAAAGAGTTAGCATAGGTCTTGTTGATTCATTTAACTATTTGAAAACTTGGTGTTTGCAGAAAAGTATTGAAATAAATGCCATGATAGTAAGCCTGTTATTGAGGACAACCATTTGATAAGATTTGTCCCATTTACATGTATTGAAGAAATACTCCCTTTGCACCTGAACAGAACGAGGTCTAAGTCCCTTTGGCACATCTCTCTCTCTCTCTCTCTCTCTCTCTCTCTCTCTCTCTCTCTCTCTCTCTCTCTCTCTCTCTCTCTCAGTGTCTCACATCTAATATCTAATGTAATGGACAAAATTCTCTTGGTTCATAACTTTTAAAAAAAATCTCTAAGGAGCAAGTCTCCCTATAGCATAAACCCTCTTCTTTCATAGATTTCACAATACAAATGGACTTGTATTCAAATTATTTTGTCCAGAGTTTTGTAAGAAATTCAATTAACATTATCATTGGATCCACAATGGGTGGAAGAGTATCCTTCAATCCACAAGGACTGATAATCAAAATTTTAATTTGGGTGGAAAACTGAAAAATGAGGCAAACTCTAGGTGTAGAAAGGAATTAGTAAAATGACAACCAAAATGGTATAAAATTAAGGACCTAGAAACATCAAGTTGGTGAAATATGTATAAAAAAATAGGTAAAAAAGTCTACCAACATGCAAGCTCATCAAACATTCAAACCTAGTAACTTACAAAATTCGTTTCTAGGGGCATTCAAAGTTAGGACAAGGGTATCAAATTAAATATGACTAGTACTTTCTTAATTTAAGTTTTTAATCCATATAGCTTTACATAATCAACATGCATGCCATTCCTCTATACTTTTTGTTGATGCACAAATATTATAAAAACTTATGAATCTTAAACTGCATTATACTTTAAAGGCAAAATAAATGATAAAAGCCAAACATGTAATTCCTAAGTGTAGAGAATAAGCTCTTCTCTAATTTTTCAAACGTTTCATGATCACATTAAATTGTGATCAAGGTTCATCCACTAGAACTTCAATGGCGAATAAAAAGTTGCATCAATCATGTTTTCGATGTTGATGATTCAAAAGAACATTCATTCCAAAAGTTCAAGTTCTCAATCAAACCTTAAAATATTTGGGTGGTGAGTGAAGAAGTATTTAGGTTAAAATACATGGTGCTAAGAGTGTGCCCTTGAAGGTTGAGGTCTCTAAGGAGACTAAAATAGTGTGGTTGGGTTGTTAATTTCATTAAAATCGGTGTGTACTTATGAGAGAAAATAATAAACTTTAGTATAAAGAATCCTTAGCAATTGAAAGTAGCCAAGTGAGAGGAAAACCAATATAAAAATCATTGGTGTCCTTAGTAGTGAATATAGAATCATGTGGGAACTTATATGGAGAGAAAGAAAGAGCCTTGAGCAAATTCATAGTGAGAAAGAGAGAACTATGAGAAAATCCATGTCAACATATCTAGTGATAGATACAAAATCAAAAATGATAAAAAATTATAGAAATCTAATTCACCCAGCTTCTTGGTGTTTCACCTAGCCTCCATTGAACCTACAAGTAAGCTATAGGCCTTATATGATTTAAGACCTTAAAGGATCCATAATACCTTAGTACTATTTTTCTTTTTCTAAGGATTTCATCTTGTAGGGCCTAAGCATCAATAAATTTGATCACCCAATAAAAATTCAACATCCCTTCGATGTTGTTCATGGTCTATAATTTAATAGAGGTGAGGAATCTCTCTCATGTAAAGACTTAAATGGAATAGTAATTACGGCACTATAGTTAAAGGTATTGTAGATGTACTTTGCCTAATGAAGTTATGTCATAATTTTGGGTTGCTTGAGAAGTAACATTAGAATTAATTTTTATAACAACAATTTACCACTTCTCTTTGATTGTCAGGTGGTGAATGGTGCACTATCTTTGCTTGAGTTTGGTGTTTTGGTGCTTGAAAACTTTGGAGCAAAGGGTACACATAAAGGTGGGGTTACAATATATCATGTAGGTTGACAATTTCTTGTGTAATCTAGTTAATTATCAATATTATTGTAAATAAGTACTTTAGTGAAATAAAATAACTATATTAACTTGAGTGGTCCATTATGACTAAGATAAAGTTATACTTTTGTTGATCTTGGGAGACCTTCAATAAGATCCATAAAAACATATTCATAAACTTGTTTAAGAGTTTAGAGAAGTTGAAGTAGACTCATTGACAATAATGAAGAAGATATATTTTCTTGGCACATCAAGTATTTGTGAACATAATGCAAAGTCTTCTATTTCATCTTAATCTAATGGACCTACTATGCTACCTTTTTGTATGTTTTAAAGAATTTTAACATGCTCACTTGTTGGGCTATCATAAAATTTCTTCAACAAGGTTTCAAATATCACAAATTTAGAGGGAATCAATCGGTGTCACTTATACAATAAGAGCCCATGGTGAAAGACATATTGATGGTTGGTGCTCTTTCCTTGAAATAGCACCTACCATATTACTAACATCTAATTCAGGGGCCAATGATAAACTTGTTGCCTATAATTTACATTGATTAGGCAATCTAGGTAATACATTTATGGCCTTGTTTTGAACTCATTTGTATCTATTCTCAAAATCAAATTTCATTAGTTTTAAAACCCAATTCTAATATGAGGTGAATATTTGACGTTGTTATATGAGGAGCTTAAGGTAATACTAACCTATGCAAATATCAAATTTTGTACCCAAAAGATAATTTGGCCACTTGAGCACCACTAACATAATAAAAGAGTTTGACTTAAAAACTATTTGGCTGCCCATCTTGCATTACAATACTTCCAATCCATGGCCAAAAGCATATGTTTATAAAAAGAAATGAGTAGAGAAGTTTGGTAACACTATCATAAGTATGAATGTCATTATATCCTTGAGTTGTTCAAATACCTTTTTCATCAACTCATTATAGTTAAAAGTGTCTTTCTTGAGTTGTCGTTTGAATGATCTTGTTAGGATTACATAGCCTACAACAGATTTACACTAACAACTTATTAAACTTAAAAAGTTCTTTTAATTCATCCGGATTTGAGAGAGTGAGTCATTTTAACATAATTTTTTCCTTGGTATGTTGCTATGTTTGTTGTCGATATCTAATGCCCAAGATACTCCAATTGTTTTTGTGTGGACAAATATTTCTTATGTTGATATATAATCAATTCTCTAAGAAAATAAGAAAGATAAGTTACAAGTGTTGATAGTGTTATTCTTCATCCTTACAAGTAATCAGCATATAGTGAAAAAGAAACTAGAATAGATCTTTGGAGAAAACATCAAAAATATATTATTCATTAGTAACTGAATTATGACAAGGCAATTCATCAAGTCAAATAGCATCACTATGAATTATTAATAGCCATTATTAGTTTTGAAAGCTATCTTATAGATATCTTCCTCCATCCAAATCAAATATAGTGAAAAAGGTTATTTCATGTAACTGATTGACTAATTTTTTTACCAACAAGGTAAGGAACTGGTTAGGGATTGTGGTTTTAATCAATCTTCTATAATCCACACAAAAGTGTCATCCCCTATCATTTTATTCAATCTTGTATTGGATTGAAGATTTAAGAAAATTCAACTTCAGGTTGTTTATCTAAATTGGAGTAAATTTTCTCATATCATCAGCCTCATTGTATACCCTCAATTGGTGCAGCTCTACTAATAGTGTCCCACAATTCTGAAGCTCTTTAGTCATTATCTTAAAAGTTATATTCAATTTGTTGACATGGGACTCTTCCTTCAAAGTCATAATTGCTCCATCAAAATATAAATTTATATTGAAAAGTCCCTTGTAGGTTTGAGTCATCTCTAACATCATCTATGTCATTGAATAACATCCATGCTACCTAACTCTAATGGGTAAGTAATAATGTACGATAGTTAAATCTTGGATTAGTAGTACCACCCTCTTTTCCTTCACTATTGTCCAAGATAACCTTATGGTTGTCTCAAAGCAAGGTATTTTCCATTTGTCAACCAACTAAGCACATGTAAAATTGTGGGTGGTTGCGTAATTGATTAGAATGGTGACATTACATTTTTGAATGAGACCTTTTAATGCCATAGTGCACAATTCTAGAAGTCATATCATGAAATTAAGGGATACTTACTCCTTTCTTAGAGGATCTTCCTTTTGTTTATTTACTCATCAAAACATTGTAATCTTATGTCTTTGAAATCCCCTCAATTATTTTTAATGCATTTACTAGGTCACAATCTTGTTCATGTACTAATAAGATTTGAAGTTAGTTTTTGCAACAATGTCTTGGAATAAATTTTTCATCATAGTAGAAACACAACTCTTTTTTTGTGTGCTCATAATTTTGACTTAGTGAGAGTCAATATGTATCTCCCTACTTGGCATTAACCAACTACCATGAACTTTGACTTTTTGATTCCTATATGTATGTCAATATTCTCTTGACCTAATATCTCTCGACTTCACTCTATAAGATTTCAAAAATGAATCAAGCTCATGGATGTTTGAGTTTAAGTCTTTTGAATTATGTGGTGGTTTAGATTCCAAGTCACCCATAGGTTGCAGATCCCCTTTCCAATCAATTGTGAGAAGTCCATAACTTCTTGTAAACCTGTCAATCTGTTCATGTTGAGTTGAAATTGAATTTTCTCTTTCATACCCTTGATATAATTATCTTCCATAATTTCTTCAGAAAATCATTTTAAAAGGCAGATAAGATCTTAAAATCTCATTGATACTCGACTATCATTCAATCCTTCTTGAGATTTAAGAATTGTTAATAGACATCGCCCTTTAGAGATCAAGATAGAACATCACCTTCTAAACATATCACTACATCATTCAATCTTTTTTTAAATAAAAAATATTTATCTTGAAATAAAGTTTCATGCCAAAGACCCAAGCACTGTGTTATCACCATTGAAGATTGGATTGGTCAACCTTCAAAGACCTTTGGTACCTTCACGACGACTCTAGTGCTCCCAAATCTAGGGCCTTCCGATAATCTTGGGATGATGTATGATGTTGTATCATTATAGGGATCCCACATGAACCCTAAAATACTTAGAAAGGCCTTCAATCCAATAATATGACATCCTTAATAGTCCTTTGAGGACTGACAAATCACAACCTTATCCTTTTTCATACAGTGTGTCGTTGACCCATGGACTGGCCCTTTTGAGATGGTCTTTTTTGCCTTATGAGGTATGTAATAGCCGGTCGTATCAATTCCTATGATATTTCGGAATTACTGTTTATGAGGTATCCTTTTTAAGTGTAAGTGTAGGGTCCACTAGGACGCCCCCCCTCCTCTCTCTCTTCCTTAAGAACGGAAGGGAAGCTTTGACCCCCCGCAGAGGAGGGATGGACGTCCTCTTCGGCTCCATCGACGTGAGAGAGCTCCTGCCGGCGGCCGGACGGAGCCTGAGGAACGAGGATGGTGAGGAGGACCACGCGACGACCCCCCTCTCCGCGCCGGACCTCCGCCTGGTCATTGACCGTCTCCAGGTTCGGTCTCTCCAAATCAAGGATCGGGTCCGCGAGTACGTGCTCGCCAACCGCGCTGAATTCTCTGCGATCTTCTCTTGCTGCGCCGATGTCGCCTCCTGCTCCGACGCTGTGTCCGAGGTTCTCTCTAGTGCGGTGCGCACCCTCTCCGGCGGCGACGATGATTGCCCCGTCGATGTCCGAATCCGGGACATCGCAAATGAGCTCACCGATAAGAGGCGGGAACTCGAGGAGCGAAAGAGCGCCTTGGTCCTTGTGCAGGCGATTGCGGTCCTCCGAGACAGGTTAGAGTCGGTGAGGATGGACAGCCAGGCGTGGAGGTTCGTGCATGCCGCGGGAACATTGCGGGATCTGAAGGGTGCGCTGTTGATTCCGGACGGCGCAGTGGAGGATCAGATGGAAACGGACGAAGAGCCCGTGGTCCACGGCTTACTGAGGAGGGAATGGTACCTGTGCCTAGATGAGGTGGGTTCCTCATTGTTTTAATGTCTTTTTTAGTTCTTCTTTCCTCCCATGGAGCTTTTGTTTTGTGTATATTCTGTGCTCGTTGAGAATCCATTTGGCCGCTTTCAGTTGCAAGGCGTGCTTGCGAGACTTGTAGAGAGTGCCATCCGATTCGAGCCAGAAAGTGGCCTTGTAGAGGTAAGCCAGGGGTTGAAAGGCAGCAACGCGGAATACGTTGAGTTTCAAAGGGTGCTGGAGGCAATGGATGTGAGTACACGTTTGGCATCTACCGACTAATTTTCATCATTTATTTTATTATGAATTATCTTCGTCTTCCTTTGAATGAATTGATACATCAATTATCCTTGACGTGTGCTGCACCGTTTAGTCTAATTTTCCGTGTGCGTTCTTTATGACCTTGACTTATAACTTTCAAGCACATGATTTGTCGACGTCTCCAACCGATATACTTTTGTGTCTAAACTATCATTCTTATTTCTTGCATGCTGCTTGAAATTAATGCATTTTTATTTTATTTTAAAACTCTGGTTCAACTCATGTGCCATACGGTTAAACATATTTTAATGGCTGAGAATTGAGTGCTAAGAGGTCATCATAGTGTGGAATAAATCGTCATCTGTTTTTCATCCGAGGTTCTGATGTTAGTGTTTTTTTCTTACCTGCAGATGATCAATAGTCTTGATTATGGACTGGCAAAAGTAGCAGACCTAATGATCAAAAATCTCGTGACTCCAATAATATGTGATAGGTTTAAAACTCCCCATATTGAAGAGTTATCTTGGGATTCTGATGAAAAGGCTGTAGCAATTCTTCAATTACTCCCACCTCCAGAACCTCAGGTACCCACTATATTGGGACTTTTCATTTCTACCTTTGCATCCTTTAAGATTTTTCTCATTCAATATGCATTGAATACTTTAATAATGAGTATCCTGTTTAGTAGGATCTGAATTCCCAGAACTTTTACCCAAGCGATATGTTCTTCTTTGTTTGAAATGTGACATGCTAATGATATCCTCAAAAATGTTCTTCTTTTCATCTAAGCAGTTTTCGTTATTTGTTTTTTAAATATGAAGTGTTTGCTATTCTTCTTGAACAATCTGCACAATTTGAGCTTCCTGAGGATCACTTAAACAGTAAATTTCCTGTTATCAGTTATCTTATTTCAATTTTCAGTATGTTTAGGATTTGAGTTCGCTTGCTGCTTGTAAAACATATCACATTTTATTTTTTTTTACATCTAAATTTTTCTTCTTCTGGCTGCAATAGTTCGTGAAAAATAGTGTGTAGTTCCCTTGTTATTCAAATAAAAGTTATATTTGTGAGTCGTGGTTTTTCTATCAACCTTGCCTGTTGCATTAGTAGGCAGCACTAAGTACACGAGGTGTGACGAGTTTTATAGTAGTTTTGTCAAATCTTAAGCTACTAGCTCCCCATGAAAATATTTTTAGCAAGAATACAGGTTTTGTTCAATAGAAAGCTTATACGTTATTGTAGAAAAGTGAATTTTATATGGCTCACTTGATTGCCAAGGAGATCACCTGGAACTCTTTTGACCTTGTGAGAGAGTGCTCTGAGAGTGCTCGCTTCAATTTGGAATTCATAAGTGTCTTTAAGATCTCATATAAGCAGGCCTTTTATACCATAAGACAAATAACTCACAATTAAAAAGATCCCTCTTTCACTGACTAAAAACTACATTTTTGTAACTTCTGGTCAAATGGTGCTTGCAAATATTCAATGGCCAGAGTAGGGATTAACCCACTCAATCTTTCACTTGTCAAGCATCCTGCCTTGATTTTATTCACTCCTCTTTGTTGCGACTCTTTTGGATTCTGGTTTCTAGTTCCTCTTTGGTTTTTGAACCTTGTACATTTTTTATTTTTCTTCCACGCGTTCATGGCCTTATGCCTGAAAATCTTGACCTCTGTCCATTGTTCTTTATTTTTTCCTGCCGATGTTGATCTTAGCTGTACATGTGCTGGCAATTCTTATAATTCCATTTATGTTTTTGCTTGACAATAAGTATGGTTGGAAATATTTTTGGTTCACCAAAATAATCATTATAAGGTTTTTAAACTCAACAGCACAGATTGTGGACATGAGAGGGCTGTTGGTCTTTTAGCATTAGAGTATGAATTCATAACAACTAAAGAAAGAATGGATATAAAAGATTTGAGTAGGTGATCCGCAATTCAGTTTAAGATTGCTTTGATTTTTTTGATAAGAGAGTGATCTTATCTTGTTAGTTGTGACCATATTGTTTTGGTTGATCCTGAAAGCAGGAATTGAGCAGTGGACAATGTTATTACTTCTGTATCATATATTTCTAATGAGTAGCCTTCAAGGCCTTAATCGTCTAGTATGATGCATTTGGTAAATTTAAGTTGTAGAAATCCTCTTTTTAAAACCTTGACCTACATTCTTTGCCAAGGACAGACATTTGCATTGCAGGAACACTGAGAAGTGTGAATTTCAGTATGAGAGTTTTGGAGGATGAGCATTTTTTTTTGGATCAACACTCTATTTTTTAGCCATAACCTGGGAAGTCATGAGGGCAGTTTGGCTGGGCCAGCGAAATGTTGATCCTTAGTCGGGCTTTAGCTAGTGGAATGTATTTCCCATAGTAACTCATATATTATTGAATGCATGATTCACAAAGAAATATGCCACTGAGGTGAGTTTGTGGATTGTTATCATCTCTATTTTTCTGGTTTGAAGAAGATTTGTTTTCGTTCTATTCAGTTATTCTGCTTGTTTCACTATTAGCTCCTGGATTTATGGAATCTTCCTGCTTGACTTAATTAGATATTCTCTCCATTTATAAAAGTAGGTAATAAATGGTTTTCGGTTCTGCACCTTCCACAAAATTTCTCATGTAGCATCAGTTTCATAATTTGTTTTGGATTTAGGAAATAATATGATACAAGCTTTCAGGCAGGAAAGTTGCTTACTCGTTAATTTGATAATTATTGAATGTGTTGGTACTATATCCACAAGTCTTTCATTCATCTGCTTATCATTCTTTCATTGCTGCCATTTTGTAAGTAGTTGAACAATCTATTTCATCGATTGAATGCTCTTATTTTCGTTGTAGTTTTGGAGCATTATATTTCGTTTGTTTCAATAATTGATTCTTTGTCCAATGTAATGAAATTTCAGTGTAGATGGAGGGGACATCATCTTCCATCTGTCATACTTGCGAGAAATTACCTAAGATGATAAGGCTCTATGATTCTGATGGTTGAACCAGAATGACTTGATAATGACTATTAATGCTTAGTTGTATATTATGTTAGCCCTATTTTTCGTCTCTTCAGAAACATATTTTACCTTTTTATTTGGTAGTTCATCTCATTTTCTACTTTCTGTGGACTTTGATGGCCGTTCATGGGAGGAATGCAAACTTGGGTCATCATGAAAACTTGTCCTTTATCCTCTGATTTATTTTAACTGTTAAATCTTTGACCATCCGTTGACAGGAATCTGTTGATGCCCATCCTATCTATTCAAGGCTTCTTCAGGTGATAAAGTTTATACATAAGTACGTTTTATTCCAAGATGCTAAATGGACACTTTGTTTTAGTCGATTGACGTGGTCAAGAATATCTGAGCTGGTTATCACCTTTTTTCTTTCAAAGGTGAGTTATTTTTGGGATCTCTCCTGTAGAATTTTCTTCAAATGTGCCAATTTTTGCTGCAAATCTTGTGATGAATGTGCACAAACACACTTATGTCCTCTATGTAACTTGACATTATATTCAAGTAAAGCTTCAATCCCTTGCAAATTCCATCCATTTTTTTTTCACTCATTTTCTTTCTCTTCCAGGACCTTGCAAAAATGATGAACTCTTAGTCTCTTTTTCGATGTCCTCATCTCTACTTTTTTGAAGAATTTTATTTTTTTTCATAATCCCTGTGTCAATATTCTCGAATGAGTTATATGATAGTTGATTAATTTTGTCTCCCAGTACATTCATCTTAGCAATATTATTGTACCTGTTCCTACTTATCAAAGGAAATTTTCGAAGCAGGTTTGTGTTTTGCTTGCTATCTCTACGTATATTCATTATATACTCAATAGACAGGCATTCAATTATGTATCCAATGAACTCAAAACTCCATGGAAAATCATTATAGTTTTCCCCAGATGGGTCATGAAAACAATGCCCTAATATGTTGCAGAACTTGTAGCCCTCTCTAATAAAAACATTTAGTAAATACACATATTTTCTATTTAATTAGAGCATAGCTGTAGTGTAAGCAGTTCTGGTCGTTCAGTTCATCTCAGATGGGTCAAACGATTATATGTGATTTACACCACAGGGTTTTTTATCAGCTTTAGATACATTTTTGTTGATGTGTCTTTACATTATGCATGACGTGGGCTTATTTATCAGGTTGTCTACACTGTGAAATTCTGTTCATCCATATTCTCAGCTTCTATGGACACACGAACTTCATATATGAGAAGTATGTGGTGTCTTGTCCTTTGATATGATGGGCAGATTGAATTGCAAAAAAATTCGCCACTAACCAGATATTATGGGGTTTTTGTTATATCTCTAGACCCGTTGGTTTGTTTCTCTCCTAACCATTTTTCTTTGTACAATAGGGCAAGTAGACAGGTAGGCTATAAATTCCGTGATTTTGCCGTCCTGTTAAACACTTCTAAGCTCAATTCAGTGCCCAACATCCATGTCCCCTTATGAAGTAAAAATCCTAGTGGAGTTCATTCCCTCTCTTTGAAAAATTATATTCAGATTTATGCCATTAAGTCCTTACTTGGTACTGTGCTGATTACTATTTTTTTGGTGTGCAGGGGGTTATTCATTAGATATGAAAACCTAAGAAAAACATCTACCTGTATTTTTACTATAAACTCGCATAGAACATCCTGTTCAACACTAAGCTACACGAAAGCTCTAAAATTTCAGATCCACACTCATCTTCATTATGTTAAATATTTTCACCCTCTTTTACCCTTGCGAAAATAAAATGAAAATTATTTCTTCTGCTCTTTTGAATTTTCTTTAGTGCTCACTCTATTCATTGCATTTTTGTGTTGGTTTTCTTGTCTCTCATTCATCTCTGAGTATTCCGGCTCCAATGTTTGTCATTCGTCGACTTATAAATTGGATATGCCAGGTTGTACCTGATGATGCTTCAAAGATTGCAGAATTCCAAGAAATCATCAGATACACGGCTGAATTTGAGGCCTCACTTCAGAAAATTGGATTTATTTCGGAAAATGATAACGAGGGGAAAAAATTAAGTCTTTTTGCTACCAATATCGAAGTCCATTTTGCATCTCAAAAAAAGAAAGAAATTTTGGCAAGTGCCAGAAGTTTACTTTTGCAGTGCGACTTCAGCTTTCCTTCAGTGAGCATTTCTTACTAATGCTATTTTTCATTATTTAATTGTCCTGAATGACTTCCAGCAGAGATTTTATGATTCACTCGTAGGATAATTCTTCAAGAAGTGTTACACAGGCTTCTGGCGTAAGCAACAATGAGTACATTGTTAACTTGCTTTTTGAAGCAGAGGCGTGCTTTATATCTAAAGCAGCATTTCATCTCATGGAGTTGGTTCATCAAATACTTAAGGTATGTCTGCCCTCCATAAATTCGAGAATATCAAGTCTTGGGAAATCTGCAGTACAAACCAATTCTGTTGTCATTCATCTATAATCTGTTTCTGTTAATGGCTATATCCTCTTCGCTACCCTCAGGATTTGCTTGTGGAGAGTACTTTTCTGACGATTTGTTTTTCAACCTCATAGGTAGCAAATAATCCAGGTATTGTATATGAATTTGGCTACCTAATTACATAAGGGTTGTTCTCCTGTTCCATGGTCCAGGCCAAAATTCTGTCTCTCTAGGGTCGTAGAATTCGAAGCTTAGGATGTTTTCTAATGCTGAGTACCTCCATCAACCATGATAGGATAAGCTAAACAAGCTGTAAATTTGTCTTTTCATTTCCACTTCTACATCCACCAGTCTGGTTATGTTACTTGTAAGTCTCTTGTTGCTAGAAGATTAAGAAATGATTCAAATTGCAGAATTTCTTACTCCCTATGTTTCCTTTCGAATTGTCCCATCTGTAGCATCAGAAATCTCTGCTAAACGAATGAAAAGATTGGAAATATTTCAAAGATCGGTGTTTTTGCCTCTTCTTCTGGAAATGTCAGTACCTGCCTTAACCATCATTAGTAACCTGTATGATATTACTCCACCCCCTGAAGATAACATCCAGCTCTCGGGTTTAGTCCCAAAATCTAATTCTCTTTCACTGTTTGGTTAATCACTTCTTAACTATGTTACTTCTACTTTTCTTTGTTTCAACGTAAAATTCTTAAGATTTATTCTCTCAAATTCCGCCTAACTATCAAGAATGTATACAAAGTCGTGATTTTGATGTGGTAAATCAGTGCAGAATGTTTGCATGTCGTCTACTAAAGTGGCAATGGAGTTCTACCATGCAGCAAGAGATGCTCTACTTTTGTATAAAGCTATTGTTCCAGTCAAGGTTTGTATTTGGACAAATGTTGCCTCTGAAGGACTAAAGATATTGCTCAGCACTTTCATTCCGTTGCACTTGGGAGCTTATTTTTCTGATTGTGTACTTCCAATGTTATGCATGCTCAAAATATCAAGTGCTCTTGACCTTGATTGCATATCTCCTCTTAGATTATTAGACCTTTGCTTTACTTTCTTCTTTTCGGAGTACGTGCCTAGTCAAAAATTTCAGGCGCTCTTCACTTTGACTGCATATCTCCTCCAGCAATAAGTCTAAGAAATTTTCAACATGAAATCTTAAGCGATTCATGTTTCAATTTCTAGCTATCATCATACTGATTTCTCCATGTTTTGCCTGACTGACCACCAATGATATCCTTTCAGCAGAAATATCATATTTTTCTGCCCCATTATTGTCTTCTTTATCGATGGAGCCCCTTGGAGTAGAGATATGTCACTGAGTTTGCTGTGTATAAGAATATGCCTTGGACTATCCCTCCATGAGCTTTCCATTGGAAAGGACAGCTCATTGTTGCGGGAATTGTAAACTCCATGGCTTGGACCATTTGTTGAAGAGATTATGCCAGACCTTTGGGAATCATCATGACATCACTATATTTAGATAATGCTTTTGAGATATAGCAGCGCATCCTCCGTTAGACGTCATAGCAAAGCAGAAACCATGTTCTGTTACCACTTAAGATAGGACACTCTACAGAGCTGAAAGCTTAGGAAAGCTCAAAAAACATATAACTATGCAAAGGAGAAACCAGAGTGGTGTTGCTGGACCAAAACCAAAAGTTCACTTAACATGTTATTTGCAGAGCTTAGATAACTTTCGAAAACTCGTAAAAAACGAACAAGTACCCTCATTCATGATAATTGATCTGGGGCAACTTCCTCTGGTACAAAAATAAAATTTAGAAATGTCTTAAGGTAAATTTTGTGTTTAATAAATGTTATAAAGATATAGCCGGATGCATCACCTTTATTTGTTGTACTTCGGACTTCGAACTAAGTTATCAAGGGATTGAGCTGGACGATTCTCTACATCAGTGTACAAATTGAGATTTGAAGTGTAATTTGATTAAAAATTATTTGCTCATTTGAAAAATATAAAACTTCAGTTCATGTTTCAGGCTCTGCCAATAAGCAGGTTACAGCATTTCTATTTCAGTTCATCTTTCGTTTACCTGCTATTGCTATTTTACTCTCATCAGTAATGAAGATATGTCATGGATGGGGCTATATCTGCATTTATCCAATATGGCAGACCCATATTGGATATCTGCATTTATCTAATGAAGACGACACCTCTTTCTTTTATGGACTAATAACCCCCACCCGATTAAATCTCCCATCACTTGAGTAGCTTGGATTGTCTGCTTTTTATGTTTTTACTGCAATTAATGGAACTTGGAAAAACTGTGGAAGAAGAACAAAGACTGGAGAACTGGCGAACTGGCGTCACCAAAACTCTAGTAATCTCTTTAACAGTGTCAAGTTTCTATGTTGTCTTCTTTTGAACTTAAGATTTCCTTCGGGATTTTTGCATCCATACTATGCCAACCGCAGGCTTGTTGAGAGTTCTTCCTTTTGCATGCTTGAAGCTAGAGAAACAGCTGGGTACAATTAGTCAGGCAGCTGTCGTCATTCATAATGACTGCCTATATCTGTCACAAGAAATTAGTGGACTTTCATTTGAGGTAAGAGTCATGTGGTAATATTGCATTCCGTTCTTCTCCAACTTCATTCTTTTCTTATAATAGTCATTTCTTTATCCCACTATCCTAAAAAATATTCTTGTTGTCTTTGCAAAATACTCTTCATTAACCCTTAGTTATGTAAACTCTTTACTTTTAAGCCTATAGTTTTCTATTCATAAGTAGATTATTTGACTTATTTTGATTAATGAACACAAGATCAATTTTACATGTTATTCAGTACCGTGAAAACTTTCCAAATGGCGTCAAAGAATGTGCATTATTTGTTGATATTGCACCAAATTTTCGTCAGATGGCTGAAGATGCATTGTGGAAACAAGTTCAGCTAGTTTATTTTAGTTTGAAGGAGGTGATTTTTCTTAGTCTCCCTTTTTTATGTTCTTATATCCATGATTACCAGACAGATATACATGGTTTCCAATTTTAGCATACCTGAAAAATATCAATGTACTTTTTTCTTTTAGCTGCTCTGGAAAGCTTCGTTATGCTATCCTCACTTCCTATTGTCATTCTGTGACTCGAGATTGCATGGTGATTTCTTTCCGTCCGTAGATATTTCCATTTGCTAAGTTTTTGTCCAATCCTGTTGCAAACCGAGGGAAGCAGTAAACTGTTGCTTCTGGATTCTTTTCCCCCTGCTAGACTCCTCTTTTTCACAAATTAGCTCCGTCCATATATTCTGAAACATGAAGCTAGATCATTTCCCTCATCACAAGCTTGTACTCATTGCTTCTAAAGCCGCATGATAAGCATTAAGCCAGGTCTGTTTCCCCAGGATTCCCTTAAGTTATTCGCTGAACTTCAGTACGGAAGAAGCCCCATCGATATCCATCTGGGCCAACATAGTCCAAACTTATGTATGTACACTGAAGACACGGGCAGATCATCAGGCATACTTACCCAATCTTCAGTGTAGAGAATTTTTGACACAGAAGTAGACATTTAAGTCTGATAATGCTGAACATTTAATTATGCTCTGCAGATGGACTTCATCCTGGATTGATGTGCCTTTTCCTTCGAGATGTGCATTTTGGTCTTTGTCATTATCTTCTCATAAATTTCATTTGGTTTATCAGGCTGTAGATGGTGCCAATGGTTTTCAGAACACTCATCAAATCCAACTGTACGATTCAGCTAAATTCAGTCTAGATCAGGTAAAAATTTATTTCATATATACATACAACTATGATCTGATTGAGGAAAATCTATGCGATTTGCTTCTGGAGGAGCCAAAAAGTTATTATAATGTGAAAATGATAGCAGTCTTAGTTCCTTCCAATTCTCATGTAGCTCTTTCACTGAATTTGTCTGTTGTTGGTGATGTTTGTTTAGTAGTATATTATTCACTTCTGTCTTATGCCAATTTAAAAACTGTTGAATGGCGCTGTTATCTAGTATTCAATTTAGTCTCCGCCAGATGAATTCGTGGAAGTGATAGTGACACGAACAAATCTTAGCCTAGAGATTGATATGTATAAGTCATTAGCTTGGTTTAGGGCTTTCAATATCTATTAGAAATTGGCAGTTAGTCGGTGGGCTTCCTCACTGATCTACCCTACAAAGTTCAATTAGATAGATGTGTTCGATTCAGTTTTGAATTTGTAGGATGCAATTTTTATGTTCTCAAATGACTCTCAGAAAGGAACCCCTGAAAGCTTAATGCTCCACAAAACAGCACTTTGCTTTTGTTTCTGTCAGTGAGACGCCAATAATATCTTACACCATCACCTTGGTCGAAAAGTGTTCTGTTGGTATTATCAGAGATGAACGGTCTTCGTAAGAACACTGTAGTGCTTCTGAATGCATCCTAGATGATCTAAAACTACCTGAAAGACTTTCCAAAACTAAAGCTGAGGTCTTGATTGGCCATCAATTTCGATCATTGTCTGTTAGATGAGGATTTTGCTATTTTTTTTCTTCTGCTCGAGAGAGGAAGTTAAGCCTTTTCTGTGGCCTTAATTTTATTAGCATGCAGTTACCAGTTAATGCCATGAGTCTGATGTCTATTCAAACATCCCAGGTTGTTTTTATTTTGGAGAAAGTGCACATTATATGGGAGCCAATATTGCCGAAGTCTACTTATAGGAGAACAATGTGCATACTCCTGGATTTCGTCTTCAAAGCAGTAATGAAGGACGTGCTTCTTTTGGATGACATTGCAGCAGAAGAGACTCTGCAGGTCCTTTGCTTGTTTTTATAAATTCCATCCTTATTAGAGTGTTCATTAAATGGTTTTTCATTCATGTTTTCAGCTTCAGCGATTGATCTATCTATTATTAGAGAACCTCTCTTCTTTGTTTGAGTCTCTGGTTGATACCAGCGCAATCGAGACATTCTCCAGTGATAGTAGGTGGCCTTATTTGAACGAGAAGGTTCCATCTCTTGGGAAGTTCCGCAAACTAGCAGGTATACTTTTATTTCTGTTATCTTGCCATATCAAGCTTTGATCATCTCGCCTTCTGCCTGGATGGTGACAGCTTTTTTCTCATTAGATTTGCTGGATATGACGCTAAAGTCCATAACTTGGGAGTGGGAAAACGGAGATCTGGCTCGCTGTGGTTTTACTTCATCTGAGGTATGATTTTTTCGCGAATAATGAATTATTTTGTTGTTACCGAGCTGCCTGTTTTATGGTATTATATCTGACAACGGTATTTCTTCCATACGTTGGTTCTTTAATGTGGTTTGTTAATATGTATATAAATGTATGAACACTTGCGAGAAAAGTTGAGACACTTCCAGAGACAGAGACACGCTGTGATATGGAAGATATTCATCCTTGAGGTGGATGTTTGAGCAGAAGTGAAACAATACTTTTTACCTGGGTTAGAAGATGCTTTCCATGCTGGAGATATTTGCTCAAGATAAACATTAGCCATGGTGGTGGTGCTGACGATCTCTCTCCAGGATCAGACGCTCGTCCTCCAAAGCCTAATATTTGCCACTTTTCTTGTTCTATATTACATAGGGAGACGTTTACAGCGATATTTTAAAAAACCCTAGTCTTCATTTAGTTGCCTTACCATGTCATGGACTTGATACCTTGGATACATTGGTGGCATTCAATTACAAGAAATCACTTGTTGCTTTCATTTGCACAACAAAGTTTCACGGTTATTAATGGTAAAATTAGGTCCAGTAGCTTTGTTGTTGACTTGTTGGAATTTGTTTGCCCAGTGCTATCCTCACCACCTTACTGGAGTTTGTAATCTTTCTATGGGCACCTCCTTTCTTGTATGTGCTACTCTCAGTTGACAGCTCAGTGTGCACGTGAAAATTTCTGTTCCCAAGTTTATCATTCTCTTGTCCTCGATTGTATAAGCATTAAGTTGGCGATATGGGACAAAATCATTACCATTGAAAGTCTTCAGGATACTTGTGGAGGTCAGAATCCAATCACATAGGCACCATGGATCCTCTTAGAAATGTATTTTGATGAATTATTTTTTTTTACTTTAAACTTATTCGGATCATGTGTCCTCAGAAACTCCTCCACGTCATTACCTTTGTCAAAAAATTGAACTCCATATTTTTATTTCTACATCAGTGTGAATCTGGGGTAATAAATATCAAGTGGCTAAATAGACTTCCTTGCTTAAGTCAGTTAATCCTCGATATGTATTTCAAGTTTTCTTCATGCTTCTGAGCTGATTTTATATGATAAGTTAGATAAATTAGCCCCAATCACCAGATCAATTGCACGTTGGATCCTTGTTTATCAGAGTCAGCCTATTTAGTTGTTCTTCATGAAATATATGCGTTCAAATTCCCCAATCATAGTCTCCATCTGAAAGGCATCTCACAAGTATCTTTTGACTAATCAAAAACGTATCTCTTGTGTGGGAAGAATGTCCCTTCCCTTTAAAAGCTTTGCTGATTTATTTTTCAGACGAAAACTCTGTTTGCAGTTTCGTATAAGATTCCCAAGCTGCTCACCCTGTAATCTACTTGATTTTCTCATCATGCAGGTAGGCAGTTTGATCAGAGGGATCTTTACAGAATCGCCTCTGAGGAAGGAGTGCTTAGGGAGAATTGAAGGCAATCATCTGTAGAATTGAAGGCATCATAAGAACATGCCACGTAGGTTCCTTTTATCAGTAGGTTTCCTAAGCTTTTTTTACCTGGTAATTCACATGCTGATGAAATGGAAATTGAGCAATCTGACTATATTTCTTCAGGGAAACATATATCAATCCCTCATGTCCTAGCCCTATTATGTAGAAAGAAAAATCATAAACTATGGAAAATATCCCATCTGTATCAGTCCTGCATGTCAATTCCCTCGTGGGTTGGTCAGATGTTGAAGAAGGATGTCTTGAAGGAAAGTAATTTCCATTTATGCTTATTTTGGCCTCTTGGATTGAATGTGATTTTATGAAATCCTTGATTATTTTCTTTCTCATGGTAATAAAGAATCGACTAATACATACACTTGAGCCATAATCTTCCATATTCACCAATATTAGCCTCTCTTTTTTTTTTAATTTCCTTGTATAATATTCTAGGTAAGATGTGCCCCCTATGATATGACGTGCACAACGGAAATAAACTTCATCATGGTAAATCCTATTGACGATAATTTGCTCTGCAGGAACATGTGAAAAAAAAAAAAAGTATTGCCATGCATATTTGAAGGCTTAAAAGTTTATGTACTAATTGCTCGCATTTCTGCAACGTGTTCTAATATCCTCCACTTTTGTTGGACAAAAGAAGGGTAGTTGACTTATGTATTAAGTGAAGATATTCCTTATAGATTATGACATTTTAAACTATGTGGAGTTTTAAGTTCATGCCCGCCCTCGGAGTCTCCTCTCTATTGGAAATCACCTTGGATTTGAGGACATCAGAATCTCACATCCGCCCAAACGCCCACCCCTAGTCAACGGTAAATCATGTGCAAATCCCCCACTAGATTTAGCATCCCAGTGAAGGCAGAGGAAGCAGGCAGTGAATAAAAGAAGTAGCTCGTAGATCACCCAAAAGTCAAACTATTCACTAGAATCAGTTACTTAATATCTTCTTTCTTTTTTCTTCTTCGTCAAGTGTGTGTAGGAGTTGATAGGATCCTCTTGAATTCTTTGACATATGAGCTTAACCCAGTTAGAGTTGACAGAGAGCTGAAGATCATCGCCCAACTATGTCTCATTGATGCACAAAACCTGCTTTCATCTATATCTTTACACTCTTCTCATTAGCCGTCGTAACCCAGAAGATGTTAACCATGAGCGCAGATGAGGAAATGCCCTTCTCCCCTCTAGGAGAAGCCGACTGTCTTCCCCAGGAGCCAGAGGACCAGGGACAGTTCCACGCCGAAGATCATGTGCAGCCATGACCTGTCCAGCATGAACCCGAAGACCGTGATGCCCGCCCTGTTGTTCTCCAGATACGTCACTGCACTTGGTCCAAAGCAAACCCCCAAGGCACATTCAAGTCAGGAGATGAAAGAGAAGGGAGAGAGAGAGAGAGAGAGAGAGAGAGACTCTGCCTTACCCAGAGCTTGCCTCTTTTGGAAGGAAATGGTGGTGGTGTTGGCCTTCACCAGGTTGGTGTCCGCAAGGTCATCCTCGTCGCCGAGTTCATCGTAGTCCGACTCGGCGGCGCCGTAGAGAGGATGGACGCGGCCGGAAGGGATCCGGAGAGGCGCTTCGGATTCTGGGTCGAAGGACTCGACGGTGGCGAACGCGTGCCATTTGGCAGCGTGGCTGGTGATCGCCTGCGCTTTGTGCGTGATCTTTGTTGCGCTTCTTAGGCATATGAGGATCCCAGTCACCAGTCCAACGGAACAGAGCTGCAAGAAGAGGTCGCACAAGAGAATCACAGATCTAAGCAAAATATGCAAACGAGGACAATAACGCGAGAAGAAATCCTAAAATGGCATCAAAACTAGTGTGATGTCTCACTTCCTTCCTAAAGGTCAAATGGGTCAACGGCAGTTTTCCTCTTCTTCTTTTTTCTGAAGCAAAAAATGGCGTCATCCAGCTCCACATATGTGATTACTTACCATAAGGTTATCTATGGATAAAACTTTATGCATATGGTATCTCATCCTAAGAGGCAGAGCAAAGGAACAGAAAGCAGGTATACGTTTTGGAGCACTGAAAGTCAACTGAGAGAGAAAGCGACCAATGCGAACCATTCTGAGATCCATGATCTCCATCAATTTAGTTTCATAACTTGCCAAAAAAAGATTTTTATTTTTTATTTAAAAAAAAAAAAGAGGAAAAGAAACTGGGTAAGAGTGATTTATCTGTGCATACCGCCAGCTCGCCAGCGTTGTAGAGATTGACCTCGGCCTTTGAGCGGGTAGTAAGAAGAAGGGAAGCAAGCTGAGAAAGAGTGATGACGATGAGGCAGGTGACGATGAACGAGCGGAAACGGTGGCTGATTACGCGGAGCTGCCGACGGATGCGCAGGTGTTCCGCTAAGATAGACGTCACATCCGACTCGTCCTGGAAGACAAGTCCAAAGTCCTGGAGGCGGAGGATCTGGAGGTGGCAGATGAGCCGAAAGAGCACACAAACCAAGAAGAAGATGGACGTTCTGTACAGCCAGGACCATAGCTCCAGAATGCAAGCCAAAGCATCACTCACGTAGGGGTTACCCAAGAAGGGGATGCGCCCTTCCCCCTTGCAGTACCACCAGATCTTGTACCCACACTCTGCTGCGAAACACGGCAGCACAAACATCGACAGCAACTTGAAGGACCTCTGCAAAATATGCAAGAAGAAGATAAATATATTTATATTTTATCACAAGCTCCAAATTTATTTTATTACCATAAACTAGACTTGACTTTGCATCCTAATCTTAGGCCCTGATTCCCAACAACGGCTGTGATATCTAACCAGACTCTTTCAAGAAGACTGTGATAGCAAACTATTATGGAAAGAAAGAAAGAAAGAAAAAGATCAAGATCACGAGTTCCATATTTATTTTATTAGCATAAACTAGAGTTTACTTTGCATCTTAATCTTAGGCTTGACTTCACAACAATGACTGTGATAACCAAATATGGAAATTAAAAAAAAAAAACGATCACAAGTTCCATATTTTATTATCATAAGATTGAATATTTTGCATCTTAATCTCAGCCTTGAGTTCCCAACAACGACTGTGGCAGCTAAACTGAAGGCTCTCAAGAAGAAGGGTATATTTATACACCGCTGGTTTGACCAACATTCCAGGTGATTAGACAAGCAAAGCAAATTTCCTAAGATATATCTCAAGATCAAGGAATTCAGTTGGCGTAGACGATAGGTAAATAGAAAATTACGAGCCAGAGAAGCAATGAATTAAACTAAACCATGATGTTTGGCAAATTCAGGTGTAGCTACAAGAGTGGGTTCACATCAACCGAATTATATAAGCTACAAACTAACAAGAAGTTATGGGAAAAGGCCCAGGATTCATAAGCACCAGATTGAACCGACGAATCAGCATCTCAGTGGATATTCCAAAGGAAAAACTGATATAACTTCTCAAAGATCTTCAGTCGATCCTCGGTGATTCATCCCATGGCAGATTCATTGGGTTATTTCACATCGATTTCATGAGCCATAAGATCGATCACCAATTATATAACCCAGAAGAAGAAATCTCCATCCCTGGCTAAGACTAAGATGCAGAGTGTTCTACCATCTATATATATATATATATATATGGTCTCTGGAGAAAACCGAAGAAGAAATCTGCATCTCTGGAGAAAGGAGATGAGGCGGGCCGCTTACGTTGAGCTGGAAGGTGTAGCCTTGGCGGACAGTCTCGCTCTCGCCGCAGAGCTTGTCGAGGAAGAGGAAGCGGCGGAGGCCGTAGTGGCGGAAGAAAGCGGAGAGGCAGACGAAGGAGAGCGCGGCGACGGAGGTGAGCGAGAGCTGCACGACGGCGTCGTAGCTCGCGTGGCGGCGCCGCCCCTCGCGGTCGGCGTCGACGACGACGACGAAGTGGGAGGTGAGCGGCACGGCGGCGGCGAGGACGAGGAACATCCCCCAGGAGAGCGCCGCCCGCCAGGGGCCCGACTGGTCGACGCACATCCACCGGAGCCACGAGCGGAAGCTGCGGAGCTCGTCGCTGGCGTAGGACGCGCAGCGGAGGTAGGACTTGGCGTTGCGGTCGCCGGCGCTCCGCCCGTGCGCCGCCAGCAGCGGCGCTTCCTCCGCCACCCCAATTCCGCCACCGTACATCTTCCTCCTCTCTATACTCCACAGGACCAACGTTCCTGTTCTACCCTCCTTGGCCTCCTACACCACCATTCACCTCTCTCTCTCTCTCTCTCTCTCGCTGACTGAAAAAGGAGGAGGGGAGAGAAGAGCTCGGAGGGCTCGTGCCCACGACCAGTGGCGTCTGCCGGAGGAGGCCGGCGGTTGGAGAGAACAGCTCGGAGGGCTCTCTCTCTCTCTCTCTCTGGTGGGTCTCTCCGAAAAAGCGGGAGGAGGGTGGAGGAGGAAGGAAGGAGAGGGGAGAGGAGCCCGGAGGGCTCGTGCCCACGACCAGTGGCTTCTGCGGGAGGAGGACGGCGGTTGGAAAGGCAGCCTATTTACAGCTTTCGACGCGGTTGGAAAGGCAGCAGCTTGCACCAGGCGGGTATATACGGAGGAAGAAGACAGTGGAGACCCGTGCCGGCCTCGCGTTCCTCCGTTGTTCGCCTGCTCTTGGCATCCGTCCCCTTCGTCCCTCTCAAAAACTTCATTTTTATTTAATCTTTCAATTCAAATCGATTTCTTTATGCCCATTAATCACTGCCCACTCACTGATCTTCGATTTCCTTTTTTTTTTCTTCGCCCCATCGCTCCGATATTTACGACTTTACTCTTTTCCATCTAATAATATAATTCATAAATACTCTGGTATGTTAGATATAATTCTCATAAAACAGGGATATGAGAACAAAATGGCATCTATTTCGAGCCGTGTCACCTCCGCATCGATCCCCAAAAGTCAAAACGGGCCCCACTGGCCGCCGCCCCGGTCTGCTCGTCTCTGTTTATGCGTGAAGATACCGAAAGAAGATCTGTCCACGTGGCGCTCCACAACCGGGCGGCTGTCTCTGTTGCAGTTCTTCGCGCAGGTCGGCAGACTATGTAAACGGGCCGGGCTGATCCAAGGGATTATCAGGCCCGGCCCACTCATACGGGTGGACATCGTTGACTTTAACCAGATGAACTATGGGCACTGACCGCATTAATGCAAGCAATAAAAATAGTAAATTTCCCATTATATCGAAAAAATTATTTTTTAGTGATTTTTTATATTGAATAAATATATTCCCACAATGCATGATCAGCCTAATCTCCTAAAGCAAAACCCCCCTCAAATCGTATAATTACTCCGAACATATTTTATTAATATTTATTCACGTTACACTCATAAAAAACGATTTAAATTAAATATTACTCTTTAAAAAAATTATATTCGAGTAAAAAATTATTAGAACTAGATCAGAAGTGATGAACCCAAAAAACCCATCAAGCCAAAAAATTTTAGCAAGAATAAGAGAGAGAGAGAGAGAGAGAGAGAGAGGGAGAGAGAAGGTTAGAGAGAGAGAGTGATGCATCCACTAATGGGCAATAGTATCATGGTTTTTAATTAAAATAAGTGAAATCAAATAAAATGGGTAGGTCGAAAATATGTAATATACCGGTTTAAATGGTTTCGGAGAATATTTCCGAATTTCAAAATAATATAATAAATTAATGCGTGAGATTGGGAAGTTGAATCGACGGGTCGTCTAAGCCGGTATTTGGTGGGGGACGCGATAGTGGGGAACCCCGTTTGGTATGGGGGAAAGAGTCCGACATGGGGGGATTAGGTAGAATAGTGGATTCCCGATGAGCGAAGCGTTTGGTTTGCGGGATTTACGCCAGTTAGCGGGATTCCTCGCCGCGAAAGTGGACGTCGTTTTCCAGGCTGCCGCAGTTTCGCTTTGTTTTCGTAGTTTTTTTTTCCTCGAGCTTAGTCGGAGGGCGATCGAGGGGGCTTCGCAGCGCAGGGCTGGCACGGGTCTTCCTCCAGATGCAGCTGGTCGCAGTGAGGAATCCTTCTCTGGCGCCGCTTCTCGCAGTCGTCCTATGCAGTGGTGCTTGTCTTCCCCGGATCCTCGCTCTTCCCGCGATCTAGGGTTCCAGGGTCGTCCATCCGTGAGCCGTGGGTTGGATTCCTGTAGGAGACGTGCGCCCGGTTGACCCTGGCGTGTACTGCGCAATCTAGTTGGTGAGTCATCCCAATTTGGTTTTTTTCCGATCGCGCACCTCCTCTGTCGGTGAATTGCCTGGCGGAGAGTTCGTCGTTAACCCTTTTTTGTCGTCGGTTTACGCCTCTTCTTTGATATATCGTTAGACTATGTAAGGGACCTTGCGCCTTCTCTTGTAGTGCCAATGCATCACGTATTTTGTTTTGCTTGTTGCGTGTCTGGAACTTTCTTACATTCATGGATATCATCCACAACGGTTAATTGGTGGCCTGTTACATCGAGGAAGATTTTATCATGATCCCTGATGCGCGCGATCAACGCCTCCTGTGTCGTTCACAGTTTTCAACTACCATCACTGTGGAGTTACGTGTTTTCGTGTATAAAAAACTAGGATCAGGTTATCGGATGCTATTGTGTAGTCTGTACCACGTTCAGAAATGCTGTAGTTGTAGTCAAACAGAGACAATGGCTCATTAAATTTAATTTCTGTCTCTGAATAGTGTATGTCATTTCATGAACTCGGGAAGAAAGTTTGATCTTGATCATTAGTGCAATCATATTGAAAGCTACCTGTGCAAGCACTGTTTCATCGTCTAGAATTTTTTTCGTAACTGAAGGCAGGATTTTGGAGGCCAGAAAATCATGAATTCTTCTGGGCAACATAAAACTGTTACTGGTTTATTAGTTTTATTATTAAACGAGCCTGCAATAATTTTAAAAGTCTGCATGGCAGGCTTGGGATCCTTAATCGTCCAGAATAGTAAACTCTTTCTATAAACGAGAGAGAGTATGAATACCCTCTTTTGGGAAGAAGTGAGTTTCTTTATGGTTGGAGGAAACATCATCCGAAGCTTATCTTTTCCTTCATTTACATGGTAGTCGAGAAGTTTACATTTTATTTTTTATTCCTTCCTATCTACCATTTCTCTAAATGGCCGTGAAGAACCAACCCACCATTCATTTTCGTAATTCTTTGAACTGGCAAAGTCTGAAGAGGGCTTTCAGAAGCAAGAGATACTTTTATGTTGGATGGATTTTCTTGCTTCTGTTTTCTTAATACATTTAGTCGAAAAAAAGTATTTTTTTTCTATATATATATATATATATATATATATATATATCTATACACACATACTTTTTTCCCTTCCCATTATACAAGGAATAGGTGTCTTGTCATGTTGTTTTTCATGAAAGCAGATGCCTTTTATTGAGGCAACTGGATAGTTTCCGTTTGATTTTTATCAAACGGAGATTTTCTGTTGTTTTAGCTTTTTTTTGCAGCAAGCTGCTGAACTGTGCCTCTCTCATTCATGTGGAAGGGATCTGTTCAATTACTCTCCGTCAGTTCTTGGAGAAATATTTGGCAATGGTCTATGTGTAAAGTTTTATTTTAATTATTTATTTATTTTAATTTATAGTTTTTTGAAAGACGAAAAGTCTTCTCCTACTTCTGCCTGAATCAGATGCTTTTTCTGAATTGGCTGACTCAATACTGATCAGAATCATATCTGGCCTGGCCACTTGGCTAATTTTGTGGTCTGATTGAATTGGGAAGACTTTGATCTGGAAAAACTTCTCAAGTTATGCCATTCTTTCTCCCTCTTAATTCTACATGTCAGTTAGCACCTCACAAAGAAGAGACATGTTTATACAATCACGTAAGAAGAAAATAGTTCCTAAGATTGAGCAGTTCTTGGAACAAGGCATGATTTTAAATATTTTCTCACTATTTTTAACCTTAGGCTAATAATTTTTCTGTATGCTTCAAAGAATGTAGATTTAATCGCATGAGTCATGAGTTTATCACATATTCTGCACCTAAAATCCTTCTTTTCATTGTTGTTGTTTAAAGACGGTTGTTTGTGCTTGAGAAAGTTTCCCTTGTAGAAATAGAATGGACAAAAAATTGTGCTCTTGGATCACTTTTTCGGAAAGAATTTATCGTGACAATTGCTTTCCTGCTGTGCAGTTAATTTGATCAAATGAAGAGTGAAAGTGAAGATTGACTTGTTCAATGTGTTTATGAGGCTATTATTTACCGGAGGAGTTGCATAACTTTATTGAGTTTCTGCTTCTAGAAGACACCAACCTTTCCCTGGTAGAGTATAAAGCTTACATTAAGTTAATTGTGATTTTAAGATCAAATTGAACTCGTGACTGTACCGGAACAAGTAGAATGGGGCGGTGGAAAGTTTTCGAAAAGTTTATTGTACGAACATGCATTAAATGGATACATAAGGTTGCCCAGAGTGTTTGAAAATCATTTGAGAAAGGAATTTGTTCTTTCTTCAGAAGAAATGTGCTGTCGTCTTCTTGCAGTTTTAAATTCTCTTCTTCCGACTGATTTCTTTCTCACTGGCTTACTGTCAACCTAAAAACTATGATTGGTCCATTTGGCTTTTCCATGTGAGCAGCTCTCTCCTCACTCATTACCATCTCTAATTCTGATTCCATCGTTCTTTTTTATATATGAACGATGGCATAGTTTAGGAGCAGTATTTAGGAGTTTTTAATTTCGTTTCCGGTAGCATTACGAGATTGATAAATGAAAATACGTTGACGACATTCATGGATTAATTTCTGATAGGTCTGCAATGCACCGGGTAGGCAGTGCCGGGAATACATCCAACTCTTCTCGTCCTCGTAAAGAAAAACGTTTGACTTATGTTTTGAATGATTCAGATGACCCAAAGGTGAAGTGTTTTTTTCTTTTCGTATGTTAACTCAATTCCCTGTGTTTTTTTAGATTCTGGAAACGATTTATCTCAGATTACTAGCTATGCTTGGCTTCTAAAGTCAGTCACGTCACTCTGCCTGGGAATGTGCTTTCTTCATGCAGCATTGTGCCGGCGTCAATTGCTTAGCTGTATATAAGTCACCCTCCTCCGATCATTCTGATTATTTGTTTACTGGTAGTCGAGACGGGACTCTGAAAAGATGGGCATTGGGTGATGATGGTGCCACTTGCTCTGCGACATTTGAATCACATGTTGACTGGGTATATATTGCTACGCATACTATTCTTTATTTTCATCTTAATTTAGTATTTTACTGGATTATTTGAAAAGAAATAAGGAATCACCTTTGAGATGGTTGCTGTTTGTTATTTTTCTTTATAAAGTGGTCATTAAGCCATTGTCTAAATAGAATTATATTCATTTGGGCATTTTGCAATCCAGTCGATGTGAGAGCTTCCTTTCTATCCTGACCAACCAATTAAGGATACTTGATGCCTGAGATATTAGAACCAATGGTTGTGTTTTGTTTTAAATTTATGTCACTTCAAATGAATTCTTCTTACTGATTGTCTTTTGTAATTTCTTCTTTCTTTCATTTTGACTCATTGTACTTGATTCTTTAGAAATATTTTCGTAGACGTTACCTCTATGCTGATACAAAAATCAACTTTGAACTACATGGAAACCTTAGAATTTCCTTCTGCAAGATTGTTGGAGAATGTATCTCTGGATTTTAATATCAGTCGCCTAAAATGGGCTAATAAAGTTAATACCATGGAAATTCTGTTTTTTTCATTTTTTTCAGATGGCAGGGTTCATCCGTCTCATGTATGGATATAATTTCAATGATTGGATTCCCATCCTTTCCACGAGTAGTTCAAGATCCAAATCAATTGTCTTATGTAAATTTGTATTCATGAATCAGTTAATGATGAAAACATACCTGTATTTTAAGAGATCACTTATGAGAATGTAAATAAGAATAGTAAGGACGAACGATAACACTACTGTACCAATTAAAGGCAGGGAATACACTGAAAAAGAGATGGTTAAAGAGAATAGACAATTGCACCTCGAAAAATTGTCACATCAGTTAGATAATTTGGTTAGATACAGGTAAAGAAAAAGGTCCCCAGAGGCCCGATGGTCATAGTGTAACTTATATAATCATATCATAATCAGCATAGTCTCCACGAATGCTGAAGGAAGGAGGGTGATCATCACTTTCAATGCTTAGTTGATCTCTGCTGAGAGTGCTATAAATTCTAGACAGGACAGCCATTTCTAGTCCAACCTGATTTTTTTAAATGATGAATCTCACCATTTTAGCTCCATGTTGGTTTTCTTCACACAACTTCCGCTTCCTAGGAGGAAGTATTGTGGTCAAGTTACCGAGATGGAGGCAGGGATGGATTTATCATTCGGAGTCACCTTATTTGAATTGTTGTCTAATTTTTTGAGGTAGACCAAAAGAAGACTGGTTTCCACACAGGTCTGATCTTTAAGCACACCATGCTAAGATGCAAAACTGCTCACATAAGATGCTTATGCAATTTTCGTTGGATAATACTATATTTTTGTTTAAACTAAATATAGACCCAGAGCAGTTTTGCATTTTTTTCAGAAAAGTGGCTTTGAACCAATTACCCTGTCATCACTTTAAATTATCTTCTCTTTCATGTGCTCAAGAGAGATTGTGATCGCTAGTTTTGGTGATAGAGTGGAAGGATAACCAAAAGCAAGTGGCTGTGGGTGAGAAAGATGATCCTTTATTTTTGGTTGACTACCATGATCTTTGGCACCTTGATGCGGGTCCCCAGGATTTCTATACATGGGGTTTTTTAGAGCACATTAACGATGCATCTATACATTCTCTCCTTCAATTCTAATGAATACTTTGGGCTATGCACTTTGTAAAAAACATTAAATGGACGTTTTGATAAAGTCAATTTACTTATTTACGAGTTCTATCTTTTTCTGTAAACCTATTTCGATTAGTTTTTATTTGGTACAGCCTTCATGGATTGCTAATAGGAAGAAAGGTTTTGGTATTTTGAAACTTACAGGATAGCTACGCATCCAGCATGTGTGGTGTCCATGAGATCTTGGATCTGAATCCTTTCTGCCTTCTAACAGTATTAGATATATTTTTTTCTTGAAATCATCTGTCTTTGGTTAAATGCATCTTTCTTGCAATGAAGGTAGATAGCTTAGGTTCCAACCAGTTTGAGTAGATCAGTCAAAAATTATGGCTGGTGAACAATTAGCTGCATCAATGTTTAAAATGTAGGTTTCAGGATACAAATTCTAGAAGATTCGTTAATATTCAGGCTTCTATGTCGTTGGCAGCATGAATGCATAATACCAGAGATCCTAAGCTATTATCGGCCTGAATGTTCCCGATAAATTGCTTAAAAGAATGAACAGGCCGAAGAGGAAAATAAAGATAATAAAATAAAATGTTTAAGGAAATTAGTTATTTTTATCACCTTTTTTCTACCATTCATCCTTTTTCTTTCAGGTGGGTCTTTAAAAGTTTTAACAATTTCGCCTCTAGTTCTTACTGGGTCCAGCAGACAGCATTGAAACCTTCAATTTTGGTTTGGTCAAACTCAGTTCGGGTTATTGATCTGTTAAATTTGCTTATTTTGGATGAATCAGCTAAAGTGAAGTCTAATGAGAACTGTATCTAGTCTTTTGCGTGTTTCTTTATTTGGTTTTTTATCTCAAGATTCACTCAGTTATCAGATTATTAGCGCCATTGTAACTCGACTGAAATGTGATCTGGATGCTGATTTGGTATGGATGACCTTTTTGGCTTTTATTGAACAATATTGAGTATAATATTCACTAAAATTTGATAGACTTTTTTATTGTACCTGGCTTGTAGCTTTTTCTCTGGTTTTTTCATGCAAAAAATATTGTATGATGTGAAACTAATGTGTCTTAGTTTCTTATTTTCTGATTGATGGCTTTAGTTGCGCGAATTCTCCTTGTTTGATTCACCTCATTTGTCAAGGTTCTCGTTATTGGGCAGGTTAATGATGCAGTGCTTGTGGGTGACAAGCTGGTTTCTTGTTCGTCAGATACTACAATTAAGGTTTTAGACTTGACAGTGTACCATTGATACTTTTTTGTGCAAGGACTTGTACTCACTATACTGCTCCCTTTGCCTACTAGTTGTGGAGTTGCTTATCTGATGGGTCTTGCATCAGAACTCTACGCCAACATTCTGACTATGTCATATGCCTTGGAGCAGCCGGAATAAATGTAATGTCTTTTGTGTACACGTGTTACGTTGTCTTCATATTTAGTTTGATGTTCTCTGTTTGGTAAATTTTATTTCCTGTGCAAATTATAATCCCCTTCTATTATGAAATGAACCAATAATTCACAGCAAACATTTCATTGGTTTTTCTGGTTGAGTTTTTGATTCTTTTGTAGTCTTGCATTATAGAGCAATATAGTTGCCTCTGGTGGGCTCGGTGGGGAGGTCTTTATATGGGATATTGAAGCAGCACTTCTTCCCGTCAGCAAGTCTGTTGAAACAGCGGAGGACGAAAGTTCAAATGGAACTGCTGCTTCGGGAAATTCTGGGCTTCCTGTCACAAGTTTGCGTTCTATTAATTCAAGTAGCAGCATCTCTATGCATGCAACACAGTCACATGGGTACACTCCAGTTGCTGTCAAAGGCCATAAAGAGTCGGTCTATGCATTGGCAATGAATGATACTGGAACATTACTTGTCTCTGGTGGAACTGAAAAGGTACTTGCAGATTATACTTTCCCTCATTTATTGGATAAAGTTGAGTCTAGGTCCCTGGGAAATACTCACCTTTTTTTCCTGTGTGAGTTGAGTTTTGTTTCCTTTTATTTGCTGTCTTTAACCTTGCGTCTGCAGTTGTTTTAAAGCTGCACAACTTTTTATTTTTTGTGAGTATTTTTCATATTCATATGTTTTTGATTTGCAGGTTGTACGTGTCTGGGACCCAAGAACTGGCTTAAAGACCATGAAACTGAGGGGACATACCGACAACATAAGGGCATTGCTTTTGGATTCTACTGGGAGGTGGATAGTTTTGTTTCTCACTATCTATAAAATATTCATATACCTTTATAATCATGTATGCTCGTTATCTGCAGATCGGTAGTCCTATCAGTTATCATTGTACAATATGTAATGTAGCACTTGAATGTATGGAAATCTTTAAATGGTTAAAACAACTTTTGATTATTTGCATATGTATTGTATTTTGTTTCCATACTTTGGAATATGAAGTGAGGGGAAACTGTTTCTTGGATCTAGGTTGGACAAAAAAATTAGCCAGCAGAAAATATGGATAACTTTCCTGTTTCTTTGTGACAGTTCACATTATAGTTGAACCTGTATCCTGTTTTAATCATGTTGGTTGTGCAATTTATTGGACACGGTATACTTATTTATTTCTGTCTGTGTTTTTCCTGTTCCAGGTATTGTCTATCAGGGTCATCTGATTCAATGATCCGGTAATTACTCTTTCAAACAGAAACTTTGATTAGTTGTTTCTCTCTTACAATGGTCAAAGTTTCTGGATGCTACCGTAAATAACTGAACAAGTCAAACCTCAGATTTTTCTCCCTCTCTTTATTTCATTATCAATTTTTCAATCTCTACAAATTTTTCATTTAGTTGACGTGCCTTTTTTTCTTGTAAATTGTAGTCTATGGGATCTTGGTCAGCAGCGATGTATTCATTCTTATGCTGTGCACACTGATTCTATTTGGGCACTTGCCAGTACGCCAACATTCAGTCATGTTTACAGTGGTGGCCGGGACCTTTCTGTATGTGCTTAAGTCATTAATTTATTAGAGATTCTTCATGAACTTTTATGTCATCCAGGACTCTGGTTTATGTGCTTGGTTTAATAATCCTATTTCAGCTGTACCTGACGGACTTGGCCACTCGAGAAAGCCTGTTGCTTTGCATGGAGGAGCACCCAATATTGCAATTGGCATTACAAGATGATAGCATATGGGTTGCAACTACAGATTCTTCTGTGCACAGGTGGCCTGCTGAAGGACTTAACCCTCAGAAGGTTTTTGAGAGGGGCAATTCATTCCTAGCTGGCAATTTATCATTTACCAGGGCAAGGGCCTGCATGGAGGGATCTACTCCTGTATGTGTGGTTCGCTCCTCTCTTCTCTTTCTAATTCGTTCTAAAATCGTTCTTTCAACAGATTTTGTTGGGTGGAGCTTACGGTCCTCGAAATAATTCCTTGTGGCATGATTTATATAATTTATCATACTATGCTGACTTATGCGTTGCATCAAATGAAAGCTAAGAGGACAACAACTCCCTTTTAAATGTTCATTAACAGTTGGTCAAATGCGTTCTCCTAGTTCCTGTGTTAGAGTTGGCTCTTACTACAATTTCCTTGAAACCTTTGAACTGGAATAGTTTAGAAAGCATATAAAATTGCCATGAATCTCACTAAAGATGGCTCTCTGTGCACCTACTAAATGGATACAAAATTAGTATTGTATACTTGGAGGCTTTGTTGGTATCGTTAATGTAAAACTAAAACGGTATAACTTTATTTGATTTATTAAGGGAAAAACTTAAGATAGATCATGTCTGAATTCCTTAGGATTGTCCGCAAACTTTTGGTATGTTTCCTTTCAGAGGAGATTGTAAATAAAGTAGTATTTTTATAGAATTTACATTAAAGCGCAGTTTTAGAAAACCTTATTTATGTCTTCATCTGACAATGAGTTTTGAAACCGTATTTATTTTTGTCTGCCAAAGATCTAAATATGTATACAAAATGGATTATCGTCACACCATTTGATATCTAATCCTTTGCACTTGCATTACGAGATCAACAAACGAAATGTAGCATTGATGTGGCCCTACAATCTAGTTAGACTGGTGAAAAAAATCGGTTTGGAATGAAAGTTATATAATTTTGAAGGCATTTTTGGGCTACTTGCCTGCTTTTTGGGGGGATATGAAAATTTATCGTTATGTTTTTCATTGCCTCAAAAATACAATTTTTCGATTCTTTTTCTACTAGTCAAATGTTTTGAGTATTTTTTTCCTAAGCCCTCTCTGCATCACAGCTTTTCATGCTCCATGCTATGCTGAACCAGTGTTTTGGATATTTTTTAGGATCCTGTTTACAAGGAGCCATCTGTCACCATATCTGGGATTCCGGGGATCGTACAACATGAGGTTTTAAACAACAGAAGGCAGGTCTTGACTAAGGTGCTTGTCAATCAACCTTTTTATTCGTATCTTTTTATTAATGTCTGTTCTTGGTTTGAAAATATTTAATTTTGGATAGTTTGCTTGAGAGCGCGTATCTATCTTTGTCAGGATGCTTCTGGCACAGTTAAACTTTGGGAGATTACAAAAGGAATTGTGACTGAGGACTATGGCAAGGTTTTCTTTCTTTGGATTTTTTCCCCTTTCCAAAATAACTTCGTTCAGTTTAAATAACAACATGGATCCTATGTGTTACAGGTTTCTTTTGATGAGAAGAAGGAAGAGCTGTTTGAAATGGTATTAGTTGGGTTTCCTTTCCCGTCTCATGTTTACTCAGTCAAATGCTTCGGGTTCTATGGATTAGTCTATTTATTTACATTCCTTATTTATGCTACTTCAGGTAAGTATTCCTGCATGGTTCACTGTAGATAGCCGTCTGGGGAGTTTATCTGTCCATCTGGATACGCCACAGTGCTTTTCCGCAGAGATGTATGGAATTGATCTGAATATGCCAGGAGCATCAGAAGATCATAAGGTAGATTATCCCTATTTTTATCTAATTTTTTTTCTGTTCGAGATGAATTCGAAATATTCGAATTTACCATCAGCATTAATTTTTCTCATTTAGAATTCATCAATTTGTCAGTGTAGTCGGCGTGGGGCACACCTCCCCTTGTTGAGACAAAGTCCTGATAAATGCCAGTAAGGGTTATTAGGGAGGTTTATTTTTATTGGTGTATGACGAATTTGCATATAATTAAATACCAGTTGGCTGGAACATTGTACAAAGCCAACATCATATAATTCTGTGATCAAAATTGATACCGACTAGTGGTGGGTGTCGAAGGCCCAGGGCCCAAGGATAGCACAGGAAAAGGGACTTGTAGACATATTCTGCCCAGTCTGGGCCTAAATTTTGTTCCAGATCTCTTTTGTTGTCCATAGTTAGCTTTCGATACCCTTTGGCATCCACACCTGGCGACATCAGCACTTTCAGTAAATATTATTGATATAGTGGAAATTTATCTTATTGTCGTAAAAATATCAACTAAAAGGTGCAATATATGTCAGAAAACAGGGGAAAATATAAAAGCCAACTGCAAAATGCTTATCTAGTTAATGTTAAATAACCTGTAGATGTAGCCTAGAACATTGTTTTCCTTCTTTAATCATCTTCAACGGGTTTGATTGAAGGTCATCTCCTATCCCATTCCCTTTGACTTATTGGACAACAGTATGACTGCCTTGTCGAAATTTCCTGTTCTTTCTTTCCATCGATATGCCCTGCGTGGTGGTGGTTGAAGGATCTTCCACCAATCAAAATTAATCGTCATGAGGCAAATGCTATCCCAATTGCCTGGAAAATCTTTAATATTTTAGCTTTTGCAACCTGGGTTTGAACTATATTGTGGCCATTCTTCCCCATCACATTCATAATCCCGCGTTCAGTAAATAGCTTATCAATACTCTCCTTAACCGGGACACAAAGACTGTTATTGGTACTTGGTTTTAAGTTTCGAATTCTATTAAATGCAGGCAGTTTCTTACAACTAACTTCCATTAGAAGATTCCCATTTTTATGGTTTTCCACACCTGCCTCTGCCACCATATTCTAAATTTACTGTCATCATATCCTCTCACAAAGAATCAACACTGAACCCATCTGAATAAAAGGGAACCTCATCTTTAAATGTTTGTCGAGGCATTTCTTTAATTGTCTGTGAGGTTCTTTGTAAATTGTAGCCCCCCCCCCTTCCCCCTTTTGTTGTTGTCCAGATCTAGGGGATATATTTCTTCTTTTCCTGAGAAAAATTATAGAACTGCTGAAATTTATAGGTGGAACCTCTCTCTAAAGCCATACCCTCCCTAAATTTTGGTTTTTCAATTACCCAGCGTGAATTCTGGATGCTACTGCTTGGAATTCTGGAGCTTAGAACCAGAGTAGAACGATTTGAAGGAAAAACCTTCCATCCATTACCGTCTAACATTTCAGCCTGAATGAGTTATCCTTTTCTTTTTCACTCAGCTATCTTTATGAATGATCTATCTAAACTACCTCATCCTCCTTTAGCTGGTATGAATGATCTATCTCCCTAATAAATAAAAAAAATTTATTTGGTTCAATTTTTTACTCTTATTTTCCATAAAGACATAAGGAGATGGAAATTGTTCGGAAATTTCCCACCTTGCATCGCAATACATGAGCATGATTTTCGTTCATTTCTCGTCGAATTCCAATATTAATTTCCTGCCCTTTTTAATCAAATTAGAAGACGTCTGTTCTCAAGCCCACGTAATTCCTGAGATATCCATTTTTGCTTTGCCATTAAGGAATACAGAAAATATTTTTGTTGAAATAAATCTCCTATCTCAATGTTGTTGAAATCTCATCAGAAATAATTATTTCATTTTTCAAAAACATCTCTTCACATTTTGGTCTGCAGATCAATCTTGCACAAGAGACTCTCCGTGGTCTGTTGTCACATTGGTTGACAAAAAGAAAACAAAGATCTGGATCACAAGCCTCTGCCAACGGTGACATGTCATCAGGAAAAGATGTTACGATGAAGAACCATTCTCATGCAAGAGAGGTTGATGGTGGTGTTGAGAATCAAAACGTGGTTCTTCCAGCATTTGAGTTTTCTAGAGTTTCTCCACCTTCAATTATCACAGAGGGCTCTCAAGGAGGCCCTTGGAGAAAGAAACTTACTGAACTCGATGGCACAGAAGATGAGAAGGATCTCCCGTGGTGGTGTCTTGATTGTATATTGAATCGTCGAATTCCCCCACTAGAAAATACAAAGTAATTGTCAGCTTTTGAACTCTCTGGTTTTGCATCATTCCCTTTCTACGTTACAATTTCTTGAACACGTAGTACGGGTATACATTTTCCTCGATTTTTTTGTTTGTTTTACGTGAACATCATCTATTCTTCATGTTACTTCTTTACCATAGGGCGTCTTTGTCTTCATCGTTTCTGCTTATCATTTAATGTTCATCTCCAGAGCAATAATCTAAGTGAGAGGAATGGAAGAACTTTTATTGAAATTCTTCTTGAGGTAAAAAATGGAAAGCATACCATGAGGTGATAAGAATTGAACGTTGATTTTACATGCAATGAACCTGTTACACTATAGAATTATATTTAACCGTAAATCTCAAGTTTTGGATAATATATTTTCTCCGGTATTGTTTTCATCCTAATGCAGCTGTTTAAGACGACATTTTTTTTCAGTCTATTTGGACATAAGATTTATTTATTGTTATTAAGCGCTTCATTTGCTTTCTTCATGATAGGAACTGTTAAAATGTCTCAGCTACATGTTCTATGTAAGTCTTTGAGTGTATTTGTGTTCGAATTTGTGCAGTGCATTACTGTGAAGCTTGTTGACTTTAAAAGTGCTCAATGTATTTGATTTACTATGTTAGGCACTTCGAACACGTTATTTCAAACGGGAGCCTTTTTTCTGTTTGTAAAGGCCTGGTTTTCAAGTCAGAATTCGCACTTTGACTGAGATTGAATGTCTCATCCTGTTCTTATGCAGATGTAGCTTTTTCTTACATTCATGTGAAGGTTCAAATGTTCAACTGCTCACCCAGGGGAAACTAAGTGCACCGCGGATTTTGCGAATACATAAAGTAAGAAATTAATCTGGATTTCTCTTTCATTCAGAGGTTCTACTATTCCATTACAATCTTCGTGGGCTCATGTTGCTTGAGCTCATGCATTTGACCTTTGCCATGAACTGACAGAGCATGTAATTCATGCAATAATTCTCGATATTATTTTTAATATTGCCTAGTAGCCATCTTAGGCTTCTGGCATAAATCGATGTTGTTTGAAAGCACCGCCTACCATACATCATTGGCACTTAAGTCATATACACGTCTCTCCACTGTCTTATTATTATTATTATTATTATTCCTTTTCATGATTTATGTAAAAGTTCTGTTCCTTTGATTTTGAAGGTCATTAATTATGTTGTCGAGAAGATGGTTCTTGATAAACCACAAGAAGGGGGGAATGGAGATGGAGCATTTACTTCGGCATTACCTTCAGTGCAATCACAGTTTCCTCCAGGTGGGGACACTGTACTACGATCAGGATCGAAGCCATGGCAGAAGCTAAAGCCATCGATAGAGATCCTTTGTAATAATCAGGCAAGATATATCCAAGTTTTTCTAAATTATCCTACTTTGGGCTTTCTTTTTCCTTTGGGCTTTCTAAAATTGTCCAGGCAAGCCATCGATAGAGATCCTTTGGGCTTTCTTTTTCCTGCTCATGAGTTCATATACACGCATACAATTTTCTATTTATGGTGCATCTCCTGTTTTTCGGGGGCTTCATAGATAACATTTTCCTAGAACGTCTCTTGGGTTTTAAAAGCCGTTGAAGATGACATTAGTCTTTTTATTGAACTGAAATAGGAGGCATTGATGGCATTTGTTTAGTATTGAGGCATCATGTTCGCATAGAAAGCATTAATCATGAGCCTGGCTTATGAATAGAGTGAAGCTTCTCCTTGAGAGTTTTCCTAACCTCTAATCATGAAGACTCAAGTGATGCGGTCTCTCTCTCTCTCTCTCTCTCTCTCTCTCTTCTTTTTTTTTCTTCTTCTGTTTACGTTTGTAACATCACTCGAGTCTGCTGTCAAAGTGCCTTCCCCCATCCTGCTTATCTTCTGATCATCTCTGACCCAATGTTTACCTTCTCTTTCCTTTCTGGTCCTTGGGTTGACTGGCCTTCTCCATTTTTGGGATCTGACATATTCTTTGCTATATAGCTGTCATTTTGAGATATGGTTGGCTTAATAATATTGAAGGATTTAATCTGTCATAATTTTTTGGCCAATGAATAGAAATTCTCTCTTGCCAGGTTCTATCACCTGAAATGAGCCTAGCGACAGTGAGAGCTTATATATGGAAGAAGCCTGACGACTTGATCCTGAACTACAGACTAGCGCAGGCTAAATAAGTAGGATTTTGCCCGACTCCATGGGTGAGTTGACCGTTGACCTTTCTTCTGCCCTGCTGGGTTTGGAGTCTTCATTGTATGTAATCTTCGCTCTATCTAAACCCATGCCATGTCGTCTTCCTCCTCTCTGCACCTGCTGAATCTTGAAGCCTTCGCCTGCGCTCAGTGGCAGCGTTCTTGGTGGTCAACTCATGATGTGATTTATGATGTTTATAGTGTATCAATTACCCCGCTCCCTCGCACAGCTGAAAAGCTGATCTCATCCCAAAAGAGAGGGTTGACTGTAATCCGGGGATGAAGGGGCCTCCCTCTGCCACCTTGTCCTATTTTCTTTCCCAGCCACAGGAGCTCAATCAGTCAACGCTTGGAGGGGTCCACCGCCGGCTGGAGAACAGCAGCCTCGTCCAGCTGCGGTGAACCCGGATTTCGGCAACCGATGATGAGAGTAGAAAGCACAAAACTAGTGGGCGAATGAGGCGGTGCCGCCAGTGTTTAGTCATCCGTGTGAAGTCCGAAGAATTTACCCGTGTACCAATTTTGATTATGAACTCGCCCCAGTATTTATTTATTTGAGAGTGTCCTTGCTGTCTGATGTCTGCCCACTTCATTTTTGTTCTTCCCTTCTTTCACTGTGCTGTCTCCTCCTCAGCGGCAGCGGCGGCGGCCGCCGGAGGAGGCTGCCGCCAGGCAATCAGAAGGCTCACATCCCGCCGCCATGGCTGCTCACAATTCATCCTTCAGCTAATAATGGACGTCACCCTTGGGGGGGTTAAGATTGTTCAGTGGAGTCACACAAGGGTCGGCATGGCAGCGGCGGTGGCCGGAGGGGGCTGCTGCCGAGCAATCCATATGCTGCTCTTCACCTGGCCACGGCTGCTCATAATTCAGACTTAAGTTAATGGAGATTACTCTTGGCGGGTGAAAATTGTTCAGTGAAGTCAGACAAGGGTCCTCAAGATGGGAGGAGACATGGCAGTGGCAGCGGGCGGCAGCCGGAGAGGGCGGCAGGGTAACCGTGCCATCCCTCTCACCTGGTTATGGGTGCTCACAACTCATCCTTTGGCTTGTCGTCGTCCTCTCCCATGAGCTCCTCCAGAGAGAACTCGTCCTCTTCAATTACCTCCCCGTCCTTGCCGTCCCAAGGTTGCGTTGAAGTGACAGCGGGTGTGCCATGGAGCACCAGGTTCCCCTTCCCCCCACGCCCAGCCTCCTTCACAAACTCACTGAGAAACAGAACCCACATCGGCAATATATGAGAGAGGGAGAGAGAGAGAGAGAGAGAGAGAGAGAGAGAGGAGGAACTCACATGATTTGGTCGAGTTCGAAGGCGCTTCGGAGGGGAGCGTAGGCGCCTTTCTTGACATTGAGAGCCACCAGGGCAGGGTAGCCATAACCACCGACGCCAAGCTGCTTCTCTAGATCGGGTTGCTTGCCTGCGGCGGCCCAGATGTAGCTGCAAAACGGCATCTTCTCAATTGGGCAAGAAGACATGGATTTGCCAATAATCCAGAACGAGGATGAGTAGTATGGATTATACTTGGGTCAGAAATCGCTGCCAAATTCAGTTATGCAGCCGAGTAACAAAAGCATCGAATGAGATTAAATAAAATAAAAAAACTTGATTTTCAGTGCTCGAATCAAGTAACAAAAAGCAAGAACAGCCAAATAATTTTAGGGGAGCAGAAAACGAATGCAGAGATTAGAATTTATCACCCAGCCGCATAATCACTCCTGTGGAGACAGATTTCGAAGCTCGCATCAATCCATTTTCCATTCAAGTCTCACGCCTACCAGAATGCACGAGATTCTGTCTGTCATGAGCCCTCTCCAAGTCAGTTCAGACACCACAGACTATCTTCTTCCCATGTTTTTCTCTCGCCGTGGATGGACGGAAGGAATTCCAATAACCACAATCTCAACCACTGGTCTGGTCTACCCCTTCGAAAAAGGGGGACTACCGTTTACTTTTGACGCAAAGAGTCAACTCCCTGCCGTCCTTTTGAAGCGAGTGTGTTATCAAGATCATCTATTCCTCTCTGTAAGCAGAGATGGCAGCTGAAGCTCAGAAAACATTGCGAAGCAGGAACTTGCCTGTAGGGGCTTCTCTTGAACTTCTCGGCAACCGACAACAGAATGCTGAGGTACGTGTTCCTTCCCTCCGCCTTCGAATCCAAAATGTCTGGGAGGAAGCCCACGAAGCAGATCGCCGCCGGAGCACACTTGGTCTCCATGACATCCTACGAAGAGCGGAAATTGCTCAGCGAGAAATGAAATGGATGAACCAAAGATGAGAGGAGGAGCATGCATAGATGGCGGAAGACGAGTACCGGCCCTGAGAGCTCCAACACCTCGGGTGGCGCGACATTGGTTTCTAATTGCTCCAGTGCAAACGACTCGATGGCAGAAGCAGTTCTGGCACCCTCGTAGGGCTGAGGGCTATCCTTGTCATGACCGAAAACCAGAATGGTGGGGAATCCTTGGACATTGAACCTGCCCATCAAGGACTGCGAGAATTGCAGTTCAGAAGCCAGTAGTCACAAGTAGTAACATCACGTTGCTCTGTTGGGCTTTTGAAAATGGCATTCCATGTTTATAGTCAATACTACCCAATTGGATGATCAGAGAAAAGTAAAACGACATTACACCAATTCTTTCTAGGATTAGGTGAACCAAATACACAGGCAAATTCAAAAGAGGAATTGCGACTGTCAGCATAGCAACAGCAACTATAGGAGGGAATATTAGCAGCACCGCATACAATCATCTTATGAGAACAATGCACATAGTAAATGGAAGGGGTTAAGTATACAAAGGCGAACAAGCCATTTGCTTCGGCAACTTCCCCCTCCGAATTAAAATTATGTCAACACTAAAAGGTAAGTTGGAAATGAGAAAAATGGATTGTTGGAAAGAGATAATGTGGTTTTTATTCTCTTACATTTTTGTAAATCAGATAAAGTTTTTCACAACAACAAAAAATGAGGTTCGTGCAGGCAGGACTGTAAGAATCCAAAATCATGAAAAGGATTCTAATTTACCCATCTATGCTTCCCTCTCGAAAATTTATTTACTTAAGAGATTGCTCTCATTTTGGCCAATACCATGAGCTCATCGGAGCAAAACATCTCGATAATAATATCTTATAAAAAACAAAAGAAAATTGATCATGATGCCATAGCCTCTGAGCAAGACGAGTAACAGTACAGATAGAAACAAAATACCCCTTTTAACAGAAACATATTCTGACTACATAGAAGATTTAGTTTGAGGAAAATGAGACTCACTTTGTCAGCATCACAATCTACATGACCCAGCTTCACCTTTCCCTTAAGGTTTCTTGAAGCCTTCTTCCATTCAGGCGCCAGCTTCTTACAGTGTCCACACCTGAAAGCATTAAATATTGATATTCTGTTTCAATGAGCGTAGCAGATATAATAATTTCTTTACGTTACTTAACGAAATCAACTTTGTTATACAGTGACAAAATAGTGATGGTTACAATCGGAATCCGCACATCCAATTAGCACTGGCATTGACAACCAATAACAATACCTCACATAAGGATGGCTGCAACAAGGATCCTTACCAAGGTGCAAAGAACTCTACAATCCAAAGGTCTTTACTTTTCAGAACAAGATCATCAAAGTTCTGAGAATTCAACTCTATGGATGCAGTTGTTTCCGACTTTTCACTGGAACCTCCAGTTTGTTTTCCATCTAGCCGATCCTTCAGAAGTGCCTTAACCTAAATAAAAACTCCAGAATTTACTTTTCTTTCTTAAGTTCACAAAAATACAATATGAAACTAGAAATACAGGATCATAATTAGCATAGAAATGAAAGAGCAATAATTCACAAATGTATCAATTAGGACGCACATTTTTGCTTCGTTCTCATGGAAGGAAAAGGTGAGGGGATATCTCTATTTAAAAACTAGTCGGATATAACTGGCTAAAGCATATGTTTCCTGAAGGTGGGTGCTCCTATATATTCATGAAATGCGAAAAAGGAGGAAGTGCCCTGCGAGATCACAAAATCCCCCAACTCACTGATGAAGGCTTGGCTATAATCACACCTGTGGAGAATATATATATATATATATATATATATATATATATATAGATAGATAGATAGATAGATAGATATATACATTATTGTGACCATTTGTGACAAGCTAGCATCATAAAAATAACGGAATGGTCCCATAGCTACTCAATATCTAGGAAGATTAGGGATGGCATTGGAAGGCAGTTGTGTTAAAATCAGGATGCTGACAGATAAAGATATAAAAAAATTTTATACACATCTCATGATTTACAGAAGTGGAAATAGATATTAATTTGCATCAAGAAATAGAATTATTAAGGGGAAATCAGGAGAAGTCCAAAATGTGCAAGAGACCAAAAATAGGGAATGGCACTCGCAAAAAATATTTGCATCATAAGGGAACCTAAATTTTCCAAAAAACCCTCAGAGGTACTCATGAATAGCTCACACAAAAAACTCAATGTATCATGGATAACATAGGAACTGAACCCAGGATCTAGCTAACCCAGAACCAGCAGGCCTTTGGTATGCGGGCCTACCATGATATCCACAAGCTTCCTTTGGCTAGGAGAAAGTTGGTGACGCACAAAGATTGACAGAAAATGAAATGATAACACCTATGAGTTTTCTCGTAGTGCCACTTGGCAGACATTGAATAAGTTGGAGGGAGAAATTATACAAGTGGCAACAAGGATTCTAAAAAAGAGATCATCCACATCGGCCAATACAGATGAGTGTAATGTTACCCTGATCCGACTTGGAAGAAAAACGTGAAAACTATAAGTGGCATGTTCTACAGAAACAAAATCTCATAAACAACGACTCATAGCGCATAGAAAAGTAGGGTTCGTCAAAACATGATGAGTGTACAGCGATAAAAAAATGGAAATCCTTTGGATTAAGTAATTCCAGGGCCAGGAAAAGGTATAAAAAGACACGGTAAAGATAAAATCCTATGGATGCACGGATCACAAAGTAATCAGCCACTTCCCCTTTACCTCAATGATAATAGCATAGCGTATCAGAAAAGAAGTATTCCCTAAGCCTGAAAAAGTACATCTTAATTCAAATGATCAGCCTCCACAAACCTGTTTCAGAGCAAATTCAGCAATCGGTTTCACATCCCTTGCACCTTGATAATCTACCGGAGGTTTCCCAGGTGAGAACACTTTGATTGTGGGAAATCCTTGAATTCCATATTCCTGAAAAAAAAAAAAAAACAAAATCATCATTGTAATCGAATGTGGGACAGTCCTCAATTGTAGTATTCTCTAATTAGAAGCTGGGACTAACATAAAGTATAAATTGAATCAACATAATGTGTTACACACCCATTTTAAGGGAGAGATCTTAAAAAACGGGAAATCATAATGAACTTATCGTGATTCTCAACGTATGAAAAGACAGATGATAAGATAGCAATTAGGGACGCACTATTATTACAATAAAAGTTAGACATTAAAACCAAATTACTTCGAAAATTACACGACAATCTTGGTTCCGAAAATATTTGGTCTTAGATCTAATCATCAACCCAGGCAATCAACTTTTGAATTGGACCATGAATCATTAGCCTAAAACAAAAAAAACTTTTGAACCGCGCATTGCCAAAATAAATTAGCACCCCACAACAAAATAGGGAGATACGAATATTGCTTTAACGACCACCATCACCCACTAAGAAGCATTTCAAATGAGATCGCTATTTAACACAGCCTAACAAAAAATCTCTGATGATAAATCAAGAAATCTACCAATCTCAGGTACACGAGTAAGAAAATCGAGAACCAAACCTGCGCCAGAGCCTTGTGCTCGTCAGCGTCCAGGGCGGCCACCGTGGCGACACCTTTGAGGACCGTGGCGGCCCGCTCCCACGTGGGCGTCAGCGCCTGGCAGTGACCGCACCACGGCGCGAAGAATTCCACCAGCACCACCCCGTTCGAGTTCAGGACCTACAACCAGAGAAACCGTCCGCGACACAATCCCGCGATTACCGACGGATTAAGAGGTAAAAACCGCCGCAGACCACATCCCAGACCGTCGGAGGTCGAACTCGGAAAGGAGGAAGGAGAACAGAAGGCAGCACCTTCGATTTGAAGTTGGAAGGAGTGAGCTGTAGGACGGGGGATGAGGGGGAGTACAGCGCCGCCGCAGCCCCTGCCATGGCGAGGGCGGCGATCAGTGCTAGGAGAGCGGCCGGCTTCCGTCGCTGCATTCTTTCTCTTCCCCTTCCTCTTCTCCTTCTTCTTCTTCTTCTTCCTCTTCCTCTTCCTCTTCTCCTCCCCGGTAGCGCCGGCGCCGGTGAGACTAACAGCACGCTCCCGGTGGTAGTCTTGACGACGGTTTACAGAGAGAGGAGAGAGGAGAAGCGGACGCGTGTCTCTACAAATCGGAATCCTCCACGTGGACAATGGGATCTGCGTCGAACTTGCCGGATCGAACCGATACAAGAGCGATAAGAGGGGTGGGTATCCCCCCCCCAACTCCCTCCCCTCATGAAATGTAAAGAAAAATAGGAATTTTCTTTTCTCAAGAAAATAAATGAGTTATTTAAAATTAAAATAAAAGTATGTCACTATCCCAAAATGTTATCAGCTTGGGCTGGGCAAAGGATCATTGATAAACGGGCCCAAAAAAGGCCCAAACTCTTACATTAAGTAAATGCCCCCCCCCCCCCCCCCGCCCCCTTAGGGCAAGGAAATACCAACTGTGCCCCTTATGAAGTGTAGGAAGGGCTTTACCTTATGCCATCGTGCCTCATTTTTTAGGCCCATTTACTAAAACTGGGCCATATTTGGTAGCTTCTAGGCTTATATGGGCTGTGTGAAGTCTTGACTATCTTACTGTAAGGGCATGCGAATGCTTTTGAAGAGCCTAGTTTCCAAGTTAATGGTAAATCTATGAAGATTTGAGTGCAATATGATAAAGTGTCGGGCCTTACCCATTTATTTAAATGCATGAACAAGGTTTCTATGGACCCTTTTGTTGAGGGCTGCACAAGTAAGTTCTTTGACTTAATTAGCACAACATGAGGTCAAAGTGCTGGGCAATACTTGCTTTTCCAATCTACCAATTATTTAAAATAATAAGGTAATATTAAAGAAATATCATTACACTAGTAATAATAATAATAATAATAATAATAATAATATTGGATTCTATATGGCACCATATAACCAAGAGCTTACGAAATTAGTAATGTTCTAATTCTTTTCTACCATTGTTGATTTCTCATCCATTCTAAGTCGATAAGATCTAGATGGCAAAATGAATATTTCACATATCATTTTTATAGTGGTTATATCGTTATATCTACTATACTTTCCAAATATAACATATAACATATAACGTAGCTTTTCATGGGTACCACTAAATTATTCTTGGTACAAAATACACTAAATTATTGGTTTCAACTGTTTTTTTACTATATTTAACAACACTAGCCAATTCACGGTTACATGTATGAATTAACTTTTAGATCCATTACTCTAGGGGGTGGAAATCAAAAGAGAATCCACTCGTCTTTTCCAAATTCATAGCTCTAAGTGAACCAAAAGTGCAGGAAACTCACTCATGTCTTCTAAATTCATATCTCAATGTAACAAAATTGATAAAATTTATACATCTCTTCTAAAAACAGAACTTTAGGAAATTAGCACCAACCACTATATCATATCTTTTAACTGAAAATTAAAATCTAAAAACACCCTCAAATGTTGTAAAATCTATAAAAAATCAAACCCTTCAAATCTAGATGAGTGATACATTGTATTGTGCTGATCTTTCAATAAGTTTTCAAATTACTTTGATGCATGTGTTTGTGACACCAATTCCTCTAAAAATTCATTTTATTTAAGTTTGATCATAAGTATAGACTATTATACATTTGAACAGATTTATGCCCCCCATAAAATTAAGAACCTTCCTCAGTAGACAACAATCAAGATCCTCGATATATAATTCTACTACTGTGAGTTCACTTAATTATTTTTCCATGATTATTGTCATTGTCAAAAAAAAATGGCTCTCAAAGTCTTCAAGTAATACCTTTAATATTGATGCGACTCAATTTTTTTATATAGCATATAATTAGTTTTATTTATTATGGTGACTATGTAAAATAAACAATCATATATATATATATATATATATACATAGCATGAAAATTATAGGTCTCAACTGAGGATAATATTTTGGCTTTTAGGAATAAGAAAAAATATATATAGTTTAATTTTCTTGAATAAATTTTCAAAGAAATGGTTTAAATATATATAGTGTCTTTATTTTTTAATTCAGTAAATATTCTTTAGATCCCTAATAGATAAGATTCAATCCATAAATATATAAGCCCTTTTTATAGCACAATTAATTGGCAACTAGCAATGTCATGTCATTATATAAGAATATTTACCCTTTTCTTTACTAACCTAAGATTTTGATGTAAACCACTTCCTTATAGTTAGAACCATATCAAGGACTAATTTTCCAATATGAGTAAGAATTAAGTACCCCAAGGAGCAGCCAAGTGTCAATATTGTTGAGGCAATCTTTACTTCCATGATAGCAAAAAGTAGAAAAAAAACCACAAATAGGTCATTTTACAACATCACAAAATATACCACATAAGATAACATTTTATTAACTCTTGGAAATGTTTACATGGATATATGGACAAAATTCTTATAGGTAAATCCTTTTCCAAATTTAAAGAAAAAAAATCACAAGAAAGCACATAAGAGCACAAATAAGGCAAATTGCTCTGCAACCAAAAAAAGACACGTGCTACTAGTTACAAAGTTGTCATTGGAATGATATATTCAACTATTTTTCTTATTTTTTCAACTTTAAAAAAAACTAAATCAACTCCATATACATAAAATGTATTCAATCAACTCTATAGTCCTAATCATAAACTCTCAATCCATTTGAGTGTTGGGTTGATGGCTTCACATTTAACAATTATTTTTATTGATTTTTATGAGAGATGATTAATAGAGTGGAGGTTCATAATAGTTGCCAGCCGATTGCAAGGACATGGATTTTTTTTTTTTTGGGGTTGTGAAAGGAGTTGACTATATATATTCACTATATAACCACCGTTGACAAGAACCCAATAACATTTAAGGCATATAAATAAATAAATAATATATCTCCTCCTCAGTTCTTTTAGTGGCCCACTTAGATGAATAGTAAGAGCCATTAGGAAACAAGATAAGAGGCTCAAAAGTTTCTAAAAATCCTATAAAATGTACCATCAATACAAAGTGGGGATTATAATTTACCATTAATAGTACACATTTAGTACATATTATTTTTCCATAAATTTGGGAATTTAATTTTAATTTTATTTTTTTGGAAAACTGTAGTTATAACCATTTATGGAATATTTCTGGTGATAATGCAAAGAAGAAACGGTAGGTCTGCTTCAGTTCAACAAGGAGAGATAGAACTGAAGAAACAGCTTATGGGCTTGCACTTCGTCCTATTAAAAAGCCCAGGAAGATAATGGACCATGAGGTCGGAAGGGGACTTAAAGGTGACCGTAGATCCCCCTGTCCTCTCGGAGATCGTGCCTGGTCGCTATTACAAACACCGGTAAGTTCATGTGCAGGTGACGGAATCCTGTAGGTTGCAAGTCAGTGCCGTTCACGCCCCTGAAAGCCCTAACTCGAACTCTTTAAAAGCTCCACCCCTCCAGCTGTAGAAGGCCTCGCAAAACCCTAAACCCTGGTGGGCGACTGCTCCAGCAGCGGCCGCTCTCCTTCGCAGCAGGATGAGGCCTCCGAGAGGTGAGCTTGATCTCCATCGTTCTCTCCCTTCAGCTCCTCTCTCTCTCTCTCTCTCTCTCTCTCTCTCTCTCTCTCTCTCTCTATCTCTCTCTGTGGTATTGTTTTTGGTCGGTTTGCGATTGGTTTTTTGGTGTGACATGGGAATGAACCTTTCAGGAAGAGGTAGCTTCGGCAGCGGGGGGAGAGGTAGGGGAAGAGGAGGCGGCGGGGGTAGGGGTGGCAGCGATGGTGGCGGACGCGGATTCGGCCGTGGCGGCGGACGCGGGGGCGGTCGGGGCGGTGGACGCGGCGGCGGTAGGGGCAGAGGAGGCGGCCGTGGGGGGATGAAGGGAGGGAGCAGGGTCGTGGTGGAGCCCCATCGTCATGAGGGTGTCTTTGTCGCCAAGGGTAAAGAGGACGCGCTCTGCACGAAGAACCTTGTGACCGGGGAGTCCGTCTACGGAGAGAAGCGCATTGCGGTTCAGGTGAATAGATCCTCCTCATTTTCTACAATATCCTCTTCATCTTTCTTTCCTATGAATGTTTTCTCTTCTACTCTTCACTCTATATCTCATGGCGACCTGTGATTCACGCCTACGGCTACTTTCAGAATGAGGATGGTACCAAGACGGAGTACCGGGTATGGAATCCGTTCCGTTCGAAACTTGCGGCAGCTATCCTGGGTGGTGTGGACAACATATGGATTGTATGTGTTCACGTCTCGTCCTCCTATGCTATTTTAGTTGCCTTTTCTGTCTTTCGCCATCGTAAATTCATTATCTGAGGCCTCATCCTGTTGCAAAGTTAAGAGAGCTGTGCGTCTGAATAGTTTTGACTGCTGACATTAACCAAATGTTTCTCCTGTGAGTAGGTCCCTGGATCTCGGGTGCTGTACCTTGGAGCAGCTTCCGGAACTACGGTGTCCCACGTGTCCGACCTCGTTGGTCCTGTATGTTTCTGTTGAATCCCCAGTGGGAAGCTAACATACCTTCCAATTTTCTTTCCACGGGACGATGATATATATTCTTCTTTGTCTCTCGCAGACTGGGGTTGTTTACGCAGTGGAGTTTTCCCACAGAAGTGGCAGAGACTTAGTGAACATGGCAAAGAAACGGACTAATGTTATCCCCATCATTGAAGATGCCAGGCATCCTGCTAGGTACCGAATGTTGGTTAGCATGGTGGATGTTATCTTCTCTGATGTTGCGCAGCCAGATCAGGTATACTATTCCCTTCTTGATACTAGTTTGGTGATGCAATATGTCGCATTTAGCTTTATCGCAGCGCTACATCTTTGTATCTCCCCGACAAATTTTCGGTTTTCATCGGATATTGAGTTTATTTTTATGTCAATTTTGACTGCTTTTACTAAACGAATTACGGTATTGTTGTTATTTTCGTCGGTTTTGAACTCTCATTGCCTTGCCTTTTTTTTCGTCAATTTAAATCGGCTGCTTATGAGGGATAACATTAGTTCTATTGCTACCTTCACTGATCATGAGATGGTTAACGGCTAGACTCATCCGAGTCTCTTCTGTTTGATGATCCTTGAGAGTTGTACGGTGTATCAAGCAAGCTGGATTGTGCCTGATCGTCGTCTTTTATTCCTCTTTACTCTCATTTATTGCCGAATGGTTTCTGATCTAACCAGCAATTGACGAGTTCTTGGATTTCCCATCAAGACGTTGTCATGGGTGATCAAATCCAAGATTCTGATGCATTGGTTGTATGTCATGGGTGTATTTCATTTTTTTTCGAAATTTTACCCATAGTAGAGCAAGTGACGACTTCTTGGATTCCTCCCCTTCACGACTGCAACTCCAAGATTCGGATGCGTTTTTCTGTATTTTTCCGCTAGCTTTTTTTATTTTTCCTCCATCTATCAGTCACTCCTGTTATAGAGCAAGTGATGACTTCTTGGATTCCCCTTCAGTACACCATTGTGGGCGATGACACTCCAAGATTCTGATGCCCTTGTTTATGTTTCTGCCTCTGATATCAACGTAGCTGTTTTTGTGGGCAAGCTTGTCGCATGATGTCTTGATTTTATTAATGTCTAATGCTCGTTCTACAATCTTGATTGTCTCCCCTGTTTTATTCCGCTCTAACGTGATCATTACCTTGTTAATGATTTCCTGGGGTGTTTGAGGTCTGGAATTTTTCCCTCGCATTCCTAATTAGCATCTTCTCCTGAATTCACGTTGTTTTCTGCTTTGTCTGGAAGTCAACCTTCCAACATGTCAACTGGGCATCTTTTTAGTCTTCTGATTTCTTACCCTACACGTCGTGATTTTTACCTTGTTCGTCTCTTCATCAGCAACAAAGTCTCTTCTTCCTTGAAATCATTTGATCTTGTCGTCTACATGCCACTGAAGGTCACTCACTCACCTGTTGACTTCTTGGATTCCCCTCCAGGACATTTTTATACGGGTGATGTAAATTCCAAAGCTCTGAAACTTTATTCCGACTTGTTTTAAGCAGCGATCTTGGGCAATATGGAAGTTCCAGATATATTGTGCCCTAGCTGGTGTTTCCTCAAGGCAATAATTTATTTTTTTCCGTTTATTCTCCCCGCATTCGATTTGTGGAATGATTTCTTATTCCGTGATGCCGATGCTATTTTCCTAAGAACTTTAGGAAGCAGATGACGCTCAAAATTTAATTAATCATACTTTTATTTGATGATTTCCTACGATGGCAGATGATGCACAATCTTATCCTACACTCCGAAATTTATTTAGTGTGGACAAAACTCCGCTTATTGTCTGATGCCTCCAAAAAAATCCGTTTATTTTTAAGATTCCCTCTCATTTGACGTTGACCTGTATTTATTATTCGATCTCCAACGTTGACCTGGATTTATTATTCAACGTTGTCCAGAGTTCCGATCAGAAGGGGTTAATATGCTGCGTTTTTCTTGTTTATTTTGGCCAATTCTGACCACATTAAAATGCAGCGGTGGTTCTTTGGTTTATTATTTGTCGGAAAAACGTTCATTGGAAGCGTTGACCGAGGCTGTGATCATTCTCTCGAGAAAAGTCTTTTTTTGGTTGAGGGTTTGGGTTTTGCTTGTTGTTGGCTTGTGCAGGCCAGGATCTTGGCTCTCAACGCCTCCTATTTCCTGAAAAACGGCGGCCATTTCGTTATTTCCATCAAGGTAAATAAAAGGGGAAACATGTACGCCAAGTATAGGCCTACATACATGATCGAGGTCAGGCGTTGACTTTTCGATTGAATTCCTGGCAGGCCAACTGCATTGACTCGACAGTGCCGGCGGAGGCGGTCTTCGCTCAGGAGGTGAAGAAGCTGCAAGCTGACCAGTTCAAGCCTTCCGAGCAGGTCACCCTCGAGCCCTTCGAGCGGGACCACGCTTGCGTCGTAGGCGGCTACCGCGTGCCCAAGAAGCAGAAGGCGGCGCCGGCATCCTAGAGATAGAGAGAGAAGAGAGCGCCTGCCCACCCTCGCTTTCTCTCTCTTATCCAGATTAAGAACACAGCTCACTCTATATGCGGTTGGGCTGATGAGAACAGAGGTTTTTATTTAATGAGCGATTTGCTGTTGTGTTCACGACATGATTCCCCTTCCTTCCGTAGATTGTGAGAGCTTCTCTCTTTAAGACTTGAGGTATCATCAATCCCTCTCTCTCTCTCTCTCTCTACTGAAAGTACATCGCCGGGGATCGGCAGTGCAAGATTTCAGAACCGTCTGTAACAGAGGTGCCCCTAACGAGAGTATTTAAGCGAAGGTGGTGCAAGTTCTCGGAACTCCACTCTCTCTCTCTCTCTCTCTCTCGTTGATATCGTAGGCCCGACAAGAGGAAGGGAGCCATGCCGCGCTGCCGGCCTTCCCTCTGCTTCTTGGAGTCGCCGGCGCCGTCGGTCGCGGAGTCGGAACTCCCCACGCTTCCTTTCTTGCCTCCTCGCACCGAGGGCCGCTCCGAAGAATACGACCCCTCACCGCCACCACCGGCCGGTGACGACGACGGTGGCGCTCGGCCGGTGCGTCCCCGCTGCATGAACCTCCTCAAGCACGGCCGCATCTCCGGCGAAGGCACAGACCCGCCCGAGACTTCCCCCTCTCTCTCTCTCTCTCTCTCTCTCTCTCTCTCTTTCTTGAAAGCAGATGATGATGAGCAGGAGGTGGGCTGTCGGCGGCATACGGGCGGTGGCGGTCGGCGCAGTCGCCGGCTGCGACGACAAGGGCGGAGAAGCAGTTGCAGGTCCGGTGGGCGCTGGAGGACCAGGTGGAAGCTCATCTGGGGAAGCTGGAAGCCCACTACAGCCGCCCAATCGCACCCCGGGACGTCGCCCACATCCTCTCGCCGGAGGAGCTGCCGGCGATGGAGGTCGCCGCCGTGTACTGGCTCGGCGGGTGGCGGCCCTCCGCCATTCTCTCCGAGGTCCCCCGCCTTGTCGGTGGCGGCGGAGCCTCGCCAGAGGGCCTCAACCGGCGGTGCCGCCGCTTCCTCTCCGTGGCCGTCCGCCGGTTCAAGGTCGAGGAGGCGGTGCTCGACGAGGAGATGGCGGAGATCAGCTCGATGTGGGTGCTCTCTCTGCTCGGACCTGCCGGCGCCGGAGAGGACGGCGGAGAGAGGGCGGCGCCGGCTGCGGTGGTGGGGGAATTGGGGAAGGTGGTGCGGGTGGTGGAGAGGGCGCAGCAGCTGAGATACGGCGCGGTGGAGCTCGCCGTGAGGCGGGCGCTGGACGCGGCGCAGGCGGCGGAGTTCCTGGTGGGCTTCTCCGGCATGCAGCTGGCGTTGCACCGCATGGGCACCGCCTGGAAGTCCCACGTTGGTCCCCTCCACCTCGCTCTCCACCAGTCCACCCCGACGCCCGATTAAATCGCCGCCGAGGCCATTATCCTCGTCTCGTTTCTCCACGGTCTGTAGTCCAGTCAATGTATGCCAATTCTCTCTCTCTCTCTCTATCTCCTTCTCTCTCTAGATTATGCATGTGCCTAGTGCCTATTTTTGAAACCAGGGTTTTCAGTGGGGGATAAATACCTTCCCTCTCACACATGTAGGCTGCTGTCCGCCAAAGATTGAGGAAGATGCACTCCTCGGTGGCAGGCAGTGATGTCGGTGTCATTCCTCTACGACTTAAGAGCATGGGGGGTTGGTGTGAGACCTCAAAAGGTTAAGTCCTACTCACGAATTATAATGAGCTGAAGAAGAAAGACCCACTTTAACCATTGACTCCTCTTTTTATCCTTTATATTGGGTTATAATTTAGGATAAACTTTCAGAGTGTTAGGTTTTACGTTGGATTTACCTTTCTCTCTATGAGCTTCCACTTTCTTCTATTTTTCTCTAAAATATAAATATTTTTCATTGTTACCAGAGCAGAAACCTGTGTGAATACTTACATTAGCTTGCTCTTTCTTCTATATGAAGAAACTTGTGTGAAAATTCTTCTAATTAGTAATAGAATAATTGAAGTCAAGGTAAAAGAGGTCAGTATGATCATGGCTGTGAAAAAATATGACATATATGCTTTTGAACATTAAGTCCATAAAGTGTTAATAACAAGAAGCAAAAGCTTAGTTATAACTTAATGTAATGTTATTTTTGTAAAAGGTATAAGCACATTGAATCATATTATTGAGAAAATACAATAAGATCAATCAAATGTTGTAAAAAAATGGTAATTTATTTATTACGGATGTAACTTTATTAACATATAAGCATGTTGTATGGTTCTTAGATAGTGTATGTAATAATCATATGATAGAAGATAATGATTTGCTTATGAAATGAAAAGTTTCAACTGGAGATGAAAAAAGTGTTTGAATTAAAAGAGTCTAAAATGATACATTTTAGTTCTTTATTATTGTATTTCTTTTTCCTTTGTCTATTACTATATTTTCTTTGTCTTAGGTTGGTCCTGCTCATTTTATTTTAGTCAATGTGAACTTGATAAATCTAGTTCATGTTGTAACAATGTGTCATGCATAAAAATCAGTCCCATCCCCTATTTGTGTGTTAATGAAAAGTAAGGACTCAACTATTTTTCTTCCTTATATTTCTATCTCTTAATAGCTATTGCCACTAGATTCAAAACGAGATCAAGTAAATAATTTAACATCGTATTAGAGTTAAGTCAATGTGTGTAATCCTTTATGCTAGATTTTATTTTTCATTGGATATCTCCAAAATCTACTTCACTAGCAACAAGAAACATGAATTTCTCATTTGTAGATAGGTTATTATCATGTGTCCTCTTGCACCAACTTTAGATAACACACCATATAGTGTTTGTCATTTTTTTTGACAGTAGACCAGCTTTATATTTTCTACAAGTGAGTTTGTGATTTGACATCAACTATCTGCTTATCTTTAGATTTTTTTTTTCAAAATTAATATTAGAATTTATCTTTAGATTTTTTTTGTACTTCTACATCATCTAATTTATCATTCTATTTTGAGGGTGTCTGAAGTCAACTCATCCTTAGGAAATTACTATACCTCAGGAGTAAATCAAAATCTAGTATACTGAAAAGATATCGTAAGGATATCACTTGGATGGCTAAAACTATTTTAGATGGTCCAAAACAAGTGATAGTGATACAACGAAGAAAAGGACTATTGAGTCATTTACCAAATTTGAGTATGCAAATCAATAATCTCAACTTTTGAGTGTGGGATTAGGTATACTCTAAAATTAGAAGTGGATAATGATGAGTATGCATCATTATCCACTAATCATTTACCAACTTTTAAGTATGCATAGGAGTGGATAATGATGACCCCTAAAATTAGAAGAACATGGTTATATATGCCTTCACAATGAAGATACACAAGACAATCTTCATTAAACTTCCTCCATGGTTAGAGATTTAGCATAATTATATGACTTGATGTTGAAAATGATATCTTTAAGACATGGGAAACAATGGTGGCAAATATACAAATGAATTGATGACCTTAAAATAGAATTTGATCAATACCAAAATATTTATTTAAATAGATTATATGGCAGGAGCTAGATATAAAGATGTGATGGAGAGAACTAATATGAGTACTTAGTGATACTCAATTTAGAATTTGATCAATTATTAACTCAAGTTATTCACTAATTAACTGTATCACATTTCAATGAAGTAATATCTATGATTAAGGGAGGAGAGTTAAAGAAGTTTGATGAAGAATTCATGATGACATTATGTTTGCTACTTTAGAGTCAAGCTTTGAAAAAATAAATAAAATTTGAAAATACTAAGAATGATTAAGGGACAATTTATCATATATTTAGTATAAAAAGTATGTCATATTCATGAAAGATGTTATAAATTTAATGATTGGCCTCCACATCATGGAACTCAACCTAAGAATAATGGTCACACCTTTATGTCAATTGAACAAACTCATGTAGCCACTATAAGTCATCAAACTCACTATAAGACCCACCCCACACATTGTTGAAGAAATTAATAAGGTTAAATTATCTCTAATAGTATTGTCTCTCACTCAACTAGCAAAGTTTTCATTTGTTGTTGTACTTAGTGCCTTGCGTATTAATCTTTCATCTATTTCTATAAGTTTCTAGATAATAAACACTTTAGAGCTATTGAACACATGACCAATTAACCCTTATTTTTTCTATCTATTCTTTATGTCCTATAAATGAGAAAGTTGCAGCTATTAATAGTTTACTAATCATCAATGTAGATGTAATAAATATTTTACTTACTCACTCACCCTTTCTAATATACCTCATATTCTTAAATTAATCTCAAATTTAGTATCTATTATTAAACATATTAAATATTTTCATTGTAACATTTTATTTGTCCTAATTCATGTGTATTCTATGATAAGGGATTAGGGAAAATGATTGAACATGCTAGGGAGTAAGACATATTTTCCTGAAGTGCATATCTAATCTCATATTGCAAAGGAGGTGAGTTAGTCATCTCTTCCACTAAATATGGAGAAAATTTAACTGGACAATCAAAGATTTAGCAACCTATATTTTCTCACAGTTTAGATATTTTTTTCCTCTTTGTTCTATATTGTAACATTTTTCAATTTGTTAAAGACAAAAATGTTATTTTGCCAAAAAATAATACAGAAAGCTTTATTGATTTTTCTTGCATTCATAGTGATATATGAGATTCTTTGATTATTACAAGTATTTATGAAGCATAATGATTTGAAATGATTATTATTAACTTCACTTTTATTTTGAAAAGAAGAATGATCATTTTATTTGTAGTAGTTTCAGATTTGTTGTTTTAAAATAATGTAATCTTTTTGTGGATAGTTACATATAATTACTATATTTTGATAAATCATCAACTTTCTAAAGTCTTATATTGAAAAGTTAAATAGAGATGTTTTTATTATTTTATCTTGAAGTTCCTTTAAAAATCAAACTCATTATAAGGTCTTTGGATGTCTAGCATTCCTTCATGTACACAACCAATATATG